TACTTGACAATAGTTTTCTTGTAGTAAAAAATTGTTTTCAATCTAACATGTAATTTTTCAGCTTCTGGATGCTGCATGTGCTTCAACTTCTCCCAATGACGTTGATGAAACGATTGCCAAAAGCGTCTCCATTCAAACGGAGTCTAAAAAATTTCTGGAGAAAAGCGTCGGTTGTACAGTAAATATGGTACACAAGAAAGTTGGTACCTTCACCACAATGGTAAGCGTGGGAACCCAGTGTTGTGACCGTCAAAGTTCAACTGGCCCCGAAATGAGAGATGTGGCAGTAAACACAGAAGAAATGGCAGGATTTGATGATTCTACCGCTTATGTCCCATCCTGCAGTGAGTCAGAGGGTGAGACCGATTCCTTCAAAGATGCCGATTTTTCTTTCCACAGCGACAAAAATGCATCATCTACGGAGGCTAGTGACGAAACTGATGACGAGGAGCTAGGCAACGAGCAACCAAGCCACGACACAAAATTTGTTGTGTTTTGGTCATGCTTGCTTCCATTGCTGCAAATTTGCTCAACTTGCTTTACGACTACGACTTTACGGAAAATTATACGCAGTGGGGTCATGGTAAAAGTTGAACGAATTTGCAGCAATAGCCACAAAACATCATGGTACTCCACTCCGAGAATACGTGGGATGTCTCTGGGGAATCTTGAATTGTCAGCTTCCATACTTTATACCGGCAGTACTTTCACAAGAATCCAAGAGATGATGTCACTATGCAACATATCGTTTTTAGGTCGAACAAGCTATCACGCTATACAAAAACAAATACTTTTCCCAACTGTCAATGACTTTTACGAAAACGCTAGAAAACAGCTTATTTCCTTAGTGGATGGTCCTGTAGCCTTAGCAGGGGACGGTAGATGTGATTCGCCAGGTTTTTCTGCAAAGTATGGTACATATACTGTGATGGACACAAACACCATGAAAATTTTAGACTTTTCCGTTGTCCATGTAGGAACTGTCTCGAGTTCTAACGCAATGGAAAAGCAGGGTTTGAAATATTGCCTTCAATCTCTAGAGAATCAAGGGATGAGTGTGGCATGACTGATCGTCATCAGCAAATCAAGGCATACATGAAAAACGAAAAGAGTAACATTAATCATCAGTTTGATATTTGGCACGTAAGTAAAAATATTAAAAAGAAATTAGTTTTGCTAGCAAAAAAGAAAGGCGCTTCAGATTTGAATGGTTGGATGAAATCAATTATAAATCACTTTTGGTGGTCTTGTGCGACATGCAACAAAGATCCTTATATTCTTCGCGAAAAATGGTTAAGTATCTTATACCATATAAGGAACATACACAGATGGGAAGATGCAACCATTTATAAACGGTGTGCACATGCAAAGCTATCCAAAAGAGACAGATTGGAAAAAATTTGGTTAATAGAAGGTTCGCCTGCTTATGTCGCACTCGAATCGGTCATTAAGGACAAATTCCTGTTAAGAGATTTAAGGTATTTAACCGAATTTAGTCACACGGGGCAAATCGAGGTATATCATTCCCTTTACAATAAATATTGTCCCAAAAGGCTGCATTTTGGTTTCGAAGGAATGATTGCTAGGTCGGAACTTGCAGTATTGGACCATAACGCTGGGACAGAATGTAGACATGCCAAAACTCGGGACGATGAATATCGGCACAAGTTGTCGTTTTCAAAAGTAACGCAAAACTGGGTAGTAAAAAAAATTCCCGAAAAGAAAGACAAATCTTATTTACGGGAACTTATGACAAAAACATTAGAAGCAAGAGAAGAGAAGAAAGCACCGAAATCTATAACACCTGGAAGCGTACCACAATACCTTGCATCTAAAGAAAAGCCAGACAAAGCTGAGGCCGTAAAAAACAAACGTACACGCTTTGAGACATAATTACCAATTATTTTTCATGTATATTTAAAAATTTCGTCATATAAGAATATATTTTAGTGTTAATACAGTATACTTTCATTAAGTGGGGCACTCAATGGACTGAGCAAAAGTGTACTACTTAGCAGGCGTCCTACTTATCCAAACTTGCAAAGGGTTTACTGTTCACATATCAATTATGTTCATTTATCCAAACTTAAAGAGAGTATACTGTAATTTTGTGCTTTTATTCGTCACTATCACTCTCTTGATATAGTCTTTTATCCTCAAGCCGACTCTCCATGAATGGCACGTAGTAGGCGTTCTCAGACGGAAAACTATTCCGAATGGCCCAAATAGCACAAGATGGAATGACTTTTCGAACTCCTTTGCCAAGCCGGTTATGAACCCACCACGTGTATTGCTTATATGCTGCGAAACGTAAAGTCCTACGGAATAGATAATAGTTATTAGATGTTAGAAATTTCTAGCCACGATTTGTTATGTCTTCAATATTTACAATGAAAAGGACTTTTTATTCAGTGTTTCAACCTAAAAGGCTTTTGCCTTTTTAACATGCAAAGAAACAGTTTTTTACTTACCTGTTATTTATAACAAGCTTGTCTCCTCTCAAGTTGTTCATAGCAGACAGGGCAGTTTCGAGTACAGCTCTGGTCAAACAAACAATCTTGAAATCCGCAGACAAAGATATCCAACTTTGGCCTTAAGAAAATGAACACAGTGTAATAAGCAATTGTAATAGTAACTGACTAAGTAATTTTATTTTTCTCTATTATTATGGGCTCCGACACAGGATGGATAGTGAGGGGCTCAAAGGAACATTTAGCACCCATTAAAAGATTTTGAAAAAGCTCTATTGTCTTGCAAAAAATTAGGGGGGGCAATGCTCACCCCGCCCGCTTTGTGTGAAGGCCCTGATTCCCAGATCCTCTGCGAGCATCGAAATAAGTTTATTATTTTCTTTAATTCTTTAGATCTTGCTAGTATTCTTAAGAAAATACTTTGTTGCACTTATATATAATAAGTTACTATTTTTGTGTATTTTTACTGCGAACTCGAATATTTTACTACAAATGTGTATAGTTTACAATGTTATACGGCGTTTTTTCAATTAAAAGCAAAAACGTTTACCTTGGAAGTAATTTTCTGGAATATCGTTAGTTTCTTGGCAGCAAAGACTTTCGGCGTATGTTTCCATTGCCTTACATTTACCCCCACAAACGCACCAGTAGGCATTTCCGATTCTCTCTCTTTCAGATTCACTCTCAGTAGAATCATCTGATTTTCCATCCAAATCGTTCAGTTCCCAGTCTTCAAGTTTCCGCCTAGGTTCCATATCAAAAGGCTTTAAACGATTTATTTCAGGAACCGCATTATCCTCCGATTCACAGTTTCCATCTGTGCTCTCTTCTGATGACAAGACTTCGTCAATGAATTTTTCAGCCATTTTGCGGTAAAAACGAAATCTTGCAGTTGAAAAATATGTCTGTTCTCTATACTTTTACATAAATCTGTGAATATTATGTGGGTTGAGCAATAAATACAATGGGGTTGAATGATAAAAATACTATTGACTGCGTAAGCAGCGTTCATTCAGTGACTCACTGCGATCTTCTGAACGTGATGACGTCAAAGGCAACAACAACATTATCCTCGTGAGAGTTGAAGATGGCGGCCTATCGCGAGGCGATTTTAGGAGACAGTTTTCGTGGAATAACAGAGTAAAATGAGAGGTAAGAGCAAAAACAATTCACAACAAAGCCTTCTGTTATATTTACAGCAATATAGCCAAATTTCATTTTAGACCGAACTTCCCCTTTAAGATATGATCAATATTAGCTAGGCTGCCATAAAATGGGATAGATTTGGTAATGGGATGCAAAAAATCATATGCAGATTGGTTTTTTTTCCATTTTTACAAGTATATCCCTAAATTAAGCTGAAAACTGACTATTTTTTACAATGTTACAATGCACATACCAAAAGGCCAGAGAAATTTTATACCGTAAAAGCTCTATTAAGCAATCTCTCTCTATTACGCCCCCCTCTCTATTAAGTCCTTCCTTATCAAGCAAAAACTCAAAATAAGCCCCCTCTCGCTAATAAACCTTCCCTCTTTTAAGTGCCCCGGGGGCTTAATAGAGCTTTTGTGGTAACTTCTGGAAACTGTAGTAGCTACACTGAGTAAAGAAAAGAAATTGGGATGGTGAAATGGCAAAACCAGGCATTGTTGCATTTTTCCGTTTTCATTTTTGATTGACTGTGGAAAATGGGGACATCAACCCCATCCCTTTATTTCGACTACAATCATATATCAAAAATATCTAAGAAGATTCCTGCGTTCAGAAATGAAGGTTCAAAAAATTAGAATTAATGATAAACAATAAGGTACCGGAAGTAATATTCTCTGTCCTCATTTCGAAGTTCCTGTACTAGACGGTGATATTCGCCAAACGTTTCTCTCTTTTCGTAGATTTTCCGTACCCAAAACCTTGGTGCAGATCGCGAACGACTTTTTAACAAAATCCTTTTCCTTCTACGTCTTCTTAGAAGCAAAAGTAAAAGAAGTTTCTCCTTTAAGGCACCCGCCATAGCTGCAAGACTCAAATGAAAGTAATTACTGGTATTTCCATACTTAAATTTATCTTAAGTGGAAACCGAATCGGTGCGTGGGTTAATTTTGTAGTTAACTCACGTTATCTCATGTTATTTCACGCTGTCTCAGACTAACTCAAAATTAAACCATGAGTTAATTTTCAATTTAACTCGGAATTATCTCACGTTAACTCATAGTGGAAACCAAGCTTAATAATATCGCTGCTAGTTGTGATATCAGCATGAAAATTAGATGGAAATTGGATGGACAATTGGCAGTCTGATATGCTCAAAGGCTTCCTTTATTTTTGCAAAGTCTTGCTCTGTCAACTTTACTTTTGAGCACCTCCGTGATGAAACTGGCATTGGGGCATCAACTTTTACAATTATATTAGAAACAGATACAGACTCAATATCTTGAAATCTTGAAATTATTTGCATCAGCTGAATTCTGATGTAGGAATTCCAAAATCATCATCATCATCAATCCTTCCATCACAAATTTATTCTTAAATTGACTTGCGAGAGAACATTAGGTGGTCTAAGTTCTGCAAACTTACTCAATCCTATTTTGACTGCAGGGTTTTCTTCCTTGAAAATTCCATGTGCCTCTCTGATGCTCATATACATGTGTCTCTTTTTGCATTTTTAACTTCCCATTTTTCAAATCTAACTGTTATCACATCTCTTTTTCCTGTTGACATCCTGCTGATGTCTTTACGAACATAAAAGTTCTTTACTGATGAAATTATCTCTGAATTAAAAGATAGCAGATGTTTACTTGGGAGATTCTGCTCTACTGGATCCTTTAATTCATTAGCCAGCCTCCTGATCACTGATACTCTTATCTCTTTGGGCGGGAAGGTAAAGCATTTTTAACAACATTAACAGCTCTACTAAGTGAGCTAATGCGTCTGTACCTCCTCGGCTCCTTTGATCGGTTGGAGTCAACCTTCCTGTTATTTTCTGCGACTCTTTTGTTTTCTGAGTCTGTCTTTTTTTTCTTCAAGTAGTTCTTTCCTTCTGCCAAGATCTTCAGCCTCAATCTTTCTCATCTCTTTAGTTTTGTATTTTCGACTGTATGCAGAATTTTTTGCCTTATAATCATCATACTAGTTCTCCCTACATAGCCTCTCTCTTCTTCTTTTCTGTCTTTCAGCAGCACTCATTCACTTTTTTGTTTCTTTGTTGTTTGGAGCCATTTGCATCACAATGGATGTTGCACACAAACCACAACCTTTCAAGAGAAGAACTTCTCAAGCCTGAAAGATAACCAAACCTACCAAGCATGCCAGATTTGGTTTTTACCCATTTCCATAGTTACCAACACCGAAAAGAGATTTACAGCCTCATTTACATGAGAAACTAGTATTCTTCCATATCATTGAGTATAATTCATGTCTATAACTAATATCTGGTACCCAAATGAAGAAATTAATTCCTTGACATTGTCTACACCTAAATCCAACTCATAAGTCTAATGTGACCGATGTATAGTGACTCGCGTGACAAAACTTGAAGGTGATATTTTGTGAAAATTACTGGGCTGATCAATTTAGTTTCTAGGTCAGCATGGACATTTGAAAGCCAAACTATGCTTCAAGTAATGAAACAAGAATTAAAGGAAGACAAATGAAAAGTGTGACTTGTGTGACCATTCAGAGAGGGTCTTTTCATTGTGGCATTACATAATTATTCATTACTTGCTTATTATTAATTATTCAAAAATTTTTTTGACTTCATAGACATTCTCTTATATAAAAGGAATTAACAAACATGTAAATAACAACAGAATCTCATTTATATAAATAATGAGAGCTTTTTTCTTAAAATGGTACAAATGTCTGTCAATGACCTTTAGCAATAGTAAGGTCAGGTATAGCCATAGCCACGCCCATTATCAGCAATTATCGGGAAATAAAATCATAAATATGCTTAAGCAAGGTATTTTACCACTTAGAAAGCAACTTTTCACATTCAAATTCCAAAATATTTTTTTTCATCAATATGTGTCATTTCTATGGAAGGTCTATTTATGATATGCCAGTCTATGATATGCTAAGGAAACACTTGACTCTGGCAAAGTACATGATAGTACTAAGGTTCAAGGTATATCTTAGAATATACAAAATGATGTTAAGGTAACGAAAAGCACCATTCTCTGTATGATTGCAAAACTTTTTTCTTCTGGCTCCGTTTCAAAGTGCAGGAACCTTGTTTTTTCAGGGCCTGGCTTATGCCAAAATCTTCTGGGTCTACGACAACATCGTCTTCAGATCCTTCCTCTTCGTCAATATCATGCTCTACATCGTCTTCATTGTGATTTTCTGTAACTATTTGGCCCTCTGGGTAACTTTGATCTGATAGGCTGACCCTATCCTCTAATTCTTGATTTCCACGCAAAAACCATGGGAGTTTTATTTGGAACACAGCCATTTCAACCAACAGGGAAACTAATGGAATTTTGGCGCAACAAGTATACATGCATGCGTGTTGTAATTTTATCACTCTTCAATCATTCAAAATCAAGATTAATCACAAATTTCTTTTAATTGACTTCGGCAGGAATGTGGCGTATGATCTGGGCCTTAGACTCCAGAGTTGTAACACCATGGTATTGAATACTGGTTAGTTATAGGAAAAGAACATTAGCCTAAACAATTGTTACTTTCTGATTCACAGAAAATTGAAGAAGAAGAAACGAGAGAAACAAATGTTTTAGCATAAGCACAAGATATGGATAGGCATATTGGAAATATCGTGGATGCTAAGCGATACAGCACTTTGACCAAACTGTACAAGGTCTTTTTGCATATGTTCTACGAACATCAGGAACATCAGGCTGCCAAAAAAAAAGCAAACAGGCTATTTAGCTGCAACTGAAATTTGTGAAACAGAAGCACATTGGATCAGAGATGCACAAGGACAAATGGAGAAATCAGGTAACATAATGAATTACCTAATGAATTACTTAATGAATCATATGAGAAATTGGCAACACGTTGAATTGCAAAAGTCAGATTAATTACCTCTGATTTGTACAAAGAGGGAAAGTTTCCAATTTTATTACCAAGAGATAACGCACTTACTGACCTTGTAAAACAGGATTGCCACTACAGAGTTGGATGTTTAGGTCTGAAGGCAACCCTAACAGAACTACATTCTAGGTTTCGGGTTCCAAGGGGTAGACAATATGTAAAAAGAATCTGAATAAATGTATTGTATGTATTGGCAAACAAGAAATACCATACAATGAACCTATAGAAGGACCCTTGCCAGGCTTTAGAATGAAGGATGTCCCACCATTTACAAATGTAAGTCAACTCTTTTACAAAGATGTAGATAGTCAGATGAAGAAATGTTACATTGTTTTTTATAACTGTTGTACCTCAGGAGCATTACATCTTGATTTAGTTATACATTTATCTGATCCAGCTTTTCTCAAGAGTTTGCTAAGGTTTGCTGCACATAGTGGTACACCATCACTAATTAATAATGACAGTGCTAAAACTTTCAATTATGCTGCTGAGTTCCTAAGCACTCTTGCAAAGAATCTGTCAGTATTTTTCTTTCTACAGAACAAATGGATAACATTGTGATTTAATCCTGAGCGTAACCCTTAGTGGGGTGGATTCTTCGGGCATCTTGTAGGATCTGTAGAGTCTTGTCTAAGAAAAGTTATAGGGAATGCAAGTCATTCCTTTGATGAATTAAACACCACACTACTAGAAGTGAAAGGTATATTTAACTCTAGGCCATTGACATTTATTTATCATGAGGTTCGTTAAGCCTGGTTTCCACTTGTCGTAATTTGCGTAAGAATCAGGGAAGTCGGCGACTATCCTGCTTCCTACGTTTCTGCATTTATTGTGTTCACACTTGGCACGAGAGTCGCCGACCTACATGCTTCCTGGTGCGCCAACTAAAGCTTAAAAAAGCGCGGCAATCAAGAAATCATTCAAAGCTTCAAGATGGCGGCTGCAAAAAATAGAGTGATACAATATGACAGACTTCTGATGCCATCATCCGTTTGCGGATAGCCCTCAAAAAAGGAGACAAAAACGAATAGAAAACGGAGATTTTGGGTACGACTTCATTTGAAGGAGAGAAAGAACCACGGGCAATTTCATACACTGTTCAGCGAACTTAAAATATTCGACAGGGAATATTTTTTTTCCAGTATTTAGGCCAAGTTTATGCATAATAATTTTATGCTTTTTTAGTTGTTCATTTTGCAACAAAGTTTTGAATTTTGCAACTTTGTATTCCCTGTATAACTAATAACATCCTATTGATGACAAGCACAAAATTTAATTAATGTAGGACGCGGTGGTTTGGTAACTAGCAAAGTGGCAGTGAAGTCGACGACTATCATGCGCAGCATTCACACTGGTCGTAATTTGCATAAGAGTCATAGAAGTCGGGGGACTTGCCTGCCTCAAATAGAACGCAGTTGGAAGCAGGCTTTATTAGCCCGACACCAAATCATTTATTGCATGGTAGGAGATTACCTCTGCTAGCAACTATCTAGAATTTCATGTTAATGAAGTCGATGAAAATACCCGCATATGCAAATAACAATTTTAGTATCTCATTAAAAGCTGAACTACTTTGCTTCTTGATGGAAAAATGAAAAATAAGCCTGGTTTCCATATAACCATAACTGCCAGTGTCACCATGCTTACAGTAGCGCCCGCACTCATAAAACAGATTTGCCAGCGTGAGGGGCTCTGCCTGGGCTCAATATAACTTTTACCAACTGATGTGTCTCGCCAACAACTAAATCCCAATGTGCTTTGCATAAAAATTGTTGCGCGAGAGTTTCTTTTATACAAAAACATGCATGTCTTTTACTTCATCATAAAACTTACCTTGCTTATCATTTACATTTGGAGTGAAAATGGAATGAAGTGATAAGAAAGAACAAAAGTGGAATGAAGTGAAAATATTGAACAAATTTTGGGCGCTAGATACATTTTGTCAGTGTCAACTGCACGGGAAATTTCATATTCTGTTTATGGAATTGAGGGACCATCAAGAAGACTACTTATGGTTTGTTATATTTTCTTACGCATGTTTTTGCTACTCCCGTGTAACAACGCCTGTTCTGACAATTTTGTATGTTAACATACAGTTTTATTCTATTTCTAAACTATGATGCTTCCTTTTATTACTACATGCTTTGTTAGAAGAAACCCCTTTCCAAAAGGACTTACCATTAACCCTTTGCTGCCTATACCGGCCAAAACCGGCCGCGATATTTTTCCTCTTTATGGCCTATACCGGCCCAAACCGGCTGCCCATATAAGGTCTGGTTGTGTCAATGTTTAGAAGCTAACAATGAGCTAGATCGTTGCTCTTTTGTAGTTGAACAAAAGCTAGATGATTGACCAATCCAAAACAGTCATTTGCGCATATATTAACAAATATTATAGGACGTAAACAAACCTCCAAATTTTCAAATCTCAACCGAGAAATAACCATGGAGCCATCTTTCATAACGGAACACGAATACGCAGATATTTTTGGGGAAAATAGTGACAAAGAAGAGTTTTTTGGCTTTGCAGAGGACGAAGTAAGATCGGATGTTGGTTTTAGTGACTTGGCATCGTCATATAGTGATAGTGACGTTGTTGAAGAGGAACAAAGTGGGGATGAAGTTGGAGATGTGTTAGGCCAAAACGCATGGGCAAGGGACCTCACCGATACTGACTGTCTTGAATTTCAGGAAGAAACAGGTCCAACGATTCAATTTAACCCTCAATAAGAAAGTGAAATTGACATTTTTGAAAAAATATTCACTTTTGCTTTGTTGCAGTTTATCATCAAAGAAACAAATCGGAATGCACGTGAAAAGCTTCGCGATAATGAGCAACGCCTTCGGCTTTGGGAAGATGTAAATGAAATTGAACTGCGGGCCTACTTTAGGGTTTTAATTGTGATGGGCATAACAAATCTGCCAGAACTTCACATGTACTGGTCGACTGACCCAATGTATGGGAATGAAGGGATCAAAAAAGTATTTTCTCGTGACCGCTTCAAAGAAATTGAACGGTTCTTACATTTTCAAATTCAGCTGAGGAACCGAAATGCGGAGAGCAGGGATATGATTGCCTTTTCAAAGTTCGTCATATTTTGGAGCATACACGGGAAAACTTCAAAAAAGCATACAAACCAGGAAGAAATTTGTCAATTGATGAGGGAATGATTGCCTACAAAGAAAGAATTGGTTTCAAGCAGTATATGCCCCAGAAGCCAACCAAGTATAGGATGAAAGTTTTGTTTTGTGCGGATCCACAAATGGCTATTTGCTAAACCACGAAGTTTACCTCGGTAAAGAACGAGAAGGCCAAGACTTGTATGCAGGGAAAGGATTGGGATATTACGTTGTCATGAATATGACCGAACCTTATAATGGCAAAAGTCACCATGCCTACTTTGACAATTTTTTCTCGTCTCCTCACCTGATGGAGGATTTGTTATTTGATAAACAAACTTACGCTTGTGGCACGGTAAGAAGAAACAGGCAAGGCCTACCAAAATTTGATGGAAAGAAAATGGGGAAAGGGGACATAATTGTCCATCAGAAAGGGGAATCAAACCTAATGTTGACAGCATGGAAAGTTAAAAGGGAAGTTAATGTCCTCTCTACGAATTCTTTCCCCCTTCGAGCCTCCTAGAAACATTATTCGCAGAGGAAAGAAAGGCGTGCAAGAGGTAGTTGAGAAGCCGGCCGTTGTTTGCCTATACAATGCCTATATGATCGGTGTCGATCTGTCAGACCAGCTTCGATCGTATTATCCACTTGGGAGAAAAGGCCATCGATGGTATAAATATATATTTTGGTTAATTTTCGATGTTTCGGTTGGAAACGCAATGGTTTTTCGCCAATCTCTTGCGATGCAGATGATCGGAGGCTATTGTGGAAGGAAAAGTGCAATGAAAAAGAACATAGCCTACAACAGATGCGACCCAGAAACAATCAGGGAAGAGGCAAAATATGTCCACTCTATTTGTAAAATTGAAGGCAGAAAAAAAGAGTGCATACAATGCAAACGCCTCGGCAGGAAAATACCAAAGAGAAGGCCGAGGGAGACATCCTGGAAATGCAGCCACTGTGACATCCCTCTCTGCAAAGACAATTGCTTTTTAGAGTACCATTCCTAACAAACACTTTTTTACTAACCAGAGCATTTACCTACTAACAGTGTGCTACTAATTGTCATTTTCTTTGTTATAAAGTTTGTTTATTTGGGATTTATGATGAAAAACGTTGACCTGTCTTTTGTTTTCGCTTGATTCTACCGCTTGAAGAAAATATCGAAGGTTATTTTGCAGAAAATTTTTGAAAGTATGACACTTTGAGATATTGCAAAACAAATGAAAAAGTTTTTTGGTAGTTAAATTAAAATAATTTCTACTGTGCACGTATTTTATTTTCAGTACTATGCTACTGCTGCATAGGCCTGAAAACGGCCAGTCCCACGGTGAGATTTTGGCGTGCAAAATTCAGGCAGGAAAAGGTTAAAACCCCCAAAGTTTAAAAATCTTTTAGGCATAGCTGTCCACCTGTAATAAAATTTCCTGAGAAATGTTAAAAAGTGTTGTTGTGAATAACCTTACAAAACTATATACTTTTTATATGTCTTTTTCAAATACACAAATAAGAAACTTTTATTGCATAAATGTTGTCAATATTGGTAAGGCTGCTTTAATTGTTCCATAACTTTAGTAAAGCCACTTTAAATGCTTCATATCATCTCCAATCTCAGGCTACACTGCGGCCATATCCAGACTTTCCCTTCATTCCTTTGATGTATTTGGAAGATTTTGTCATTATTTTTTTAAATCATGTCTGTGATTTGAATTAATCGATTCCAACTCTTGCTGAAACCTCTCTGTGGCAAGGAGGTCGTTGGTGGGTCGCAGGTAGATCACCAGTAGGTAAAAGTTATATGAAAACCAGGCTTTAGGGAATATCACAACCATAGAGTTACAGCGGAAGTATACATTCAACAAGGAGACATTGTTTTGATCAAAGTAGAAAATTTGAAGCACAACCAATGGAAAATAAGACAAATTGGAGACCTAATCTTTGGGAAGACCGGAATAATCAGAGGAGCTAAAGTAAGGACTCGCTGCAAGAGTTAGATAGATTACTTAACCCTTTATTTCTAAACGTTGTTGTGGGACAGTAAAATCAATTCCTCCAATCCATAGTTATTCAAATAGAATGCTTATATAACAGCCTCTTTCTCATTCTGGAATTACAATGTGGTCAAAAGCAATTGATTTTCAAAGATGACCGATTGATGTTTTTGGCAGAGCGCATAACATCATATTTCAATATGTACAAAATTTTGAAGGTAAGTGTATATTTTCAAAGAGAATGCATTTAGGCCCACGTTTCAAAATTGATTTACAAAGATTTTAGAGGGGTTTTGAGCTTATTTTTTGGAGTTTCTAAGTAATTTATCTCCAATGTTGCATTGTTAGGGGTTTTTACAGTGACATTGGTGCTATTTTTCATGTTTTGGATTGCTTAATTGTAACTGAGGTGATAGTTTGTTGTACGCTTTCTCTGCAGAATGCCGTTCAAAGCCAGAAGCATTTATAAAAGTAGTCTAACAAGACAAGGTGTCGAGAAGCAGCTTAAAAAGCAGCTTAAATATTTATATTCATTGCTTGAAAGAAAGTTGATAAGCCATGTAGCTGAACAAACAAATCTTTATTCTGTTCAATGTATAGGAAGATCGCTCCAGACAGACGAAAAAGAAATTGAGCAGTTTTTAGGAAATCTGATCATGATGGGAGTAATAAACTACCTTCAATATAGAATGTATTGGTCATCAGAAACACGAATTCCTCTCATTGCTGATACAACCAGACTGACCAGATTTGAGAATTTGAAAAGATTCCTGCATTTCAGTAATATAACTAGTCATAATAGTATATATGACCTTGAGATTTACACACGGAAGCAACTAGATCCAAGAATTTAGTAAAGTTGACCAACTTGGATCACCTACCAAGAAATGTCGGCCATAAAGTCGATTTGTTTAGCAGTATTGAGCTGGTAACTAACTTAGAGAAAGAGGGAATCTGGGCTAATGGAACATTTTGTGCAAATAGGCTACTTCGTGCACAAGCTATTCTGAAGAGCAAAAAAGAGCTGGAAAAACAAAGTCGCGGAGCATATGATTCTTATGTGGATGCCAACTCGAACACAGTCCTTGTTCGTTGGCAGTCCGTGTTTTGACCCTGATCTAATCATTCAAAGGAATTGAGCTTGGAGATCTTGTGAAGCGATGGAGTAGAATAAGAAAAGAAAAAATTGATGTCCCTTGCCCAAAAATTGTTGCTCAGTATAACCAACATATGGGAGGAGTTGACCTTTGTGATATGCTGTTAGCATTATACAGGATCAGGCTTGGAACCCGCAAGTGGTACATGCACATTGTGCATTATCTTATTGGTATATGCATTGTGAATGCTTGGCTGCTGTATCGCAGACATTGTGATCAAAGAAAGGAAAAAGGAAGGATGTGTTGACGCTGTTGCAATTTCATTCAAAGATTGCCCACTCTTTAGTCCTTGCTGGAAAAGCAGAAGGTTTGAACCTGTATGCTCTCTTGAACTGAATGGGAGTTGGGTTATCTGAAATTCCCCCCTGCTGCCCAATTGACCCAAAAAAGTTTTCCAATGCCAATGGACCCTGGTTTAATTGCCTAGATACCAAAAAACTTATATTGAAATTGCCATGCAATCTTGACCAAAGTTCTGAAATTGCATTCAATGAAATACACCATCCTTTTAGACACTTTAGATAATGTGTACGGTTTTCACCTTTTGCTCCATTAACTACCCTGATGGATTTTATGAATCTCACCCCCTCTGCCATTTTTTCCAGGTGTGGAGATGAAAATGTTATTGGATGTCGGCATATTTTGCTATCCTTAAAACTCAAAGAATTACATGTGTCAAAAAGCTTATCAAACTGTGTTAAAAGGTCTGCAGTGCCTGTGGCAGAAGATGATAAGCTATTCAGTGCAACACAAGTAAAAATCTCAGCAGCAACAGAGTGGCTGAAGACCTGGGTAACAAGCTTCACTTTCATCTTGGCAAACTGAGGGGGGCTGATGTGTTTTGGATTGAATTTAGGAGTAGTTCTGATGGCAAGCTCCTGTTCTTTTTCAAAAAATGAGCTGATGTCTTTACATGATGCTATACCGACGACAGCACTTATCAGTACCTCTGCGAAGAATACTCCCAATCTTTCTGAAACAACTGATGTTGAAAAACACAACTCTTACGCCAAGGTGCTACAAATAACAGCTAAGGTACCAAGTTCATCTGCAACATCAGAAATAAAGTTGATTGAAGGATAGATGAATTTTCAGCCAAGAAAATTTAAAATGCAGAGAAAATTCTAATTCAGTCAGCGCACATGACTTTTGACAAAGCCTACCTAAAGAAAATAGAATCTCAGCTTGACATATTCAAGGAAATGGATGGAACTAAGTTGCGGTGTGACCAAATATATCAAATCCAGAGGTGCAAGCTAAGAATCCTGTTCTACTACCAAGAGACAGCCATTTGACGATCCTCATCATCTGTCAAAGCTATGCGAATGTCACGCATAACGGTGGAAGAAAACTCTTGCAGACTTAGTGTTGAACTCACAGCCTTTCAGTTATCTTTATTCATTTTAAGTGATAGAGAAGCTCCTGCTCAACGTGTAATTTGGAGAAATTGCTCAGCTTACCAGAATGCTATCTCTAAGAATATGTCAACTATGACGTAATGGCAGATGTTGTGAAGAGCAGGAACAATATGCAGTGTGGGTTTTGAGTCATTATTTGCATCGTTGGAATAACGAACACCTAACCAATCTCTGGGAGGATTATACGGTTCAATGTAAGACCCACTGGAGACCGAAAATCAACATTGAAGATGCTGTCACTGCTCAAGAGGAAAATGTTCGAAATCAAATGGATTAGAAACTCCCTTGTATTATGGATTTTATTAGGGGACACAATAATGTAACCTGCAGTGCCGTGTTAAGCTTCAATGGCCATTTCATAGAATGCCCGATACAAAAACTCCCCCCCCCCCCACCTAGAGCTTTCTCCAGAACTGAAAGAGGCCAATGCACCAAATGATAATGTACAAAAGCCTGAAACCAAACAAGACAGAAGAGAAAGGCAGCAGTCATCGAGTAGGAAAGCATTCATATCGTTGACCAGCTTCAAGCAGATGATGATCTATGAGCAAAACTGGTCAAATGGGAGTGCGGGAAGTTGTGGTGGCACCTTGCTGCATTTGGAACTAGTTTAGGGCTAGGGGTATAATTTTTTATGAATAGTTTCTTATCAGTATAATGTAAAGAGCTCGTTTGTTCCATTGATCTTGCTGAAATAAGCACGCAAAGAAAAATTCAAGAAAAAGTGACCACTTTCTGAAGAACAAAAAAATCTCAACTTTTCTCGAGACTCTCAACAATGAGAATTTCGCAAACTTTTTACTGTTTTGTGTGATTTTTATAGAATCCCTGCATTAGCCTGTTGAGTGAAACTGTCATACTTGCACATGATTCATTTCGCTCGGATACAGGCTGCTTTATTTCACACCAGTTAAAAAAAAGGTGAGGAAAGTAGGTAACAGACTGTCTCTTAGGTGCAGAATTCTAGCAAAACTCTCGTAGATTTTCATATTTTCTTAAATTTTTCAAGAGCATGAGTTCAAATGCCAGCGCCAATAACGCCAACACACATCTGCAAAAGCTTTGCTTTAACATTCAATGAATTGTTATGGTAGCAAGGCGTGTTTCAACTTGGATGCTCATAATCCTAGTTGTGCATCGCTATTAACACTAGATATCGTGTTGTACAGTTCTTAACACTCAAACAAATGTTAATGGAAGAAGCTACAACAAAAATCTTAATGGATTGAGGCACGATGCACAAGATATATGGAGATTTAGATTAGAGCTATATAGGTCCATGCTAGATTGCTATCCAGGAGCTGCAGCTCCTCTCGCTATCCGAACAAGGACAAAGTTTTACAAATCCAAAGTTTCCTACTTTGGCAAAACTACATCTTGTTGCAGCTATCAGATACAACGAGACTCATTTCTCGTGCTTGCCTTACTTTCTGGCGATATCCAATTAAATCCAGGTCCAGTTAAACAGCCTTTTTCAGTATGCAAGAACCTGATGGTTTGTACTCACGGAGCATTTTGATGTTATTATTGTATGCAAAACTGTCAGTGCCAAGACCATGGGTATGTCCCCTTGCCTAGCCCAGCAACAACAACATCAATCATGACAGCAACAAGAAACGTGAATTGGCAAAGTGGATGGAGAATGTTGCTATCAGCTACTAGAGAGTAAGCTGTGTCAAAGAAAAGAAAATCTCGGTGTAGCACATATTGATGTAAATGGGATTCTAATAAGAAACAAACTGGATGAAGAGAAGTTGATGCTAGAAATAACCAGTCTGGACCTACTTGGTGTAACTGAAAGAAAAGTTAACATAAATAATTCTGATATTGAGATAATGATAGATGGCTACAAAATGGAAATAAATGATCGAAGTACAGGAGGAGGGGGTAGAGTTATGTTGTGCTATAAAGAAACACTGGATGTAGCTCCTTTCCTTGTCAAAAACATCGTGAACAACATTGAATCAATATTGGTTGACATAAAATTACACTCACAAAGGAATATAATTGGTGTTATCTACAGGCCTTTTGACAACCAACAGTTTTATGCCAACTTGGAAAATTATTGACAGAATGTATGGAGAAATAGCAAGAATATAATGATAGTGGGTGACTTTAACTCGGACCTAGGCTTCAATAACAATTCAGCTGAGGAATGCTTGGCAGGTAAATGTCTTCTCTGGTACTAAGCGAATTGAGTATGGAGAATATGATAAAACTGCCAACAAGGATCACTGAGAGGTCAAGAACACTGTTAGATCTAATGATAACATCCAGAACAAAGCAAGTAATAAGATCAGGAGAGATTAATACTGGAATTGCTGACCACAGCCTTACATATGCAGTACTAAAGCTCAGAAGAAATAGGATTCCCCCTGGTTTCCAAATGACCTCCAAAGAGCATAGGTTCCAAATCTTTGATTGGCTGAACGACCAAAATTCTGCATACCCCATTAGCCAGTCAGAATTCAAGAATATGACAACAAACGTGCCTCACAGCTAGATTTAGTCCTATTTTGGACGTTTTTACCACTACCCACAAAAAAATAAACGTGTAAAATCTTTTCTTGTCGGCATTGATGTTTGTGTTAATGATTAAATAAATTGCTAAATTCGACTGAGAGAAAATGCCTCCTTTCCCTTAAAATAGCTACAATTGTACAATTTCTTTTGCATTCAGGTACTTTGTATGTTCATTTTAAAGACTTGAAGATCGATGAGAAGCTCACGTCCACTGATGTTCACTGTTACGGTCGTGTAAGAGCAGACGCAATTCGTCAAGGATGAAAAGGGCAAGAAAATTAAATATGCATCATTTTCGAAAAACTATCTTTTCTGGGTGAAAAAAATCTCTGGTTGTAAATACATGCAGGTGCAGGTTATTCATGCAGGATATGTTTATGAAGCTTGAAAAATGGAAAATAATTTGAATTTTAAAATCGGGCATTAAACAAAAAATTTGCGCTTGAGAGAGAAAAATTGAACAAGCCCCCCAAAATTACTTCTTTTGTTCTTTTTATTCAAAATTAATTTTTTCTCTTGGCCTCCCAGTTCATCAAGGTCTAGGCTGCATGACTTTTAATTCAATTTTATACTTCAATATACTTATGTTTTTCAAATTATATCATATTTTAGCAGATAATTTGATTTTTAGGGGGGATATTGGCAGGGGAAATATGGGGGTTTTATGTTAAGAAATAACAGATATGTGATTTATAGATTAAAAAAGCCCTATAATCAATTTAATGAACTGATATATTTGTGCACCCTTTAAATTTTTACTTGTGACTTCAATTAAAGTATACATTAAAGTAAAAATATAACTAAACAAAACAGAAGAAAAATTATGAACGTCCATAAAATATACATAAAACTTCATCTGGGTCCTTGTACCCCTTTGAATGTTAAATTGCAAAACAGTTTCTTTTCTTCTTTACACATAGATGTACCTCACAACCACTGCTTGTTATTTCTGATCTGCCTTGTTTGTCACCATAATGTGGACACACTCTGCAACGACCACAACTTTTGCTGAATACCAGAAGGTGGGCAACTCCAGATGCAAACATAGAAACATTCCTTACAGCTGCTGGAGGGGCTTCACCACTTTCTATTTCAGCCAGTTGTCTTATGACTGCCTCTCTGTAGCTTAATTGGTCACAGTCCTTATTTCTTTGTAAGTGGGATCTCTCAGGGTGAGATTTACAAAATTTTTCAAACAGGATATATGAGTTGACTATTGCAATATTCAGCAAATGAAGAAAGAAAACTTTCCAATATTTTTTAACATTTCTTAAAACATTGTAAGAACCAATGAGTTGATCTGATTTGTCAACACCTTTCATATTTTTGTTGTAATCCTCTATTGCCTTTGGCTGGAGAAATTCTTTTACTTCAAATACACCAGTCTTGGAATCTTTCTGTCTTCTTTTGCAAGTGGATGTCTCAGAGCCTGAATGAATGGTTGACAACAGAGTCACTAAGGCATTGTTCTGCCACTGCTGTATCATTTTCTTCTCTTATTCATCTCTGGTGTCCTCTTTGTGCCTTCTTTGACCGGTCCTTCAATACTTTTGGGAAGAATTTTTTTCTATTTCCTGCAGTTACCCCACAGCCTAGAATTCCTCTATTTTTTAACTCACAGAGCAAGGGAATAGAGGTATAGAAGTTATCTGTATACACTCTATAGCCTTGCCCTGTTAGATCAGCCATCAGCCCAACAACTACATCATAACCAATGCCCATTGCAGATGGTTTTGTACCGCGTTTTCCAAGATATACGTCAAATGCATAAGTGTAGCTGGTTTTTGAATATGCGAGTACAAAAATTTGATGCCCCATTTTGTTGGTTGTCTTGATGTATTGCCGGATGCCTGACCTATTTTTTTATTTCACCATTCTTTCATCAATAGCCACTTCTCTATCACCCTGAAACAATTATCTGCATTTATTCTGGATATCTTCATAGATGTATCGAATTTGTCTAAGCTTGTCATTTCATTCTCTTCAGCTGGATCATTTCCATGAAAGAAAGCCATAATGGCTCTAAATCTCTTCCTAGAAGGAACTAGTCTTTTAGCCCAGGAACCAGAATATAATGTGGCAGATGACCAGTATAAATCCTGTCTTTTTAGGTCAACCAGACCCATGAAAACTAGACAAGCCATAAAATTTTTGAATTCCCCAACAGAGACCTCTGACCACCCAAATTCAAAATTTTGATAAGACCTGTTTGCTGCAATGTGGGCTGATGCATATTTGTTGGTAAATGAACACAGCATTCCAATCAATTCTTCTGTAGAAAATAACATGAAGAAGGAAAGTTCATTTGCAAGCATGGATAATCTTCCTGCACAGGTCCTTGCATTAATTTGTATACCCGGCCCTCTATTTGGCATGAATTTTATTTCTGGAACATAGTTAGCTTCAGTTGGATAGCCTTCTTTTCAGTCTGAATTAGCTAATGTTATTGAGCTTGAGGCTGCTTGCCTAACTGGAGATGAAGTTTTTCTTCTCGCTATGAGCCGTTGTTGTTTTTTTCAAAGGAGGCTTCTTTTTGGAAGAAACTGAAATCTCATCCTCGCTATCTTCATCAGAGCTGTCTTTGTTGTTGTTTGGTTGCGGCCTACTGACAACATCTGAGTCAGGATAAACAGTCAGCTGATATTCCTTGAGAAAATTCGGATTTTTTGATTCAACAGTAAAAATAATTCGCAATCTGGATCGATAAAAACTTGGTATCATTTGAAAGAGCAAAGCACGCTGAACATTTTGATAAAACCTCCCTTTAGATTTGAGGCCTAACCCGCAACCGCTGACCAAAGTTTTCACTGGTACAAATTTGTACCAGAATCAGGGGTTTGGCCAGAAAAGAGTTTTAAGCCTCTAGCCATTCTTTGTCTTTCTTGTTCACAAAACTTTTCTCTGATGTCAAACATGGCACATCGGAAAAATGAAGGCAACCATTTGAATCTCCTGTCGCAAGGACTGTTGTACATTCAAATTTTGTGCTGGTCTTTGCAAAGTCAAAAAGTTTATAGGAAATGAATGTCTGTGATACATTGTACAGTTTGCTTATTAATACCACATGACAGCCAATGAACATTTCACATTGGTGGTGATTCCACGAACTTCATCAATATCGGACCAGATCTTTTGGAATCAACTTCATTAATGTTGGATTGATGTGGGCGTCCACAAATAAAATAGTCTTTCCATGCAGAAGAAACAAGGAAGATTCGCCTTTATTTGTTGAAATCACCACACTTCTCTTTTTTTCAGGAAGTGCAGACAATCAAAGTGAAATTCAAGAAGACAGTCATCTTCAGCATGCTCAAGGTACACATCTTCCTTCAATTCAATGGAGGAGCTCAAGTTTTAAACACAATTATGTGACTGCCTCTGTTCCAGAGTGCAGAACCAAGTCAGAAATGAAAGTGTGCAATCGGTCTCCCTCAAGAGCGGCTTCAAAATTTCGCTCAGAAGTACTTCCATTCTGCGATGGAGGTGAGGGATCTTGTAGTCTGAACAGACGAAGTAAAATCCCAAGATGATGCAACGAAATATACAAGTATTAGAACATCCATTATTTCAAAACAGGAATTGAAACTTTCACTTGACAAGAGTAATATTTCAGAGTTTTCCTCTTCTGTTTTTTCAACAATGTACACATCATCCGACAACCAGTGTTATCAGCCTGTGTAAAAAACTTCAGTTTCTTCGAAAGATAGGCCTTCAGTCTCATCTTCATTGTTCAATTCCTCAAAGGCTTGGTACAAATTATTTTCCAAGGAGGATTGGTCTTCAGGCTCATTATCGACAAGCTTTCTGTAGGTGTTGGCAGCAAGGTGAATTTGTACATGTGGGAAGTGCATTCTCTTCTCGATGACAGCAAGAGCTCCTTGGGCAACAGAAGAACTGCTTAATTTGGCATGATATCCAGTCTTTATCTGTTGATATAAGAAAATTAGCCAAAATTGAGTCAAGATCTATAAACATTGTCAGTCGTAAAAGGAACAGATATTTGATAGCTTTTTATAAAGTTATCTCCAAAGATATCCACTCAGTTGTGTTTGATTCAATGGTTTTTGTAGATTAACAAAAGATCTTTAGATAGAACAATCAAAATGCTAAAATAAACCTCTATTATCAAGGTAACAAATAATATACTAAAATGCGTGCAGTACAATTATTATTATTATTATTATTATTATAGAAAAAATTTTCCTGGTACAAGTAACTTACATTGATCTTAACAAATAATAGTTCAGAAAGACAGTAAATATGTAAAAGCCCAATGAAAAGATAATCTATTCCTGACAGAAAAGATACTACTTACCGACAGATCCCTAAGTGGTATTTCCCTTGGTGGTGAATGTGCTGCAATGCCCTCTCTCGCTGTAAAAAATAGGACATAGATGAAAATTACTGTTTCTATAAGAAATTTAAAAAATACCGCAATAAGTAAGTTTATCAGTTACAAATTCACAAAGCCTTGAACCCTTAAGAATGTTTCTATCATTAGAGTAGTTCACGAAATAGTCAGAAAACCTACCCATCATATCATTTAATTTTTCAAGGATTTCTTTTTTTCTATACGCTAGTTTAGGCAATACACAGGACCTATAATATTTAACATTGTCCTTAATTTCACAAAGAAGCTAGGAAAATTATTTTTTCAATCTGGTTGTGAGAAGCATCTTCTCCACCACAGCTCTCTTTGAATTCATTGTCTCATCTAAACCAGACAAAAAGAATATAGATAAAATACTACCAACTATTTCTCAATACAGCAACAACAGAGGTGAGATAATAAGATCGAAAAAATATAACTAGTTATTTTTAAGATTAATGAGCTTCAAACTAACCTAACAGAAGCGAGTTTTCATGCCAAAGTATTTCCCCACAGGCAACTTCTTTTTCTTTGGCGATTGGCATCTGGTAATCAGCTGCAATGGAGTTGTATGCCTAAATTTTTTGCCTGTAACTTTCTTTTTCCTTTTTGCACTTCTTTATCAATTGAACAAAATGTTTCAAAGAATCTGAAGGAAAAATTGCAAACTTTAAACACTAGAAAGGGAGGTCATCTACCCTACATATTGATGTAGAAGCAAATATCATGAATCTTTAAACTAATGATTGAAAACAAAAAATCAGTTAACCGCAAAGATGTCTGGAATTAGTAGACATTTGGAAGATGGACAAAAACGATCATTCAATTTCTTGTTGGAAGAAATGTCCAAGCTTGATGCGAAGTTGGATTAGAATCTGAAGGTTGTCCTCTTCAGAGAGACCAAATTTCCTGAAGTGCAAATGCATGCTTTTCATCAACAGATCAGGCCCGGCATAATTTTCATCCAATAATCCATGCTCTCAATTTAATTTCAGGAGCAAAGGTCCAGAAAAATGGCAACAGTGTCAGGGACCTGATCGAAAGTGGAAGTTCAGCAAGAACCAGAACATATTCTTCTATCTCAATCACGTCTGTATGAGTGTTATCCATTGACTCAGCTAGAAGAAGTTGTGACAAGAGCTTTACTAAATAGTCTTCGCAGTCCTTTCAGAAAAGGATGAAATTAAACAAAAAACGGAATTAAACTAGAGGCCTTGGCTAATCTTCCAGCACCAACCTCATCAATCGTTCAAAACATTTACTTTCTTATTCTCCTTTTACTTATCTTCCAGCACCAACCTCATCAATCGTTCAAAACATTTACTTTCTTATTCTCCTTTTACTTTAATGGACTAGGCAAAAAACTTGCTGCTAAGGCTAGCTATTCAAATTAATTTCTCGATCTCAACGTGTTCACCTTGCAATCGTGACGGTTGAAGCCACGTATACTTTCAGAACAGCATCTTGTTGTAAAAACCTTCTTGTTTTTGAAACATTGTACCCCTCTAAAAGACTAGTTATATGATATGCTCCTTGTGTAGCAATCATAGACCACCACAACCTTAGTTTCGTTATGTAACTCCATAGCTAATCTAAATTTTCTGTATATAGAAATGGGATGTAAATATTGCAAAACACCACACGTTTCCATAACTTCATGTCATAACATTCATAATAATTAAAGTTGACAGTGAGCAGTCGGTGCCACTCTTTCTTTGAAAATCTGAAGTCAGTATCGCCCTCGTAGTTTAGCCAAAATTTCTCTAAACACATTGAATTTTTGGATTATAAGATAATTTATTCCGGGGATTCAGGATTGAACCAACAAAATTAGTTTCATTTACTTTTCAAAAGCTCTTTACTAAGTTCTCTACAGTCTGCCTACCTTTCCCCAGATTCCCTGTGAACTTTTTGATGTTTGCTGTTCACGACCTCATCACTGTTGCCTTAGTTTAGGCTAATGTATGGATACCAATAAGATGTTCTTGGTTTAATGATAAGTGATCATCTCTGAAGTCTTAAATAGTACTGAGGAAAGTTACCATCCACATTTAAGAAGAAGGCAAGTGTCTTTCAACATGGCATTGTACCTCTCACCATTGATGTCAAACTCATCCAATCGCTGAATGATTGAAACAGTTAGAATCTGGTAATTAAGAAGTGATATGGTACAAATCAGTTTGCAAAAATATGCCCAATTCAAAGCTTTTTATTCATATTCAAACCTCTACACAGAATCTGGTTACAACACAAGCATGGTCTTACTTTTTATGTTTAGTTTCACTGCATTTTCATTATAAGCTAAAATATCCCTTTTTGTTCTATCTACAAAAATTAATTATACAAATATAGTTTTATAATCTACACAAGTGACAATGAAAAGTTACAGAGCTCAAGTACAATGAGCATAATATACAATTAAATGTAGAACAACCAAATTCATTAGTATTGAGTTTTTCACCATGGCCGCTGCAGACCATGATTCTTTTTGCCGAGTAACCACCAGACGCCCCCACTCCTCTGAGCACCAGCCCTGCTTGAATATGAATGTGAGAAAACACAAATATGACAAAAATAATCTTGCTCCAAAATAGCATCAATATACATACCTCAGTGACAAGGAATTTTGATTTGACACTGTTGAGAAGACCCTTAAAATGATTTGCAGCCCTTTCCATGATGGAATGGGTAGTCATATTATTAGTTTTCAAAAGTAAAACCTGTCTACAGGTATTTCAGCTCCTATTTTGAAATTTCGAGCCTCTTCTTAGACGTGAAAGAATCGCCCACCTGGTGTAGAGTTAATTTACCAGTTGTCAGGAACCAAAACACTCTACAAGAGGACGAGGCTGGGAGTCTAAAAAAACTGTTATCTGTAGAGAGAATGGACTATTCACATTATATACAAAAAGTAATGTGAAAGAATTGACTGTAGATGTGCAAACAATTGTACTACAAATGTTCAGTTCAATCGTAATAAATTTCGTATAGCATGAAGGTCAAAGGTCGTTTTTGAAAAAGTTTCAAAAATAATTTGTTTTTTAAAGTGCCAGTGTTTTTTAAATTGAGCTAAAGATGACTTTTTGAAGCATTTTTATGCTGAACAGAATTGTATATCTATTTAAAGTTCTTTTTGTTGAAATCCATGACAAAATATCTGCTAAATTTTCTTGAATGACAGCAACAAGTTCTGCCCTTCCGTGTGACATCATGACTTTAATCTTATGGAACTTTTTTCAATCTTTATTTCGAAAAAACTTATTTGAATCTATGTCACTTATTGTGTAGTTTTGAAGGATAAAAGAGGATTAAATATTATGAATAGGCCTAAAATCACATGGACAATGGAACATGATGTGCTGCTGTGTCGAGCAATTCTGGCTGAAGAGCCTTATCAGTTTAAACATGGGTCAAAGGTTTATCTAGTCTGGTCGATCCATACACGAATTCGACGTACGGCCTCGTTTTGGAAATTTTGGAAACTTCATTATATGACTTTTTTAAGCTCAGAGTTGGTATTATCACCATAATTTTAGGATGGTTATAATTTTCATATAGGTGAGCAATAGCATTAAAGGGCTGCTGATAATGATGTTCCTACAATTACATTTGATAAGAAGATCTAGAAAGTTGTTGCATGACTGTTGCCTCTTGATGAATTTACTGACTAAGTAAATAAATACAAAACTGGGCGTATACACATAGGATAAGGAAAGCTACAAAAGTGTTGTTGATCACGTTATTTTGGGTACGGAGGTAATGAAAGGTGTTAATCACAGTGAGACAATGAAGGGCATTATTGCATCAATGGAGATCACTACACCATCACAATACTCGTCAATCCTCTTTGGGTTTGGTCTCCTTTCCTTTTGGAGCTACAGACTATAGTCAAAAATTTATTTTCTATCAGTTTGCTAAATTTTGGAATTTTCTTTCACTTGAGTTGTGTAATACAAAAAATAAACAAACGTTTAATAAGCACCTAAAAATTATCTCAAAAAAAATTAATGGGACTTGGAGGATCAACACCAACAAACTTGGATGTTGTGTTACCATATAAACATGTCAGTACATTGCGTAGTAATGCACACACCCTGTAGATCTTTCCAACTGCGCTTAGGCCAATCTTAAAGTATGTCAGGTCTCTTGCATGATCTGGAACACCATTCATTTTCCCCAACTGGCCAAGCATTGTGCCTTTATGCTTATACATATACCCAGCTTATCCCCACAGAGTCCAGAGTCCATCTCCAATGCCCATTTGCCAGAAGACCTAACCTTTCTCCAGAAGAACAGGCATTCAACCAGTTCATCCAGTCCAGTATTTGGAGATATTGTAAATTACTTTAAATTTACAGATTACAGATTACTTCCAAATTAGCAATAAAATCACAAACAGTAGTTTTAAGTTCATTTTTGTTGTATATTAACAGTATTTACAGTATTTTTATTAACAGTATTTTGAGGTACTTGGGAAAACACAAATCAAACTGAGATATCCATTTCTAATTGAAGAATAAAGTGGTAATTTTTTCTCTGTTTAATATTGTGGTTGTTTGTGTTTTTTTTGGGGAGCAAAGGTAATGGAAACAATGACTTATGCATATAAAGTTTTCTGACTTATTGAGACAAATCCTAACATTTGAATGTCCTGCAGATTAAAGCTTTGTAATATCTACTTTAGACAATTACAGGTCAAAATTTGTCAGGGGAAAGCCCCCTTACAAGAACACATCTTAGTGATGACGGATTAAGCTCTCTCAAACCATCTCACTATGGCTAGGCCTGAATTCAGGTCAACAGCAGCATCAAAGGCCCTTTCCTTCCTTTTTCAATACCTTCTCTTCTTGCAACTCACATCCTCTCATGCGGTCTTGCCTCATTGTTCCCACAGCCCATATTCCCCACTCTTTCAATTTCTGCAAGAATTCCAAGAATGTAAAATAATTGTCAAAATAGGCTTTGTAGCTCATTTGGCTTGGCAGGGTAGAGCAGAGTCTCAACACAATATCTCCGGATACAAAACCGATGCTATCAAATTCTTCTCTGCTAGGATCTGGTGCACCATCTAGAATGAAATCATAACAGAATCCACTGACTCCATTCCTTGACAATACTTTATAGCCCCATTTCATTGGCTTTTTTGGTAAATACCGGCAAACACTGATTGTTCCTTTAAATGGAATTATTTGTTCATCAACAGAGTTATGCTCTTCAGGCTTCACCTTCAAGCAATTCTGCCTCAGCATCTCAAACAGCTTTCTCACCTTGAAGAGCTTATCTTTATTGGGATCCTTAGGGTCTGGGGCATTTGAATTATCTTCAAAGTGAAGAAACCTTTTGATGAGCTCAAAGCGATCTCTACTCATAATATTTGCCACTTGTTCATATCTTGTGGATGACTGCCAATACATTCGGTATCTTGGCATTTGTACAATACACATTTGTAAAAGAATGCCAAGAAAATGTTCAATTTCTTCAGGGCATGTTGATATTGAGCCTCTGTTCACATCATATGTAGAGTACAGGTTTGTTTCATCAACGATTCGAGCAACCATTTCATCATCAAAAATTTTTCGAAAATAGTCAATGGGAGCAATCAAATTCTCATAGCCATGAAGCTCCTCATCACCTTTCAATGAAATTCTTTGCAGCTGGTGGTCTTCCTTTTCTCCAGCGATAGGTGTGCTCCTCATTTGTTTCTCCCTTTCCTGCCAGTCCTGCCAGGGGTATGATATCTGCTAAAGGAGCATCATCATCTGAGCCATATTCTGATCTTTCTGAACCAGAGTCATTATCATCCTCGGATTCTAAACCTGGTGTCAACACCACCCAATGCTCGACCTCGCCATTCACATCATGCTCTTCTATTAATGTATCCATAGTTACTGTGATAAATATGAAAATATATGATGTTAAAAATAAAGTAGTTTGATCGTGACACTCAACCTAAGTTTTTTACTGCTAATTCAAGTTCTAAAGAGAGAAAAAGAATACTTGCTTTAGGGCCTAAGCTCAACAACAACATCTTCGAGTTCCTGGAAGGGCCATATGGCCCAGTCAATAAATCATTACTTTTAAAGCATTAAACACAAGGAAACATACAAATGAAACAGACAGTTTAAATGTAATTAAGAAAGATAAATTAAGATCCAGGAATTTTTTATTTGATGCAAAACAAACGTTTCTTACCTTAAATAGATTGTCAAAACTTCACGACACCACACCTCCTGACCACTGCACCAAACTAATGGTTTTTATTCCCAAGTACTTCATGTATGGGCCACCAAACTTTGAGCATAATGGCAGCATAAATGGGCCGAGTGGCCTGTGCAGGCCCCCAAGGAAAGCTATTATAAAAACGTCTTTTTCGAGGTTTTATGATGTATGGGCCATATGGCCCTTCCAGGCATGAAAGGGTTAACATGCCACTATCATGTCTTCTTTCCTCAACTGGACCTATCATGTCGTCTTTCCTCAACTAGACCAACAAGATTTGCAATAAGGCCATTAGGAGTCACAACTGACTGGACCTTAAGGGCATGAACCCGTTTGTGTTCATTGTAAACTGCCCTCTGGTTGTCCTTGGGCCTACAGATCGGTCTAACTGTGCCATCAATGAATCACCAGCAGTTATCCAATGCAGCACCTTTGTTGTGAATAGCATGTGCATACATCTGCAGGTGTTGTGGGGAAAGCCATGGCTGGTTCAGGTTTAGAAGCCGGTCAGCAAATGAATCATATAAAAAATTAACCACAAGGCTATTTATCATGCAGAGTTGAGACACGGATCTTCCAAACCTTGGTATCAGGTCTGCATGGGCATGCAAAACGTTTGAGGCAAACACACAGTGCTTCAACTGGCCCCACTTCCACCCCATTTGAGCACTTAAAAACATCTGAAAGGTGTAATGCAGCAGCGCGCCTAGCTACGTCTTGTTTCTTAAACCGAAACTCAACCTCACACTCAGCCTCTCGCATCACATCCAGATTAAAACATTCATATTTCCAATATGGAAGTCCAACATGCAAATACCCGTGTCTATTTGCTTTATGAACGACAAGAAACTCGTCATCATTGATCTCCCTGTCGTCCTGCATGAGAACTAACATTTCCTCCCCCATTTTCGATATAAAGTCAATTTTGGCGCCTATTATAAGTCGTCTTCCTCATTCGTAACTTAAATTGAACCCGCGGAAGAGGGAGCCTCAACTCAGTTAGTACCGAGACCTCCATGAGCCGTCTTCAATTGAGTTGTCTTGAATCGAAAACTCTCTGATAGCTTGAAAATGCAAATTCGACTTGCAAATTTTCATTTGTATTCACACATGGGATCTATACTTTTTTGGTTCTAGTTCCAATAATTGTTCTACCACGGGTATCTAAAAATTTTTCTAACTTTTAGGAAATATAGCAGCAATTGAAAAAGCAATCATTTTAACAAGAAAACAATTGTAACAACATAGGTTTTTCCTACTTTTTATATTCACATATTATACATAATACAATATATACATATTATTCTCAAACTAATTATTTCCTTCTTCTTCAAAGGTTCAGAATCTTATGACAAACTATGTGCCATTGGTTTGCATGGAACCTTACTTGGTGATATGTCTAGGTTGTCACCTGATGTGCAAACAAGCTGTCAAGAAGGCTTTCACTCGTTACTAAATTGCTGACATCCAAAAATGATTGCGTATTCATACCTTAAGTAGGTAAGGAGCAATTTATTTCAGCACTCAAGAAATTTTGAAAATTAAAAAAAATTGAGAAGTTTCCTCAATGAAACAATTAAAAAAGAAGGCACCTTATGTACAATGAATGCAATTCAGGTAAAACACGGGGCCTTCTAGAACCATCTTTAGATACAGATATTGCATGCCCTTTAATAATGCACTAGCATGCCCTGTGAAAGTGTCCAACGTGGCATTTTCTATTGTTCCAGATCTATTTGCTTATAGAAGCATGTCTTTATACGATTTGTCTCCTTTGATAATTTGGAGAAGAATTTTGTTTATCAGTTTCACTAATTGGACATCATGTCTTGTAACTTTTCAAGAGCCTGCAAATAAAGCCAGTACTGCCTCTGTGATCTGTTATAAGCCTTGGTGACCTAAAAGAGGTACAAGAGAAAGTTTCACATTAGGAGGTGTATCTAAATTATAAAAGTTCTGAAAGATTTCATTATTATTAACTCCTTTTTTTGCCTGGTGATTGCATTAAGCATGAAATTCAGTATAGTCACTGGAACCATATTGTTTTTTCCTAAATATGTCCAGCTCTGTCTATATGGTTTTGAGCACTTCACAACAGTCAGGTGAACAGTAATTCTTTACATTATTCTATATATAGTAAATATTTACTATGGTGTAAACAAATGTACAATTTGAAGTTGCAACTTTTATTTTCAAGCTTATATTGTTGTAACTTTCATTTACACTAAGCTCTCAAACTGTATTTGGTTTTTATTCTCAGGTTTCATTTCAACAACTTTATGGAGATGCCACATAGACAAAAATACTGTTTATCAAACTGGAGTGTCAAGAAAGTCAGCAAAGCTGTTTCCACCAAATATTGCATCAACACCAGCGCCATCCACTTCTGAACTTGTAAAAGCTCAAGTAAAGCGTACAAACATGAACAAAGCGAAATATGAAATACCACAATATATGTCCTAATTTTCATGTTATTGTATTAGTTATACACTGTAGTATAATTAGCAAACTGAACATTAAGATAAAGAAATTGGAAATGAAAAAAATTAAAAGCAAATGAAAAAAACCGGATCAACCCAATAGGGAAATGTAAAGATTGAACTCCACAAATAAAAATCCAGTATAATTTCCATTTGCATCAGGAAACTTGTCTCTGGTACTCCAAACACAAGATGGGATAACCTTGCAGTTGTTTTTGCCAAGCTTTCCTCAAACCAGTAGGCAAAATTGCTTCTGGGCGGTAAATAGCCAGCAAGTGGGATTCGATGGATCAAATGGGTACTTCAGATGATCCCCAATTGTTTCGCATTGCCAGCTCTACAATGGTGTTGAGAATAAAGAAGTGATCTTTTTAAATGACTTCAGGTGGTCGCCTGTCATACTGCCATGGCATGACATGTTGTTCTTGTTGGAAGGCCATGTTGTCCATTTTGCTGCACCAAAAACAACATACAACCAGGACATTGAATTCTGCAGAGACACGCCAATCTTTGCAACAGCAAAAGCCCCAATATCTTTTGTCAAGGGTTCCATTATAGACGACCGAGAAACAGAGATGATGAATGTTCGATGGCGTATTTTTTCTTTCAGGCATCAATTTGATTTGGAATGCCAGAAAACTGTTCCTTCCTTTGGACATTGTTTTGCAACAATGCTCCTTCACTGACATGTCGATCATCACATGACTATCCTTCGCAGTTTTGTGCTCCGTAGAAAAACTTGATGATGACTCGCAACAATCTACACAACGGTCTACACTTTCTTTTATTCAGAATTCTCCATATTCTATGAAGCATTTTGCTAGTAAAGGTAACCAAAATTTGCGGAATGTTTGCCTATGTACGTTGGTTGTGCGTTTTCTGTCCAACAGCCAATATATTTAGCAAATTTAACAAATCTTTCCACGGTCTACACATTTTGAATGAGAAATATGAGCCAAGATCAAATCCTTTTCATAAACAGCGTAGATCGTGAACATTTTCCTTTATTTCCAGGCACTCGTCGTGTAAACGTTTTCGACTTTTTGCAGGCAAACTTCCTTTACAGAAAGCTATCCTTTGTGTATTTATTATCTCCACATTATCTCAAATGAAATTATTTTGATTCCCTGAAAGTTTGTAGACCGTTGTGTAGACCGTCAATCCATCTGCCAAGATGTTGTCTTGTCTTTGTTGTAATTGGTAGCCTCGTTGCTAGGAAGAGGCATTCTTATTGCATAACCTTTTATACGAATAGCATATTTCTCCAATATAGCAAGTAACAGTAGAATTATTAGGTACAAAGAAGACACATGTAAATTTATATTCATATGTAAATTTACATTTACTAATATACATAGCAAAACATTTATTAACTATAACTACAAAATTGGGCACATAATTAAGTGAAAGTTATGGTAAAAACAGCATCAAAAATAGTTTCTTTAATTACTAGTCAGTGTTACAGCAGTCAATACTTGGTTCGATACCCTCCATTTTTGGCTATAATTTTAAGACGATCATGCATCGTTGCTACCGTACGATCGATGATGGAGGAATCGAAATTGAAAAGTGTCTGCAAAACCCTAACACAGAATTCTTCGAAACTCTCTTTTTCGATCTTCAAATATAATGAGACTTTTACCAACTGAGACTTAACCTTGTTGAAAATATTTTCAATCGGATTCAAATCGGGTGATCTTGGGGGTATTTCTATGAGCTCTGCCCCTACATCGTGTAACGCATCGGTAGCGAGTTTGCTCCTCTGATTTGGATCATTGTCCATTAAAAAAAATAGCTTTTCTTTCTCCTTTGATTTGATTTCAATTAGTGTAGGATGTAAAGTTTTGTGAACAAATCTTGCAAACCATTCTGCCTTGAATTTTTGATATTCTTCTGCAATGACAACGCCATTTGTGAACCCAACACCAACTAGAAGATGGAGTCTCTGCCCTTCAGGTAAGCTTTTGGACCCCTTTGTGGTGTGCTTGAGAGCTTCATTGGATCTTCTCCAAATTCTCCCTTTTGGCGTCAAAGCGTCTCTATAGGGGTTACGTTTGTGAACGAAAGAAACACCATCCAAATAGAGAAGGACGTCGTCTGTCCAGAATTTCCGATCATATTTTTGAATTGCTTGCCTGGTATAACATTGCCTCCTCCTTCTGTCTTTTTCTGACAGCAAACCTTTTTGTTGTGGTTGTAAGCATCTATATCCATTTTCGTTCATTAATCGCACCAGGGTTCTGTAACTGACTTTGGTTACACTGCATTCTTTTGCAACATCATGTACAGTTACGTTGGCATTTTCATTCCTTAGCTGCTGGAATGTCCTTATGAATCGCTGCTTTTCTCTTCTGCTCATAATTGGTGGTCGGCCCGTTGTCTTTTTTTGCTTTTTTATGGCCAAAGCTTCCTTGCATATGCAAACAACACTTGACGGCGATATATGACATTTTTTCGAAATTTCTCGATATGATAAAGAGCCTTCAACTCGCAAATAATATGCATAGGCTCTCGTTTTTGAGTTGATTTTGCCACGGAACACCATTGCACCTTCTCGATTCTTGCTAAGGTTGCAATGGACTTGAATTTATATACATTTCATTTCAACACAATTGCTTATGAATGCACGTCACTCTGTTTTGTTTTCTAATCCATTTGTTACTGAAAAATCAATGGAAGCTAACTGTGAAGTATTTGACGTAAATGACGGTCTTGGCCCTTTACGTAGGGATGTGTCAATTGGAAGATATAAACAAAGAGAAGGTGTAGCCTGTTTACTTATTGTTTATATGTGTTGCTAGAGAGTTTCATCTCCTGTTGAATTGCTTTAATAGATGCCATAAGAAACCGTAAACAAATACAAATTATAACATAAAGATAATGGAACCCCACTTGAAATAGAGAAAAATGCAACCCCCTACCATTATCACAATAAGGTGTTAAAAACAGTTGTTTCGTCATCGGCAATGAAATCAGCGCCCTCGATTACCCTATGTTCGGAAAAAGTTGCGGGTTTATACCTTTCAGTTTGATGTATAAAAATCCGACAATGCCTGCCAAAAGTCTTAGAACACTCGCTACAATTTACGTTGTGCAAGAGCTGCAAGATCCCCTCCCCCCTTGTACAATGTTGTGCCACGGAAATATGAATAATTCTACATGTACAAGTGATACATTTTTACATAGCTTTGGTTTTCAGCTAGCGAATCAACATTGTATGCGGGGGAAGGGGGGCAACACCCTCCTTGTTGACATGGAAATAGAAAGGAACACGTGAATTTGCAGAAATCTCAGGGTGTTCCAAGGACTTTTGGCATGGGCATCCTCTTTTACAAGTTCCCTTGCATGAGCAGCAGACCCTTTGGGTGCTTATTCCCTCTGGTTGTTGTTAAAGCTGTAGAATTAACATTTATTAAGTCATTGCAGTGTTTTCAAATTGGAAATTGAATGAATGAAGTATTAATGAACTAAAATATACTATTCAAATTGAACTCAAATAGAGGGGTCTTAGCAAATTAAAGATTGATAAGTAATTGGTGTACTGCAAGAATAATATACCTCGATGGAAGAGATATCCATTTGTACTCTTTCAAGTAGAGCCAATAATATCATAGCGAGTCTATAGATAAATCAGAGTCTCCACTTTCCAGGTCTCTGTACTCCTGTTCACCTATGGCAACCTGATGGTAAAAGATATCTTATCAATGGAGATGATAAGATGAAGTTAACTTTCTCATTTCCATTGAATGTTGATTTTATGATATTGATTGATGACTGCTCATCTGAAAGTCAAATCCTTTCTGAAAATTTTGATCATTTTTTAAATCATTTTATATCATTTCTAGACAAACAGAAAAAGAAAGGTACCAGCTAACAGATAGCCAATCGACCCAGAGTCAGTTAACCCTGAGCCAATTGACCCAGAGCCAACTGACCCTGAGCAATCAGAAAATCTGCCAACTCCTCCTTGCAAAAAAAATAGGAACATAATTAATGACCAAAAGAACTAGACAAAGCTCATGTTAAAATAACTACATTGAAAAGTAAACTGAAGACATCACTGTTGTGAAGTCAGTATATTTCGCAGCCCATGCCATCATGGGGGATTCCTACTCGTCCCAGTCTTGTTACGTGTTAAGATGCTACTGTGTCTTCATCCCCTTTCCTTTTTCTACTGTCTGCTAAACAGTTGTATGCACTCCAGTGTAGCATTTTCAGCTTTTAAATGTTTGAAATGGAATGAAATACGAGTGACAGAATAAATTCAAGACACGTTTTTAATACTGTTTGGTGATCGCATGCAAATGCAGTGATCATCTTTAACGTCACAATAGGGGGATTAATTCTCGGAAATGAAAGAGATCTGAAAATTTTCACGCAAAGAACGAATAATTGCACAATTACTCGAAATTAATATACCATAGCCAAAAATTCTTTCAGGATGACTTTTTTCAACTTTAATTACCCCTTTCTACTGTACATCGTAAATATCCCGGACTTCTCCTTTAAAGAAATTGTTAGCCATACGAGGAGGAGATAGAATCTCCATTACGAAGCCACAGCTCCACAGCTCTTCTTGAAGAACTAATTAATGATGATGGAGAACAAGTTGAGAAGGTGATTCGTTCAGAAACGATACAAAAGTCTCATCGAGAAAAACAAGCATACGTGAACAGACTAAATGAAAAGATGGTGGAATTATGTCCAGTCGCCAACATCGAAAAATAAGTTGATGAAACACTGGAGCTGAATTTCAGAATCGATGAAATTCTGGGAAGAATTCAAGCATTCAAAGACGGTATATACTCTCAGACCAATGCATTCGGAGTTGGGAGTGGAACAACACAAGTTATTATATCAATGCCTTCAAGAGAAGGTGACAACGTTCAAGGAGCAACAAACAACGACCATGGTCTCAGCACAAGCGGGGTTACCATGGGTTCTGTTGCCATTTGCCTGCCAAAAATAACGCTCCCATGATTTAAAGGAGATATTACATGTTTTATGTCCTTTTGGTAGAGTTTTGAAAATGCAATAGATAAAAACGAAGGCATAATTGTGGTTGATGAGGTCAACTACTTGGTGAATTTGTTGGAGGGTCCAGCATACCGTGCAGTATCAGGAATTGAACTGACGGAACAAAATCATTTCAATCCGGTCGAAATTTTAAAGGCGAGATTTGGCAATAAACGTGAAACGTGAGAAAAATAAAACATGAGAATAAACAACAAAAAATCTCAACGCACATGCAGGCTCTCCTTGGGCTACAAAACTGCCCAAAACGAGAACGAGAAGCAATTGTGTTTCATTTACAACAACATAACTGTACATGCAAGGGGGCTTGAAGCCCTTGGTAAGAGTTCTGCAAGGTATGGCAGTTTGTTAGTACCCATCCTTGTGGCAAGAATGCCGCGAGAAATTACGTTGGATGTTGCAAGAAAAATGACCGAGGAAGTGTGACCGATTAAAGAAATATTGGAGATTGTCAGAAAGGAAATTGAAGCTAGGAAATTGAGTGATAACATCAAGCTCGTCAAAAAGAAATGTGACAAACCATTAGGATATCAACCAAAATCACCACAAGGCACTACCAAGACATTTTTGCCGAAAAAAGAAAATGCTTTTGTGGACATGCACATTCTCTGTCAAGCTGCAAAGAAGTCCAGGAAATAACGGATAGAAAAAAGTTCCTACTGGAGACTAAACAATGTTTTTCCTGCTTGAAATTTGAACATATGACAAAAAAGTGTCGGGAAAGTCGCAATTGCAAAAAATGTGGCAGAAATTTTCATCACAAATGAATTTGCTACAAAGGAGCAAAACAAACGAAGGGAGTAAAAAAAATAACTACCAGTGTCAAAGGAAAACAAGAAGTTTTGCTGCAGAGGGCCACTGCGTATGTTTATGGGGCAGACAAGGCTCAGAGGATGGAAATCAATGTTTTCTTTGAAAGTGGGAGCCAACGAAGCTACAGCTCTGAAGAAGTCAGACGAAAATTGAATCTGGAAATCGAAAGACAGGAAAAAATAAATTTGAATACATTTGTACTGAGAAATCAGTACACAAGAAATGTGACATCGTAAAGTTAAATTTAGATACAGGAATAGATGAGACGCCAATTTTGATAAGCACAATAAGCTATCAGTCTATTTTCTCGCCTTTAAATACGTGCATAGACGTAAGCAAGTAAAAGCATCTGTTAGGCCTTAATCTAGCAGACGAGAGGCTAAGCGAGCAAAATAGGTGCATTGATTTGCTTATTGGCAATGATTATTTGTATGATATAATCATTGGTGATGTTATTAGAGGTACATCAGGCCCAAACGTTATAGAACTTTAGATCAATGGTAGAATTTTTTTCAATGTATTAGGATTTAATAGATAGTTGAATTAATGAATCAGCATATTCGAGACAGCAACCAGGATAGCTTGGTTGGTTGCGCATGATCACTACGGATCACAATGCTGGACAAGTATTCATAACGTAATTAGGTGCAAATAGTTAATCGTACAACACATTGGAAATCAGAAACGCATTGCATTGGAGCATATAAGTAATTGTTACAAACCCCTTAGAATATTTGGACTTGGATCAGGATTTACTGGGTAAATCAACCGGAGGAGTATGTTGTGAAGTTAAGTTTTGGTATTACGTCTGCAATTAAGAGAACAGTAGCACGTGGTAAGTGCAAAGGTCATTATGCATATAAGGTTATAACGGAAACACACACATATAGGTGTAGTAGATACTGCAGCAAGAATTGTAGTTAATTATGAGAAAGAGCTCCAGGAGAAAAGATATATTTTAGAGACAGCCACTCCCTGGGGCTGCATATAAATATAAAAGGTCATCATGGTGTCTTCATAATCTCTGCCCTAAGAATCCAGAAAAATAACACTAAGTCATTGAATGTGTTATAGGACAAGAACTTAATATTTTCTAGCTGTGAAGACATTCTTTGTGAGTCATTTTCAGGAACATCTCTGTTTCTTATGAAAAGGCTTGCTTCTGGAAAAAAGGAACCCAGAAGTACCCAGAAGAACTGTGCTCATTTGCTATGACCCTGCAGTTCTATTCTTAAAAAGCATATGAATTGGTAAGGAAGACCTGCAACCTAGCTCTACCACATCAAGCACAAATGGTATAGTAAAGTACCAGCAGAGCCAGAATTCACTGAGCCAGCTTTCATTGCACTTCCTGAATCTGTAATCTCTGCAAGAGAAAAGGGTAATAAGGTAGTATGTTCACTAATGCTGGATTAAATGGCAATTAGAAAGCACACAAAATGGGATGGCAAAAGGTACAGAGGCACTGTGGACCTTGGGAATGGTATTGATATCAATGATTAACTACCGATTGCCAGGGATGCACAAGGAAATATTTTAAGATTTAAGTTGCCTGACATTTTGCACAAACAAATCACCCAGCCATCACTTGGGAATATTATATTTTCTAAAAAAAACTATGATTTGTCTTTCTTTTCAGGAATTTTTTTCACTGCCCAGTTTTGCGTAACTTTTGAAAAGGACAACTTGTGCCAATATTCATCGTCCCGAGTTTTGGCATGTCTGCATTCTGTCCCAGCGTTATGGTTCAATACTGCAAGTTCCGACCTAGCAATCATTCCCTCGAAACCAAAGTGCAGCCTTTTGGGATAATATTTATTATAAACGGAATGATAGACCTCAATTTGCCCAGTGTGACTAGTGTCACTCTTAGCAGATCTCTGTCCTTAATGACCAATTCGAGTGCGACATAAGCAGGTGACCCTTCTTTTAACCAATTTTTTTCCAATCTTTTTTGGACAGCTTTGCATGTGCACACCGTTTATAAATGATTGCATCTTCCCATCTGTGTATGTTCCTTATATGGTATAAGATATTTAACCATTTTTCGAGAAGAATATAAGGATCTTTGTTGCATGTCGCACAAGACCACCAAAAGTGATTTATTATCGATTTCATCCAACCATTCAAATCTGAAGCGCTTTTTTTGCTAGCAAAACTAATTTCTTTTTAATATTTTTAATCACATGCTAAATATCAAACTGATGATTAATGTTACTCTTTTCGTTTTTCATGTATGACAGTTCCTATATGGACAACAGAAAAGTCTGGTTGTTGGGACAAGCTCATGATTTTGGTACTGAAAGCACCAGTTGCCAGAATGACGTGAAGCAATGCTATAGAACAAGAAAGGAATGTTGAAGGAACAAATTGTAATTTATAAATTTGTATTATCATGTTGTGAGTACTCGTGAAGGACTATCACTGGAGGAGGATAACAAAAAGATTGAAAGGATGTGTCTACAGGTGGAAGCAGTGAAAGAAATTGGTGTGGTGTGGGATAGGATGATAATAGAGATTATACAGAAGGCGACAGACAATTATTATCAAGATCTTGTGAGTGTCCATATCATAAAGGTTTGAATGCCTATTTTGTATTTTTGTCTGTTATGACAAAAACTCAATAAAGAAGAAGAGAAAAATGTCACCCATAGAGATCCCAAAGTAAATGGGGGTATTCCACTGTCCCTAAACCTCAAACTCTATTGAGCGTTGGTCTCATATCACAGAACTAATAAATTTCAAGTAATTTTCCATATATAAATTATAAATAACTGCCTATATTATGGCTAATATTGCCATATAATCATTTTAGGTTTTACATAAATCAGATATTTAACGTAGTCTTTCCAAAACGAAACAAGTTCAATTTTCAAATTTGAAATAATAACTAATTATATTTACAACTATATCTCCCATTCTGCAAAGAATTCTTGAGCTCATCTTTCAAACATTTTTTCAGATGCTTTTTAGAATCCTGGTGTGAATCTTCATCATTGCTGATTTCGGCCATGAATGCCTGCAACATTGCCCTCTCTGGAAATATCTCGATGAGCTAAAAAGTGTTTGTAAGCTCATTTAAGTTCATAGCAGTTTATCTTTGTAAATTAACAGTTCATAGCAGATTAACTCGTGTATATATTTTCTACATTAGAGGCTATATATAATGGATGAAATGAAATAGTAATTGAAAAAAACCTCTCTCTATTTTGCAATTATTGAGATAAGTGATCAGAGTATTCTTTATTAGAGATTCAAGTTTCTCACTAAATATTCTTTTAAGCACAGAATATTTTTCCTCACAGATAGCAAACTGAATGTAGTTGTGTAGGTGTTATTGATTAAAATGTTAAACAAATGAACAATATAATTTGAAGTTGGGGTTTACAATTTGCAGAATGTGCTCTCTTGAAAACTACTAAACTTTTATTGGTTTAAAAAGTATAAAGTAAAATGGAACTTTTTGTATCTCTAGGAGGGGCAACCATCCCCCTTTTCTATCCTATACCCCATACTGACTGCCAATGACTTTGGGAAAAGATTTTGCAATATCAGACAAACCTTTGCAATGATTGTATCCAGATTCAAAATGCCATATTTTAAGCATTCAAACTTAATGTGTGCCCACTGTTTTTCATCCTTAGACAAATGGACTGCGATGGCTCTGTAGAAACAGTTTCCATCCTCAATGACATTAACAGGTTCCAGCCCTTGATCCAACCCTTGAAACCTTTGCAATGATTGTATCCAGATTCAAAATGCCATATTTTAAGCATTCAAACTTAATGTGTGTCCACTGTTTTTCATCCTTAGACAAATGGACTGCGATGGCTCTGTAGAAACAGTTTCCATCCTCAATGACATTAACAGGTTCCCAGCCCTTGATCCAGCCCTTGAAACCTTTGCAATGATTGTATCCAGATTCAAAATGCCATATTTTAAGCATTCAAACTTAACGTGTGCCCACTGTTTTTTATCCTTAGACAAATGGACTGCGATGGCTCTGTAGAAACAGTTTCCATCCTCAATGACATTAACAGGTTCCAGCCCTTGATCCAGCCCTTGAAACCTTTGCAATGATTGTATCCAGATTCAAAATGCCATATTTTAAGCATTCAAACTTAACGTGTGCCCACTGTTTTTCATCCTTAGAGAAATGGACTGCTATGGCTCTGTAGCAACAGTTTCCATCCTCCGTGACATTAACAGGTTCCAGCCCTTGATCCAGCCCTTGAAACCTTTGCAATGATTGTATCCAGATTCAAAATGCCATATTTTAAGCATTCAAACTTAACGTGTGCCCACTGTTTTTCATCCTTAGAGAAATGGACTGCTATGGCTCTGTAGCAACAGTTTCCATCCCTGATGACATTAACAGGTTCCAGCCCTTGATCCAGCCCTTGAAACCTTTGCAATGATTGTATCCAGATTCAAAATGCCATATTTTAAGCATTCAAACTTAACGTGTGCCCACTGTTTTTCATCCTTAGACAAATGGACTGCTATGGCTCTGTAGCAACAGTTTCCATCCCCGATGACATTAACAGGTTCCAGCCCTTGATCCCTCAGAGGAACTAAGTGCCAGTACCTGAAAAACACCAGTCTTTTTTTTGCAACATTATTAGTTGCTTGAAATAATTCATCAAGAAGCCTTCAAAATCCTGACTCTGAATAAAATTTATTGAACAGGTAATAACTTATGATGTTACTTCAAAAGTTTAAGGTCCACTGAAAGGGAAGCAACGGGTAATTGCCGCTGATGATTAAACTGTCTCTCTTAAGAGCATGACTCTTATTGAAATGGTAATAACAATTCATATAAGTCCTAGAAAAGTTTTACAATGCTTAGCAAATATAAAATTAAAGTGAATAGAGACTATTTTATGGATTTAATATCCAAATTTTATGCATTTACGTTTTATTACTTTGGGTAGAAACAGAAGTGGTGCTAGAAAAATTGCTAGAAAAAAATTGGGTAGGAACAGGGGGTGTCAAGTCTCAGGTTGCAGAGTAGGAGATTTTTCTATCAAATTAAATGAAAGTATGCTATAATGTTGAAAAAGAAGGGACCGCCTCCCCTGTTCACTAGCCTAATCACCAAAAATGCTGAATCTGCAGAGTAAAGAGTCGATTTTTAACTCTTGAAGGTATCACACGCCCCACACCTGCCATAGCACTGCCTCTGGGAAGAAAGGGCCCAAGCATTGCACCTGCCCCTGAGCCCAGCATGGTTTTTGAAAGTTTAGTATGCTTGAGAAAGGTCTATTTCCTGAACTACTTAATTTAATTGAAGAATAATTCAACAATTGAAAACTAGAATTATTTTTACCATGGTTCAATACTTTTCCCATGATTTGAAACTTCAATTCTCTTGTAGACTATTGGAGATTCGTTAGAAAAGATTTCTCTCAATAATTGCCAATTTGTTATACGGGATGCTGATGCAAAAAATATACAAATTGACTCTTCATTCCATTCTTGAAGTTTCTATGAAAAAATAAGTAGTGGTCAAAGATTAGAAAGGATCCATCCTTCGTGATGAAAAGAAAACTCGCACCCCAGTTTGCAAAGATAATATTATTTACAATTCTCAATGACATGAAATATTCAAATTAGTTTTTGCAAAAAGTAGAGAATATTTTTAACCTCAATATTCTCTTTAATGCTTTCAACAATTGCCATGTCCATTGCTTCTGTGTCCACCACAAACTCTTCATCTGATTGATAATTATCCCCATTTGTCTCCAGCTGTTTTCCAGCTATGTAACTTCTGTAGCCTTTGAGAATAATGTCAAGCTGGTTAACTGTCAACTTTGGAATTTTGAATGGTGTCCGGAAATCCACTTCAATTGGCCACTAGCTTGGTTTTGTGTTCCAGGATCCACTTTTTAAGCGCCCTTGTAAATTTGTTTTAATCAATGTGGAAAGTTGTAAAAATTTCGGAGAAATGTAAAAATATTTTTTAAAAGAAGTATGGGAATATTTTTCCTGAGATATTGCAGTAAAACATAAAACATTATGTCACAGAGATTCATATCTTCTATTCAGATTTGCCAATTTATTAATCTCAGATCTTATTATGAATTTAGCTTTACTGAGCAGTGTTTGAGTATAATAAAATTGTTCAATTGCTAGAAAAAATTGGAAAACAATTTACAGACATCTAGCAATTTATTTGTATCTTCATAGATTCAACAAATAAAAAATTTTTACTGTTGCTTTCTCTAATTTGAAAAATTCAATACTTGTAGTTATATAAAAAATGAATAATATACATTTACCTGTACCACATACTGCTGCTGTTATCATTTTTCTTTTGTGAACAGTATCAAAACTCAACAAATCTAGCTGCAAAAATTCATTCACCAAGTTTTGATCCAAATCTGGAGATGAAATCATTTGATTTATGGCTAGAATACTTCACTGTGTTACCTTTTAGGCACTGTTACTTTTGTATATCTGTTGTGACATGTTTCTTCTTAAATTTACAAAAAAATATATAGTTTTAACATGCTAGGTCAATAAATGAAAAGAAATTTTCTATGCATTTGAAAAAATTTTGATACCCTCGTCCTGCTGTGTCTTTCCATCAAGATTGCCTGGACCAACACCACCTTGTAATCCTTTCAGGGCCACTTCAAAAAATTCTTTTATGATCCCTGGGTCATGACCAAATTCACGAAATTCTGGTGGACCTGAAAGTTTGAAACATTGATTATTACCACTTGTAATATCTAGGCAACATGAACAGCAATATCTAGTGAAAAAAGGAGAAAACAAAGCAGCTCTGTGAAATCTGAAGCTGAAAACACATAATACAATGATCAGAGGCATCACATAATGTAATAAATGCAGAAAAAGAATTCACTTATAGTTTGTGCATGTATGTCTGTCTTTACCTGAATATTTTACATAAATTTTCCCTGTCTTTTCTTGAATCAAACTTAGAGCAACTCTTGGCATTCTTGTTTTGAAGACTTCAACTAGAAGAAGAATTGCTAATTTTTGGATTAAGTTTTAACAACAATCTTAAAATTTTGTTATAGCTATTATGTAAAATAACAAGATATATAAGAAAATATTTTAAGAAACCTTCTTGTCTATTGAAGCTATTGCTCTTTTTTCATATCTCGTTATTTCTTTTTTTTCTGTAAGATTTCTCCTCAATTGTCTCTTCTTCCTCTGCAATCAAAAAACGAAGTAGCATTTTTCTATTAAATGTTATTTTTGATCAAAACAGCAAAATAGATATCTTTATCTAGAAAATAACAAGCATAGTTGCCAAGTTTCCTTTTCTGGGTCTTCAACATTTAGAGTTTAAAGAAGAAAAACAAAATAGGTTCAAATGAAACAATAAAATAGGTTTCTGCATTGAAAATATTACCAACTGACAAAGCACTCATGGGTTAGTTTCAAATTTGTTTTACCATATTTTGTATTTTTTTAAAATAGGGCAACTATTTTTAAACCTAAAGTTCACAGCTATTAGTGGACAATCTTCATTAACATCAAAGAAAAGAGTACTTCAGTATTTGTTCCATTTAATTTAATCAAAACTCTTCAAATTGCAGGTTCAGGAAACTAGTTTGAAAGCATCTTTGCGACAAAAAAGTAGAAAGAAGGATGATAAAATCAGTTCATTAACTGATTACCGTTTCTACTTCATATTTAGGAGAATATGGCAGAATAAGTTGTTTTGGGGGAGTTATTTTGGTTGAAGGAAACATTTTACTAAAATTCAGAAAGGTAGGAAGTTTTATGAAAAATTTGTCGTTTGAAATCTGGCCTTATTTTAGCTGTGGCGGCGTCAGCCACTAGGCTCTGGACGCGAGGGAAAAGCCAAAATTTAGGCAAGGCCCTTCGTAGAAAACGCCCCTTTACAGGCAGGGAATGCCAATTTTACTTATTGGGAGCGCCCATGGCTAACTTCTGTTTAAGCAAAGGCAGCTTCAAAATTATAGAATTACATCACAAGGAATATGATGCCAAAATGCTAACATTGGAGGCATCAGTTTTGCAAAATAATAGGTCGATCAAACTGAGGGTTCGCCAATGTGGGAGCAGAACATAAGAGTGCTCTTAGTGTTTCAAAAGCAGTCTGGTGCTGTTATGTCCATTTAAACGGGATACCTTTCTTGGTAAGTTCAGTCAAAGGGGCTGCCATGGTTGCAAATTGAGGGATGAAACGCCTATAATACCCTGCTAGTCCTAAGAATGATCTAAGCTTGTCCAGGTCAGTTGGTGGGGGTAAATCCTGCACAGCCTTAATTTTAGATGGATCAGTATGAACCCCTTTACTTGAGACACAGTGACCCAAATAAATGACCTGATCGGCACCAAGAGCATCATTGGTTAAACCTGATAATATAATGCTAACGGCCCTAGAAAATGTTGCTGGAGCTGTTGATAATCCATATGGCATACAAAGGAATTCAAAAAGGCCACCAGGGGTAATAAAAGCTGTTTTTTCTCTATCTTCTGAGGTCATACTTACATGCCAGTAACCGCTGCGGAGATCAAGAGTACTAAAGAGCTTGTTGTTATTTAGAGAATCAAGAAGGTCATCTACTCTAGGCAAGGGGTGAGCATCTTGCTTGGTGACAAGATTTAGCTTGCGGTAGTCAACACAAAATCCATAGGATCCATTCTTCTTTTTAACAAGGACAACCGGAGACGCCCAAGTCAAAAGGCATTTTCTGATGTACTTTGGGGGTAAAGTGTAACCATGTCTTTTGACTCTTTGAAATGCTGAATGGCTTTCTGCTTTCTTTTGCGCTTTGGGAATTGGTCTAAAGCCCATATTCTTAATTTTGGATTTATTGTTGATTGTTGTTAGGTTGGTCTTCGTTTCAAACAGGAGCACATCCTTGACAAGTTTTAAGCAGGAGCATATCCTGACAGGAACATGTCTTTTTAAAAATCATTAAAAATGTTTATGGTATTTTGAAAAACTAGTCAAATTATATTGAATAATGTGTGAAATGGATACCACACTCACCATAAGTAGGCATAACAGGCATCTTTCACACAATTTCTTCACCTAGTTTGTATTTAGGATAAGACACTTTGAAGTATCTGTCTTCTGTGTTTGATGTCATTGGTTTTCTTTGAAGGTTTTTCATTAAGATGCAATGTTGCCAATGCGTGTCTAGAAAAATGATATTTGAATTTTGTTCAAACTTTGCTCCTCTAATCTCCATTTAAATATCTTGTCGACTCCCCTTTTAGTAACGTAATGGAGTGCAACATGTATCTTGGCTAATTGAATAAAAAATCAAAATTTTATTTATGTGTGGACAACATATTTAACTTTTCACTACAGGCCTTTCCAAAATATTCCATTATCTTAACTATGTTTGAAAATAGTTGAAAAGTTTTGCTCTTTGCAAGAATCTCAGCGCCAAAATTTTATTTACCTTACATTCATTCCCATCTAAGATAAATGCAACATTTGTGGTGCCATTGATTAAGAGTTGAATGAAAACTTGCAAGACAACTGGTTTGGTCGTTGGATGATAGCATTTTAACTCCACCGCGAAGTTTTGGATCAGATACAATTGCCTTCAGTTTGTCAAATGGCGCTGTACCTGTAGAGAGTATATATGTTCCACAAACTAGTGTTATTGAAACAAAATTTCAGCCAGTAAGATACAATGAACTTTGGTTCACAACTGACGGTGTAGGTTTTATTATTCCTAGAGAGTAAAATAACATTTGTCAGATGGATGTGAAATTTCAGCAAAAGTAAATTATTTTTCTTTTACTAATAAACCATTTCTTTCAAAAAAAGTTATTTTACTTGTTTTATGATTAATGAATGCACTATAAAGAAGGGATCAAGATTACACATATTTCTTCAATAGGATTTCCTTTTGTTTACAAGTTCAACAAGTTGTCAAATTTCCCCAATTGAATATTACAGTATGGTGGATAATCTTGTTCATACCTTTTCTGTCATATAATTTTACTTTTAATTAATAAATTTGATTATGCAATGATGTCATCATGATAGTTTTACCTCTTGTTCCCTCTTGTTTCATTGGTTACTTTTTCATCGTCATTATTTTAGTTATTGTCAATTTCTTCCTCATTTACCATTTCTTCTTCACTGTCTTCAAATTCATCTTCAACTCTTTCTGGATACCACTCCTCGGCATCATGATCATTTTCAGCAAAACTTTTGTAGGAATCAGCATAACTGTCTTCCTTTTCAGCTTCCATGTTATTCATGGGCTTAGTTTGCTGTCCTTGTCTTGACTCTCTGAATTTATTTACTTTACGTTTTAGATAATTGATTGCCTACAAAGAAAGCACAAATGAGAATAGGTTACAAAATGAAAATTTATATGGAAATAAGATGGAATTAAAATTTGGCATATCAGCAAACATTATTATGTATAGTGAACTTACATTCTCTTGACTTGTTAATTTCCTTTTCTGTCTTATTATTTTAAGATTTTGGCGATTCACTCTTTGGTTCGAATTTTTCTCACCTTGCAATCTTGACAGGATACATTTGACACATCTACAAGTGGGGTTGCTTCATTGTTGGATTCCTCAAAGGCTTCGTACAAATTGTTTTCCAAATTTCCCCAGGAGGATTGGTCTTCAGGCTCATATCAACAAGTTTCCTCTAGGTGTTGGCAGCAAGGTCAATTTGTACATGTGCGAAGTGCATTCTCTTCTCGATGACAGCAAGAACTCCTTGCGCAACAGAAGAACTGCCCAATTTGGCATGATATCCAGTCTTTATCTGTTGATATAAGAAAATTAGCCAAAATTAAGCCAAAATCTATAAACATTGTCAGTTGTAAAAGGAACAGATATTTGATGGTTTTTTATAAAGTTATCTCCAAAGATACCCACTCAGTTGTGTTTGATTCAATGGTTTTTGTAGATTAACAAAAGATCTTTGGATAGAACTATCAAAAAGCTAAAATAACCTCTATTATCAAGGTAACAAATAATATACTAAAATGCGTGCGGCACAATTATTATAATTATTATAATTATTATTATAGAAAAAAATTTTCCTGGTTCAATTTACTTACATTGGTCGTAACAAATAATAGTTCAGAAAGACAGTAAATATGTAAAAGCCCAATGAAAAGATAATCTATTCCTGATAGAAAAGATACTACTTACCGACGGATCCCTAAGTGGTATTTCCCTTGGTGGTGAATGTGCTGCAATGCCCTCTCTCGCTGTAGAAAATAGCACATAGATGAAAATTACTGTTTCTATAACAAATTTAAAAAAATAACGCAATAAGTAAGTTTATCAGTTACAAATTCACAAAGTCTTGAACCCTTAAGAATGTTTCTTTCATCAGAGTAGTTCACGAAATAGTCAGAAAACCTATCCATCATATCGTTTAGTTTTTCAAGGATTTCTTCTTTTCTATACGCTAGTTTGGACAATACACAGGACCTATAATATTTAACATTGTCCTTCATTTCACAAAGAAGCTAGGAAAGTTCTTCTTTCAATCTGGTTATGAGAAGCATCTTCTTCACCACAGCTCTCTTTGAATTCTTTGTCTCATCTGAACCAGACAAAAAGAGTGGATAAAATACTATCAACTATTTCTCAATACAGCAACAGCAGAGTGATAATAAGATCGAAAAAATATGACTAGTTATTTTTAAGATTAATGAGCTTCAAACTAACCTAACAGAAGTGAGTTTTCATGCCAAAGTATTTCCCCACAGGCAACTTCTTTTTCTTTGGCGATTGGCATCTGGTAATCAGCTGTAATGGAGTTGTATACCTCAATTTTTTGCCTGAGACTTTTTTTTTCCTTTTTACACTTCTTTATCAATTTAACAAAATGTTTCAAAGAATCTGAAGGAAAAATTGCAAACTGTAAACATTAGAAAAGAAGGTCATCTACCCTACAAATTGATGTAGAAGCAAATATCATGAATCTTAAAACTAATGATTAAAAACAAAAAAACAGTTAACCGAAAAATCAATTATCAAAAATTGATTATTGTTCTATATGCACCCATGTATTTTGTAACGCTTCAAATTTAAATGGCTCAACTTTTGTAGAAGATACAAAATTTTGTTCTTTTAATTGCAATGCCAACATTCTAAAAAAGTCGTCACAATTAACACCAATAGTTTGTAATGAAAACTTTTATCACATGGAGTTTTTGATAAAACCAATGGTTTTGTGTAAAAGGACAAGAAGTGGTGAGTTGTGCTAACCTTTTATTCTGTTGTAGCCAATCTACTAATTTTAATGGGGGAAGATTTAAACACAAGCTTCACGTTTAAACCAAGATATATAGGTTTGAAAGGGTCCTCAACAAACAGATATATATTATAGTTGACTTTGTTATTTTATGTATCATATCTTTTGCTTTATATAAACGTTAATTAAAGGAATATATTGAAAAATGATAAAGACAAAAAAATGAAGTCTTACCTTTCTTCTTTCCTGTTTAGACTGAGACGTTGAATTTCCTTCATTTCTGGTTGAAGCCACATATACTGTTGGAACAGCATCTCCTTGTAAAAACCTTTTTGTTTTTTAAATGTCGTACCCCTCTAGTAGACTAGCTATGCTTCTTGTGTAGCAACCTGATTCAAAATGATCTGAGCAGAGGAGGGGTTTGAAAATTCTCTTGGGTCAAAATTTGGCCTACGCTTTCTAACAAATTTAGTCAACTGCCAGCATACAGCAGGGTCCTTTGGAAAACGATGGATGCTTATACCCTTAGTATAACTGTCATTACAACAGCTTTTATGGTCTAGAGTGCCTGCAACACATCGTAGACCACCACAAACCTTAATCCAACGAAACCCTCGAAAGGCATTATTGGTTCAATGACAAGTGATCAGCTCTGAAGTCTTAAATCACACTGAGGAAAGTTACCATCAACATTTAAGAAGAAGGCAAGTATTTTTCATCATGGCATTGTACCTTTCACCATAGATGTCAAACTCGTCCAATCGCTGAATGATTGAAACAGTTAGAATCTGGTAATTAAGAAGTGATACGATACAAATGAGTTGCAAAAAAAACTCCTCATTTAAAGCTTTTTATTCATATTCAAAACTCTACACAGAACCTGGTTAGAATACAAGCATGGTCTTACTTTTTATGTTCGTTTTCACTGCATTTTCATTTTAATATTCAACTAAAATATCACTTTTTATTCTATCTACAAAAATTAATCAAACAAAAAGATAAATTTTATAATCTACAAAAGTTAGAATGAAAAGCTACAGAGACGAGCATAATATACAATTTTATTTAGAATGATCAAATTCATTAGTATTGAGTTTTTCACCATAGCTGCTGCAGAAAATGGGTTCAATGAAAACAAGAAAAATATACCATCAACTACCACCCCTGTTTGAATATGAATATGAGAAAACATGACAAAAAAAATGTTGCTCCAAAATAGCAATCATATACATACCTTAGCGACAGGGAATTTCGATCTGACACTGTTGAGAAGACCCAAAAAATGATTTGCAGCCCTTTCCATGATGCAGTGGGTAGCCATATAATTAGTTTCCAAAAGTAAAACCACAACGTTTACAGATATTTCAGTTCTTATTTGGAATTTTGAACCTCTTCCAAAATGTTAAAGAATTGCCCACACGGTGTAGAGTTAATGTACCAGTTGTCAGGAACCAAAACACTCCTCTTTACAAGAGGACGAAGCCAGGAGTCTGCAAACACTTCTATCTGTAGAGTGAATGGACTGTTCACACTATATACGAAAAGTAACGTGAAATAATCGACTGTAGATGTGAAAGAAATTGTACTACAAATGTTCAGTGCAATCATGATAAATTTCGTATAGCATGAAGGTCACAGCTCATTTTTGAAAAAACTTCAAAAAGAATTTGTTTTTTAAACATACAAATAAAAGTATTTTAATTAGAGTAAGCTTGTAGAGCAATCTACCTTCAGATAAACACTCAACTTATCTACAGATATGAACTCAAATTTAGATGTTTATGATTGGGGCAAGCCACATAAGTTATTACAATATAGAGCTAATAAACTAAGGTCTTTGAAGGGGCCTGACAAACAAGAGCTTTTTCTAAACATATCGTATACGTTATAGTCAGAAACGGTACTCACAAGGTTTTCCATTGGTTCTTTTGCGAGATTGCTGCTTTTGTTCTGCTTTCTACTTTTTCCCTGCCCCCCGAACAGGGCAGGAGCTCTCCACCTTGAACCTTTCATTTCACCGCCTCTCACTCCTCAATTCTAACATGCAACTCCACTCTGTAGAAGCAGTTTGCGATGAACCATGTCCATGTCGGGAGAAAAAGCTTCATTAACTGCCTACTGAGTGCGACTACGGAACAGATCCAAACAGAATTTGCTTGGCATAGAAATCCCAGAAAACCAATTGGGATGTCTTGTTGCCACCTAAATAATTAGCAAAGACACACATCGTTGATGTTTACTGTCTTCAAAAAAAAAATTTGACAATTCGGTTATTCACATTGGCAGGGTAGATGAAATGCTGCCGACCAAGTTTTAATTGAGTTCAAAAGAAAGATGAACTAGTTCTAATCGATAAATAGATTTTCTTCTTCTTCAGCTCTGCCAAAAAGAATGAATTGCGCAAGGTAAACAATTATTTAGAGAAAACTCTAAAGCAATCAACAATGGAATCAAAAATAAAGGTAAAGCCATAGAGCCCTACAAGACTGTCATGTCTGCAAATCATGAAAATTTTGCAATAGAGAAATGTGGGGCTTCCATTGACAAAAAACATCATTGGATGCATGGAAATTTCCAATTACCTTTGTACATGTTCTTGCTGTGCTAATGGGTGTGGGGAAGTCAAATGCCTTTACACGAGTGACAATGGCGATTTTGCAAGCTACATAGCTAGAAAAAGTTATTGTCTGGAAAAAGTTGATGACACATTCCGACTGAGAAGAAAGCATCAGTATTATTATCAAGAACAAAAACAATTGCAAGTAACTGGTAGACAATGTTGTGACTTTGTTGTGTGTGTACTCAGCTGTGGTAAGCCTACATTATTTTTGGAAAGGATCTTTTTAGATATAATTCATTGGGAAGCTACTGTTCCAAAGGTAACCAAAGTTTGGCAAATGTGCATTCTACCTGAGCTTATTGCACGTTGGTTACAAGAAAACAGCACCTACCACATTTACAGCCAACTCAGCCAGGAACAAAGTCCTCTTCTATTTGTTACTGCAGGATGCAAGTTCAAGGAAGTACTCTAAACTCCAATACCCCCAACGTGCTTAATAAAGGAGTTACATTATGTATGCTTACGAATTTCTGATCCAGTCCCAAGCGAGTGGTACTGCCCTAACTGTTGTTTGCTACCTGAATTCCAATGCAAGGAAAGTAGAAAAATATCAAAAGAAGCCTGTTTAAAGAGCCAACACAATGATGAGGCTTTGAAACTGAATACTCACTCAAAGTCAACAGAGAATGAAAGCAAACATGATAGATAAAAATCACTGAATCCAATGATGTATAATTTGATGTCTTTTATGCTCACGAAATGCAAAAAAAGTCAAGAAGATAAAGTGTGCGGCTTTATGACATCAGGTGGTTTGCAGATGTTTGCTGCCGTCTTTGTTTTTGTTTGGTTTGTTGGCAACGTATACTGAAGATGAAGGAAACTTTCGGAACAACAATGAGAAGAGGAGAGAAATATTGCAAAGCTGATGCTGCTGGTAACAGAAGTTGCCAGAACACAAGTTATACTAATGGAATATCCATGCATAGATTCCCAAAAAACAAAGAAATGCGTAGAAAGTAGACAAATTTCGTTCGAAGGCACAGGCCTAACTTCTCACCCACCTCCACTTCCCATCTATATTCCGTTCATTTTGCACCAAAATCCTTTACAAGAAGACTAGACCTCAGAGTCAGCGATGGAATGAATCTGAGTTGGACACTCCAATCTGCAGCTTTTCCAACAGAAGATACTGTCATTTCAACAGCCGAAGAGAAAGAACCAACAGTTACACCTCGTAAGCAGTGACAGGTTAGGGCCTCAAATCGTTACAGTTTCTTGAAAGAAGAGAACCTCTATAGTTCGCTGTATGCACTTTTGCTGTTGCCAGTTCGGCGAGTCCACATGATGTATGTTAGTATTAAATTAAGGATATTGAAATATTTCAAATTAACCTAGCTAGCTGATGTGTTAAATGTAATTACAGTCTGCAGTTTTTCTGTGTTTTTTGAACTTTTTTACAAAAACACTTAATTTTTCTGTCATGAATCTGTTCCAAATTATGGGAATTATTTCAGATATTTCCCAAATAATTTTAAACATTTATTCAATATCTTTCTTCACTGAAGCTTGTGCGAAGCTTGGTAAATGATCAGCTGCCACCAAGCCTAAATGAAGACCATGATGAACCCGTTACCCTTGAATGTCTTGAATGCAAAGAGCTGAAACTAAAGCTTAGAAGGTGTCAGAGAAACTTGAGTAAAGCACGGTTGGCCAAGGAAAAAAAGGAACAATTGCTAAAGGTAAATTTTCGAATATAAGATGTTGACATTAGGATGATTTTTTAGAGGAAAGCTTGCTCTGTGATGAGGAAATGAATGAATGAAATGAATGAATGATTTTGAACTAGAAGATAATAAATGTTATTTATCAGATGATGAAGAAGTAGATGCTAATTAACAGTCAAGAAACAAAATAAGGTTTGTTCCATTCATAAAAAATTTTTCAATATTATCAATGATTATCAGTGCTAACAGTTTTTCGAAATTTAGCATTAAATCTGGATGATAAAAATTTCTGTAACACTAGCTCATAGGCCTTCATCAACATGTTGGGTCAATCATGTATATTTTTACCTGAAAGTATGCCAAAAACTTCTGTGTTTTCCATGGAACTTAAGACAACTAGGTTCCTGATTTTAGATTACCTTTTAAAAGAATTTTGATCCAATGCTTGAGATAGCATATGAAAACCACCTTGGAATACATTATTTACTTTTCAGCGTTGGTATTGGTGTTACTGACTGACGGAAAATGAGCCAAAATTCATTGTGTTCTATTCCATGCTGTTGCAAATTTTCTCCATGTTCTGTTTCTATTGCAAATCTGATGGACCAGCAATTGAAATGTTCAAAAATGGAACAATGGTGACTGTGATACAAAGCTGTAAAAAGTGTGGACGCTGTTATAAATGGCAAAGTTAGCCATTAATATTTAGCAAACATCCTGCAGGAAATATTTTGGTTAGTTGTGGATAGCTGGTTGCAGGAGCTTCGATAAGCAAAACCATATTGATTTTCAAGCACATCGGAATTTCAATATATAATATTCGTACCTACTTCCATCATTAAAGATAATTTCTTTTCCCTACAATTTTAAAAAGCTGGCAGGTATATCAAGATAAGCTGTATGAAGAGGCAAAATCACAGAATGAATTGACTTGGTCAGGAATTGGTAGATTTGATTTGATCGGGCATTCAGCCAAGTACTGTGTATATTCAATGTTTTCTCCTTCCATGATGAAGATAGTTCACTTTAAGCCACTTCATATTCACTTTCATTATGTTTACTGCAAAGCGTCACAAACAATAACATTTAAATAGAGTTAAATTTTCGGAGAATTTGAATATGTAAATCTTGTAAATATGGTGCCACAAGTACCACTATTTGTTGAAACTAGTTGGCAAACTCAGTGTTTTTTACGTTATATGTATGTATATAATGGCAGATCCAACTTGGTTTGTCACATTGGTTTATAGTATGTGCTCATGCGACTTTTGACCCCAGAAATTGACTCAAAATATTTGTGGCAATTCTATGTAAAAACAGATTTATATGATTCTTATTATGAATTAGTATGAATTACTCATTAGCTATCAATACTATTTAATGAGCTGTTAAAACTTATTCAATATTTAGCTATTGCTTACTTGAAAATATGAGCTGTAATATCGGATTATATTATATTTATGTTCTTCAAACATGTATACACATTAATATTACAATATTTTACATATTTATGTATACATATTTCAGTCAAACCAAGTACAGCTGGGTTGTAATGTCCCCATTCCAGAATTTACGTCAGACATACATGCTGGTATTCCAAAATGGCTGAGAGAACAAAATCCCGAGATTATACATTATTTTGATGTATGGCACTTGGCAAGAAATTTTGTAAAAAAAGATACAATGGATGGAAAGGAAAAGGCTAGTGAAAATCTGTTGGAATGGCTTAAAGCAATTAGGAATAATTTGTACTGGTGCGCAACCTCAACTACTCCTGTTCTTGAAGACATGATAAAAGCAAAGTGGCTTTTTCTGATGCTGCAAATAAACATGATGACCATCCAGATTTGCTGTTTCCCAAGTGTGCTCATGAGATTTGTAGCGCAGAGATTGGATAAAAAGTTGTTTTGGTAAAAAGGCTATATTTTTTTGTCAGGTGGCCTATGTAAGGATCATGAAAGTGTGAATTTCAATATTCCATGTAAGGTTTGGATTAAATGCTTGGTATTTATATGAAATGAATATGCAAAGTTTTGTAATATGAATTTCAGCTTTAAAAGTTTTCTTAAATCAGCAAAATATATGCATATATTCCTGTATGAAGAAATTGTGGTCATAGATTCAATGCGAAATCTTCTTACAATCTTTCAGGGACTGTGGTTTATAACAAACTTCTTTCTATTGTGACCAACCCGCAATTGGTAAATACTATCGGAAAACTTTCAGGGGATGGGCAAACAGGTTGCATTGAAGGTTTTCATTCTACGCTAAACCACTGGCACCCAAAAATGATTGGATTCCTTTATACTGGGTGGGTTTGCAGGTTAATAAATTTTATATAAGCTTATATTGAAATAGAAATACATTATGCCCCTCTATCTTGCTGTTTTCTGCTTTATTATGAAGCTGTGATTTCCAAGATCTAAACAAGTTTTGTTTGACGCATTATGGTTCTTCTAATTGTGTCTGTGAAAAGTATATGCTAAGTGTGAAAAGTATATGCTAAATTGCAGTATGTGTTGAACTGTTTAGCAAAAATTTTAATTATATCAAATTATTATTTGATTTTGCAGAAAAACCTATTTGTATATATAAATCTTGTATATATTTAAGAACTATAGTTGCCATTCTGTATTTCAATGAAAATATCAAACAGGAGAGAATTAAAACCAAAGATGGAGAGTCTTACTTCCATGTTGTTTATCCAAAATACAAATTTTGGGAGGAAATAGTTCACGAGGTAAGTTTTACGCTATTTACATGTGTGTTCTCTGGTAACACTGGGTGTCGCAATACGATCTTTACCACCCAACCAACTTATAATAATTAGTTGTTTTCACGACAACTTTTCAAAAAAGTCCCATATTGATCTATGAAAATTTATGCTAGAAAATCAATCACGCGTTTTAGTCTGGAGTATCTGGGTACTTCACTCGGCAATGTTTAGACAAACAAGTTTTGAAGTGACTTCACACAACAAGTCATCAAAGCCTTGTTCGCTGAAGTCTTTGATGTTTGTTGAAGTTGAAGGGGAATCAAATGCAATTCATTTCTGCCTTCCAAGGATGTCGAAGATGTATTAGCAATGATATTCAGTCAGGAAAGACAGAACGTATAAAGTGTTACAAACATATCCCACCCTTTTGCTGAAATAACTGCTAAAACATAAACTGGATGAACTTCTGAACTTTTGAAATGATAGATGAACTTTTCATTCCTTATATACCAAGCATTTTACATACATTGTATAACAAAACTTAACAAGGATGCCCACTGACAGCAAGGCATTTTCTGCTGTTAGACAACTAACTCCATATGGCCCTGATGTTAAAATAGAAAAGGAGGACTGCATAAATCATGTATCAAAGAGAATGGGATCTGCCTTGAGGAATCTAGTGGCTGAGTCAAAAGCACAAAAACAGCCAGTTTCTGGAAAAGGAAAAATTACACAAGAAAAGATGCTGAAGATCCAAATTTATTATGGACGGGCGATAAAAAATCATGCTGGGGATATTCCACTTCTAAAAAAGCGCATCGTGGCCATTTTGCTACATCTTTCATTAACAGATGATTTGCCTAAACATGCTCATTGCCCTCCTGGACCATGGTATTTCTGGCAAAGAGCTTTGGCTATCATTAAGTTCAAGTTATGTTATCATTCACAGCTTTCACTTCTTACATTAAGTCACGGTGTGTATAACAGTGATAAACAAGTTATTTGATTACCATAACATTGGGATATTCCATCTTATTATCACCTCATTAAGTCAACAGCAAGCATTGTTCTCATAAAGGTTTAGCAGCTGTCATTCCTGAGCTTCTAAGGGCATAACGCGTTTAACATATTCCAAATCTTCACCAGAGCATTTGAAACACCTGGTAATCACAGAGAACATGAGACATTACCAACAGAAGTTGGCAAGAAATTGGTTCCTATATTTAAGCGATTATCAGATGATAGTCTATTAAAACAGTGTGTAAGGGACAAAACGTAGAATCCAAATGAGTCACTGTAAAACATTATTTGGAGACTTTGCCCAAAAACTACCTTTGTTGGAAGAAAAACATTAGAAACTGCAGTCATGCTAGCAATTTGTCAATTTGCAACCGGGGCAACATTCAAAGTTGTTCTCTGCCAAGTTCTGAGTCTCTCTCCAGGGTCAACTTTAGAACTGTCAGCAGCAAAAAAACCAAGAAAGGTTAAAAAAGGCAGAATTAGCTGTAAGAGCAGAAGCAAAAAAGAGAAGAAGGAGCCTGAAATATAAAAAATGACCAGAGCAGAAAAGGACAGTGCAAGAAGGTGAACAATATGCTGCTGAAAAATATAATGCATGAGAATTTTCAATTATGTGGTTAAAAGTAATAATTTTTCACATGGTATATATTTTATTTCTAATTGAATTCTAAGAAAAGTGACATTTCTCTTGAAGAAAATTGAAAACCTATTAATTCTAGCTTGCAAGCTCTTCATACATTAGTTTTAAAACTTTAATCAGCATTTTCTAATAATAATGATTTCGGGAAAATTGGTAAAGCTTAGTGCAAAGAAATATTTCACCCCCTGAATATAACAAGACATGTCTATATACCAGAAGAAACCTTATACTTCAGAGAATGCACAAAAGGCCTTTTTTTTGCATTAAATATCAAATTGTTATAGTATTGCACTGAGAAGGTGATGCATAGCCGAAAAACAAGAAAATTTGTAAAATGTGTAACAACAAAGTACAAGATTACAAAATTCCATTTAAAGACCTTTTGTGCACTCCTCAGGGTCCAAGCAACTGTTTGATGTGTCATTTTGGATTGTATGTTTAACTACAACTAAGAACAGCTTGCACTAGAGCAATGCATGTTTTCCCCAATTCATTACCGGTTACCATAGCAACTGCAAGTTATTTTTAAAAGGGTAAAAAGTTGCCCCAGAATCCGAAATTTTAGCATTGTATCTTTTAAAACAAAGAACTTAGAATTTGGACCAGTAGCCTACCAAGGACTGAGAGCAGAACCTTGATGAAGTCCGACCCTGGTCATAAACTCATCCGAGTTACCAACACAGCCCTTTACTGTCCAGTTATTCAAAATTCATTTGAACAAATTATCTTTCTGGTAATTTACACTCTAAATGCATATCTAAAAATGAAAATTATTTTTTTTCCAAAAATTTCATTATATTCTATTGTTTTTTATTGGTTGCCGTATGGCAACTATGGACATCAAAGGTGAAAACACAAAAAATATATGTTTCATAAAATTAACAGAAAATTATAAGCATTATACATTCATACAAAAGCAGTAAATTGGAACTAAAATCCACTAAATAGTATTGTTCTAAAGTGTTAAATTGACTCTTTTACAAATTATAAAAGTCGCAAAAACAGTTTTTATTAGAAGTGAGACACAAGCACACTACTTTTTTCACAGAAGGCACGCACGACTGTAACCCGTTTTGCAAAGCCTGCATTTATTTTGCTTCTCATAGTAAGGCCAGTGACCCAGCTGGTCATATCTTGAATCAGATCACATTTGGAATGAACTCCTATTTGGTCTGACAACTGATGATTTGGTCATTGCCTTTCCTGCTTTTCTCAAGGCAATCTCTGCTTTTTCAGGTACTTTCATCTGTGACCAAAATCTTCTGTAAAGTAACCAGCCATACACTTTTGCAATGTCAACTGCATGAAAGAGGATTACAAGATACCATCGTTTGGTTTTTATCTTGCATCTATACAGTGCTATCAGCATATCTACCAGGTCCACACCCCCCAATGATGTGTTGTATGCCTTGACAATCATTGGGCATGTAACATCTACATGCGTTTTACTGGATGAATTCCATCTTTTAACAGTAACTGTTTCATCAACATTGAGGTATGTTGACACAAGTGTAACAAACTTGTTGTCAAACAGCGCAAGGCAAACATCCCAGTAACCTGGTCTTTTTGGAACCCAAATCTGCCTCTTCCATCCTTTTCATCTCTGTTTCACTTTTCAGGGTACAACCAGCAAGACGATTATTTCTGATTGTTGCTGTCGTTAAAATGCCCCTTTTTTGAGTACCAGGCAAAGATCTAACGTTGCAAACCAATTGTCAAAAAAAATTATAAATGCAACCAGTCAACACTTTGTCACAGAGCTTTAGAACAACATTTTTGCAGAGGTTTTTTCACCTCCCGCACTAGCAGCTAAGGTATAAAAGAAAAAGTCATAAATCATGCCACTCTGACCTGCTCTCACAAAGTCCTTGAAGCTCCATTTCTGGGGTTTTTCAAGGATTGTATTGTCTTATCCCACTAAACTTTGTCTTGGCAGGGAGAATCTGCTCATAGATGGATTGGTACTCTTCCTATTAAATTTTTTGGCAATTCTCACGCCAAGATTGGAGAATTGGATCAATATTGAACAGCTTGTTGCCTTTATTCTATTATCATTTGCATGAAGAAACTGTCTTGACTTTCTGTTTCTGTTTAATGCCATCACCTCAACAATATGAGAGTATCTTGTCTTACCTGCCCTGAAATTATCGTATTTTGGCTTTTTTACTATGCCCATCTTCAACTGGATCCCTATAAGCTGCTCAATTCCATTTTTGTGGGTCAGTTTATTTGCTCTCCCAGCTGATTGGTCGTGGAATCAAGGTTGTATCTAACTTTGCATTTTGTCTCCATCACTTATGAACTTAAATTGAAAAATAAAGTTTTTAAATCAAGGAACAGTCCAACAATGCAAAAATCGTTATTGGGTTTCAGTAAATTCGTCAAGAAGACATGGTAACACGACTGTAAACATACTTAGGCCCATTTGACAAATTCGACCTTGAATGACCATAGTTGCCAAGTGGCAACCAAATTGTTAGAAGCAAATAAATGTAAGAACCAGCCTTTTAACAAATAAATGTTGTCTTTCACATCAACATATAATCTTTGAGAATAGACTATCCAGTGATAAGCAATATATTTGCGAAACTTTTAGCGATAAAATTTCCAAATGATGCAAGCCACTGAAAACTGTTAAAACCACCACTTCTCCCTGCAAACAACAAAACAAACCATTCAAAACATTCAATACAAAAAAAAAGATATCTATAGCAACATCAGAAAGAGATTTGGTAAGTTAAATCACAGACTACCTATACAGAACAACCAATGAATATTTAGTTGCCATATGGCAACTGTGGACAGTAAAGGGTACTGGTGAGATTAGAAAATTTGCACCGCCTCCTCAGGGACCGTGGACAGTCACAGAAAAACTGCCAAATGGAGTTAACTTTGAAATCATTAACGAAAAAAAATTAAATCATCAAAACAATAGTTAAAGAACATTCATTCGATATTTCATAGGAAAGTTATTTAGCAGACAGCCAAAGTAACGCTAGTGACCAAAGCTATGACTATAGCCCTGATACTGACGACAATAACCAAAACAGAGAACATCAAGTCAAGCATAGTCAATACCCGTTTAGAAACAGGAGAGCAGCCATTTATATATAGGAGGGATAAAATGTAGGGTTATACCCCTGTGACTGGACATACTTTTCTTCAAATGCCACAAGTCAAAATAATGTTCTATTCCATCCTCTCTTCCCCACATATGTTTGGCTATTTAAGTGTGACGGTCGAAAACAAAAACACCAATATTGAACAAACTTCATACTCCATCAAGGGGCTGCTTCCAACTTCATTTCTCTGCTAATAAATAAAATTCCTTGATTTCCTGCAAATGAGTATATCTTTTAAGCAAGATAAAATCAGATAATATTTATATATTTCGCAATCCATTCAGCAACTTTTTTCTGAATGTTTTCATCATCACGTCTATCATCAATCAAAGTAGCTTTCAGATTCGGTTTTGTTGTCCACAGATGTTGCAAAATAGTGGCTTGGATCACACTGTACCTGTACTAGTTCAAAATGGATAAGCTTTTGATTGTTACAACACATGACTGAATATGCACCATATTTGGCACAATGCCCCATACTGCCATGTTGTCAATCTCCACAGATCACAAGGTTCTCATTTGATTCCGTTAACAAATCAAGCATATTTTCTTGGTACTGCTTAATTGCATACAGAGAAATGGCTGGAAACAGCTTTTCCTGGAGGTGAAAAAGATCTCTTCATTTTCCAAGCCAAAAAATTTATTTATTTCATTTCTGATTATGGAAAGATTGTGACGAGGCAAAAAAAAATGCATAACCCAAGCAAAGTAAAAAACACACTGCTTACCCTCTGGTGTTTGAAGAATGTTTTCAACGATATGCATGCAAGTCCCATGTGGAAAATATTCGTAGCACTTTTGTGGCAGTTCCTCCAGCAAGCAATATTGCAAATGACAACAACAGATTGCCAGCCAGAATACGATTCCCTTCCATTTGTGGTTGGCTTCTCCATACATTCTCCCTCTTTCGACATTTGGGATTTGCACAAAGGATTCGAACCTCTGCCATTGTTCCTATCTTTTTGTCTCAAGCAATAGATTGTCCTCTTTGCAGACAGGACAAAACTGAAGCAACAGAAGTAGTTGAGATATAAATACAATGAATCCGGGCGCTTTCCTTGTATCAGTCTATTCCGGGTATATGCTAAAATAATGAAAAGAATAAAGAGTTTATGATTTTGTATATTTGGAGAAGTCTATGATTTTGTTCATAAAAGATGGTCTTATATGGAGGGTTTAGTTTAGCAGCTAAAAAAATTAAATCTGTATTTACCGTTCTGGTTCATCTTCCTCTGATTCTCCATCAGAGACTTCTTTATCCTCTACAAAGCTTTTATCGGTGTCATCATCTTCTTCAAAACTCTCATTTTCATCTGAGACACTTTCAGCAATCTCATCTACCTTCCTTGTTTCTATCTCATCCAGATATCTTTGTCAAATACATTTTGGGTGGTTTTCTTTGTCGCTTTCTGCCGCATTTTTCTTGTTTTCCATTGCAAAATCCTCAACCTTCTTCTGTTCGACTTCAGTTGATTTTGCAACCTCCTATTTTGTTCATTGAGAGTGTTACAGGAAATACAATCCAATTGGCTTGGCACACTGCATCTTGAAACTGATAAAAGACAACAAGTGTGTTTTAAAACTTCTCTAATTTGTAAAATGTGGCAGAGATAAATGTTTGTAAATTTATTTTATTCATTTCAGTTTATTTTAAAATTCCAATACCAAACCTTATTCAATATGCAACAAGTGACTAAGACTATATAACAAGAATACAAAAGTTGGAAAACAAAATATTGCTATAAATGAATATAGATAATTGATATTTGTATTGCGGGAGTTTCTTAAGGAGGGGCTCTCACAATAGGTAAACTAAACATATATTCAAACCAGTTAAATCCTAAAACATACCAGCTCTGTGTGGTACTGTATAGACTTATCTAAGTCAGATAATTCCTCTGCAGCAAATTCAATGTCTGCATTTGCAATTTCTGAAACACCAGTTTCTTGAGCAGCTTGCATTGATTCTTGTACAGCTTTTATAGTCTACAATATAAATTATTGCTTTGACATCATTATGCGATAGTGAAACCTTAAAATAATCCTTGGCTTTACCTAGATACTAGTTTTAACTTCTGCTACCCTTAACCCTCCATTCCCAATCCAGATCGAAAGGTATGTATCATTTGGATCATAAAAGTGATAAATATACAAGTCAATATAGCACTGAAAAGACCATCGCTAGTACTGAATAATTGTATGTTTCCCTTCGATTGCACCAATGCAATTCGGGAAATTCCATCTCTCTTCGAACTCTCAGCTAATTTTTTTCCAGTCTCCTGATGGCTGGAGTACTTTAAGAAATCCCTCTTTCTGCAACACCATCCATAACACACTACAATTCTACCAACCGTGGTTCCGCTCATACTATAGCTGGCAGCGATAGTATTGAATGCATCACCTGTTACAAGGAAACGCAATGTAACACATAAACGTTCAGGAGGCTGAATTGGTTCCTTTCTCATAGATTCCTGAATCAAATGAGGAGCAACATATTTTAATAATTCTTTGAATCTTGTAGCTGACATTCGAAACATCTGAAAAAATAATTCGAGACCCTACACTTGTGTTTGTCGAATAAGCTAATGGTATTCACCTTTAACTTTTCGTTGCCTGTAAATTTCTCTGACCCAACCATCTCTTTCTGGGTTGTTTCGAGTAGAAATGGCGTTCTACTTCTTCAGGTTCCATCAGTCTTTGTCTCATGAAAAGAAGTAACAATAACTTTCTTCGCCGATTTCCAGCTGCCATGTTTGTTTGTAACTTTTCGCGGGTTTTCAAAGCTGTTCTTGTGTTTCTGGCGGTCATGCTATCTCCAGTTGCACGTACGATTGTGGAATTTGACAAAATCTGACCGTGTAAGAGCAGCTTAAAATGGATTTGTCTTTTCCATTTAGTAGGAAAAAATGCAAGTGGTGTTTTCAATAGATATAATTAAAATTTATCATACGATTACCTAAAAATGGGGGTTTATCTACACATAACTATTAGTTGGCACCTGCAACAGAAGTACGCTGCTTTGAAATAAGACAAAAATTTAATAATGAAGTTTGTGAAAGTTACACATCGGGTCACACAAAGGTATGTTTACAGATAGATGTATCAATAAATTATTTTGTAAATTTGTACATTAGTTTAGCAATATTTTGTAAAACACATTTTATTTGCTTCTTGGTCTTCTTGACAACTTAAAGATTCCTCTGCTCATAAATGAGTTCATTTTATGCACATATGATGTAGTCTAGAATGTGGTTAACAAATAAATGTAATATAAACAAATAAAAATAACAAATAAAAACTCATTTTCGCTCTAATTAATCGCCCTAGAGAAGAAGGGGCTGCTTTATTGAAATCAAGAGTAGCCCGCTGATTTTAGATCAACAAGGATATGGAGTTCCTTTTCACTGATGATCAAAACCGCAAAATTCAACGCATCAGTCAACTTATGTTACGTTGTCTACTCTGTTATATTCTGTTAATTTTCCTTCAACTATAAGCATTTCTAAACAAAAAATTAGTTATAGTTTATATGAATCAATTATTCTTCTTTTTAGGGCAGATAGGACTACCCTGCACTTCCGAGTCATGGGCAAACGGCAGGAGAAAACCAGGGAGAATAAAAGCAAAACGCGGGCAAGGTGACTAATACTACATGATACTACACGGATTTTGCCTTGTCAATGAAACCCTTTTCACTTCTTGACAAAGTATATTTTTGATTTTAGATGGACACTGACAACTTTGGGGCTCAACATGCTTTATATCAAGAGCACTGTATACTTAAGGGCTTAACAAGCCCCTGGGTCCCAGCGCTTTCATAGTCCCTGTCATTATCCTGTGCTGTTTTCATGTTAATCATAATTCTTTGATGGAAATAGAGAAATATTTTTCATGATAGTTTTATTTAATTGTTTATTCGTCAATCATTGCAGTCAACTAACTGTTTCTATACATTTTTCAGCACTGATCACAGAGCCTGGATCAAGGCTCCCAGAACCCAGATCGGAACTGATGCGGAAAAAAATGTTTAGATAAAAAATAATAGAGGAGGGATAATAAAGAATGTTTTTATTTTTAATAGTTGATGAAAAAAAATTATAAGCCAAAAACGTGTTTCTTTTTATGTCTTGGGTCTCTTCTCTATCATTACTCAGGGCCAAGAAGGCGATAATGTAAGTCACTGTTACTATAAGTCACTTCCAAACATTTTCAGAACCAATTCCAAACAATCCAAATATCATAAAAACTTGTATGAAAAAATCTACCAATGTGTATTAAGCCTTCGATAAATATGAAGCATTTATTTCAGTAACAGTTCAGCTTCAAGGGGGTAAGAATGCTGTCTAACTGTGGTACGATGTTTGACTTGTATAAGGTGAGAATATCCAGTGAGAATTGAAATTCTGTCAGACATGCTGTGTGAGTTTTCCTGGATACAGTTTTGTGAGATTCAACAAACTATGGCAAAAAATGAAAAACATCTTCATCCCCTGGTTAATCTAATACCCAGATTGTGCGGTACTTTATAACACAACACGGTTTCCGTGCATGCCATTGATTTGTATACATTGAACGAAGAATCACAGGAAGCTCTTTCAATTGCTTGCTTATATAGATATATTGATATATCCAAAAGTAACACCCTCAGATCAAACAATCCGTTTACAAGTTGAAAAAAGCACCAGAAATTGCGAAGTTAAAAGTCGAATAAGAAAGAAGGTACTTTATCATTTGCTTTCTTCTTAATCTTTAAATTGTTTGAGAGAAACCGTGTAATTGAAGTTTGCTGGGGGGAAGGGGGGTTTGTGTAGAGTAATGCGATGGTACTGTGCAGAAATACACCTTCATTTAACATCAAGGTTTAGAATTACATCTTCATTTAACATTAGGGTAAATTTATACGATCAAAATCTTGCAAACAAATAGCTCAGAAACTTTTCAATTATAATGCACCCTTTTATAACAAAACAAGGTTCACCCTTTGTACACCAGTTTCATAATTCTGTGGCAAATCATTTTGAAATTTGTTGTTTGTTCATTCTGCAAAAGATTGGGGACTTTTGAAGTTGCTTCCGATTTTCAAGAATTTTTCTTTGCATCTTCAGTTTTATGCCAACCAGCTGATAGCATTGATATAAAATGCAATAATAACAGAGCTCCAGTTTCAAAATTTGATGATTTGCTCATGTTTTTCCACTCACTATTGAAGTTTCTTAAGTTTTCCTGAATGTCCAGTGGAGAACTCATTTCTTATTGCTAATTTCTTATAGAAAAGGATTTGCTAATTGATTTGACTTACTTTACTAAAGCTTGATTTTTTCTGTTCATTTGTTCTCTCATCTAGAATATTATGGATCCTTCATTAATGGAGAGATTAGAGTCATTGAAAATGGACCGAACAAACGAGATGCTGGTCTAGAGGCTCTATATAATAGAGGCAGGTATTGCGTCAATATTGCAAGATGCAACAATGAACAATAGCTTGCAGGACGAATCTATAGACAATCATATTTTAGAATTAGATGTTAATTTATCTCAAAACAGGAACTAACAATCGCAAAAGATTTCTTTTTTGTGTTTTATCTCTACCTATCAAAGACATTACACATAAAGACATTCTACTTTTAGTCAGTTGCTAAACCTCTTCAACAAAAGGATTGCAAGGTTAAAGTTTGCCGCATGGACATTACATCGAGTATTACTGAATAGTAATGGGAGAATGTTGAATTTTTTTTTTCGATAATTAGAGCTTTTTTCAGTTAAAGGACTTGTGGCTCTAACTGTAGTCTTAGAAAACTTTTAAACAAACCCCACAAATTATAGCCCCAAACAATATCTAATCAATAAACGAGGAGGTAAAGTATATAGAGCCCTATGAAGTAAACAAAATAAGTCAATTATAAGTATTTTGCATTACAGCTAACTAGATTTCAAAGAAACGTGCTCACAGCAAACTCTAACCATGGATTCCATCCATAAGAAATCAATTTTGGTACTGCTGTAGTCATGCTGAAGAGAACAAGCTTAAGCTACAATATCTCTGGATCAGACTTCTCCACCAAGTTTCCAATGACCATCAGTTCTGTAAACATTAAGAAATGCTAGAACCATGTAGCAATAAAGAATGACTAGAGACTGGTAGTTCAACCATGAAACTGGCCTAGCAAGTTTAGGCCCTTTTCAGACTGCATCAGTGGGGAAGGTGCGTCATGAGGTGGAAACTGAAATTACTGTGTTACCCAGAAATATCAAATATTTTATCGTTGTATTTAACATAGGTTTTTCTGTGGAAAGTGTAAAGCAGATCGTTTGGTTTGTGCCCTAGAATTTCGTTGCTGCACAGAAGTTGCTGAGCTAATTACAATTTGACTTTTCAAGGCAGAGAGGATATTCCATTCATAATTGAACACAAAGATTACACTGTAATGACAAATGAAGTCGGACTGATGATGACCGGCCCCTTATTGAAAGAAAAGAATGGTCGACTATAAAAAAAGAGCAGGACAAAGCAAAAAATAGTATGTGTGCTCTTGTATCTTTTTTCCAATGCACCTTTACCAACCAGATGAATTTTTCATTACAAGCAAAGCATACAAAGTATTATGCTGCAATTAAAGCACAACTCAACAAAAAGAAAGGTGATGAAGTCTTAGTCCTACTAAGATTCAGCAGTCAGAAATTATGTTTAATAAGTAATGTTTCACGAGAATCCTACCAAAGCCCTATTGAGGTTTATGATCCTTCACCCATGAGTCCCCAAAATTTACCAAGTATGGGAGAGGTTTTTTGAACACTCGCCAAAATAACTTCAGAATATGGAATCAGCAAAAAACTAAATTCTGCGATTTAAGTTATGAAAGCAAATTCAAATTGAAGACATTTTTTTATTCATCATTAGATATTTGTGGGCAGTTGCATATCGTTGGGTAGTAAGGTGGATTTTTGGTTATCTGGGCTGGGACAACAAAAAAGCTCTTCCAGCATGCATCGACAACCATATAAGGGAAAAAAACAAGTAGCAAAAGCTGTAGGGTATGCCTCTGCTCAGGAAGGCAGTTACCTGCAAAAGGTAGGTACATTACGTATGTCACTGCATGTTGTTATTTTTATATAATGAAAGAGTTGCTGGAAAAAGTATATATATAACAATATACATTCAAATAAACGTTAAATATCAGTTCGATCAGCCAGATGCCTCTGCACATTAGAAGTGGTCTCTTGGATGACCCAACTTTGGCTTCTTGCATTTTCACAAGAGAGTGGGGCCTCTTGTCTTTTTTGGAACGATGCCATGAATGGCAGATGAAGGTGATGACTGCAGCTCTTGTTGCTATTTAACTATAAACATAATTAGGTAGAAGTAGAAATTTTGGGCTGCTTGAAATTTTTATTGACAAATAATTGTCCTCGTGAACAAGATAAAATTCACAGAGTTAAAACTTTACACAAATGGCCTATGCTAACTGTAACAAGGCATACCTCAACAGCAAATATTATCATACTTCAAAAGCAAAAAACTTGAATTGGAGGATGTAGGTGGAAAATCAGAACTTGCTCAGTCTACCATGTTAAGTATACTGCTGAAATCATGAATTTTTCCCCCTGCAAGACTTCATAGCTCTTTAACCATGGTAAAAGAACATTAATTCAAATGGGAAATTATGATGATGATCAAAACCTACTTGTTGAATAATATGCAGTCTGTATCGACTTTCTTTCATTCTGGTACCTGACTGCATCGGCTTTTGTTTGCCGTTCTGTGAACTGACTCGTCAGTGACTCTGGGACATCTCTGGTGTAATTATCAAATGCTTCTTTCAGGTTTTGCATTGATTTTGACAGCATTATCTCTTTGATTTCATTAACATAACCAGTTTAGAGCAAAAAAATTATCCTTAAAATTAAATCAGTTTTTAAGTCATTCGTTTTATTTTCTAGGGCCTGTGAAGTCTACTGGGAAGAAATCACTTGTAACAATAAAAACAAAAGTGCCTCACTATAAGTTGGAGGAATGGCAACCACACGCACTACTTCTTCTCCAATCTTGAACTTTTAGTAAAGAACATTAAGATAGTTCACCATCAGTGGTCCTTTTTCTTTCCCTTTGAATATTTTGATTGAAATGCATGGCAGCCAGTGCATGACTAAAAGTATTATAGAGAATGGATATTTTATTTATAGTATAGTATTTATGGAAAAAACAAAGAAATTGATTTCACTTTGCTTACATATAAAATCTTGTTTCTGTTGAGTGCTTCTGCCATACTTGTACAAGAAAAAGTTTTGATTCTCATGTTTTCAAAGTTTTCAGCAGGTAACAGAAATGAAAGAGGGGGTTGTAATATACCATATACAGTAGATACAGCACTAAGTTGTATCCAGATGAACATAAATGTATTTTAGCTACAGTCAGCTATGTTTGTTTTATCCATTTCGAATTGAAGTAGTTGCTTCCACAACTTAACAGCTCAAAAAAATGTAGCAAGCTTTTACAGTACAAGTTGGGAACAAAAGATATACCTGCAATTTGTTCCAAGCCAGGAAAAATGGGCCATCTTGGGATGCCACTGATTCAGCAAGGAATGGAAGCCCTTGAGGCAGCTTGTTTGGGCATCTGAGGATAGCTTTTCAATTTCTTTCAATATGCTGCCATTTCAAAATTAAACGAAGCTTGTCATGCTGTGGGGTTCCTTAACAAAAAAATAAACACTTTGAGTTTATTCATATATTCATATAATATAGCAAAATCGTTAGATAGATAGGGGGGGGGGGGAGTTAGCAGATAATTAACATTTTCAAAATGTCAGGAAAGCAATCACTACATATTTACTCAAATCTGAAATGCAGCATTTCAAAGGCAAAAAATCATGTACCAGAAATTTCATATACACTAATATAAATTGATTCAATTTTTCAACTTAGCTACTGTAAAAGCATTATATTATATTGAGTTATCTTGAATTTTGCAACTTTTATACATACTGTTATTTTTCTGGTATGATATGATTATGATTGCACCTCAATGTTCTTTTTTATTCTTTATTTCAAACCACAAGAATATGTTTCCAGGCAGATGTTCTCCAGACCACTTTACAATGATATTAAGTATGCAATTAAAGAGACAAACCTTTCAGTAAGGCTCAATTCCTTCATAGGCACATTTTTGGAATAAGAGGGGTCTGGATGTTCTGAATGTTGATCGGCAATATGATGCATTATTGACTTCCATTTTGCAATAATCAGTTCTCCAAAGTCTTGTTTTGTGGAAACAGCACAGAAATACAAGTGGTTTTGAATTCCTCTCATCCATGATTTCAAAATTTCATTTCCCTTTTCTTGACTTGCTGCTAGGAGTTTCTTTGTTATGCTTTTGGATACATGCCAGAAATCATGGAATTGCTCTGGCTCTGATTCCCGGGTCCATTTCACTATACTTTTGTGTCTGTCACTGATGAAAGAAGGTATCTTCAATCCAGCATTTTTCTGAAATTCAAAGCATCTCTTTGTACCAAATAATTCCATTGCATTAGAACTCTCTGCTTGATTGGCAAGAAAATGGGATATTGCAACCAAGTCACTTTATATTCAAAGACTTCAAAGCTGTACTTGTACTAAATGTCTCTCATCAATTACTGCATACAAAATATCTGCATACATCACTTACTGCATACAAAATACCGCTTACATATAGGTATTCTAGGTATATTCCTAATAAATATATTTTATTTATTTATAGGAAAAATGTATATCACCTGTACAACTTCAAAATGGACAATTTTTGAGATGGAGATGCAGAACATTGTATAAGCACCATATTTTGCCTTGTGCCCCATCGAATCAAAAAGTCCATCTCCTGACCATTAGACAGTCTTAAGATACTTCACTATTTCGATTAGTGATTTGCATTGCTTGTTCCATTGCAACAGTACAGAGGAAAATAAAAACTTTCTTCGATGAAGAAAAAAAGTACGCACTGATATTGTTATAATCCCATGTGTTTGAATATAAGAAGAACTTGACTTATGGAAACACCAGATGTCAAAATGGCAGGAATTTTTCCAAACAGCAATGGCTGACTCTTCCACCTGAACTCCTTGCTATATTGCCTGCAAGACTGGATAATAGTTGCCACTGATCCTGTTTGATGTATCTCAACATCGGGCTTATCTGCGTTCCAATAGAACAGAACTGGTTTAATATTGCCATCAGCATACCAAAGAAGACAATAAATTTGGGCTCATCAGTAGGCTTAGTCCCAGGATTACAACTGAAAAGGAGAATGAAGTGTTAGCATTTCATTCATTCATGTGAACTTTAATGTTGCTTATACTAAAATTTTCATTCAAGTAACATAGTATAATGTTCAAGAACTTTTTTTTGTTCTCTACCTTTTTCAGCAACTTATACCCAGGATTTATGAATAGTCAGCTCAACTATCTGACCCCTCCCTGTCCACCTCTTCTATGAAATTCGGCTGACCATTAAGAGAAACCAAGAGTAGTTAATTCCCTTTTCCCACTTTGTCTTGCTTTCACAGCCATGTTTTTGCTTGGACATGTAATATTACACAGCTTATAATGTTTACTTACTGAACTCTTTTTTTATTATCAAATTTTTCCATCAGTATCAAACACTTCTTTGTCTGATGCAAATTCTGTTTCTTCATGACTTGACCAGTCTGTATCCGATTCTTCAAGTTCAGTCTCGTCATGAGGTATTCTATCATATATTTCTGAAAATGTTCTTCTTGCTACACTCTCTTCGTCATCATCATCATCTTAATCACCATTGTGGTCATATTCAGGAATCTGCATAATAAGTCAAAGTACATTACAGCTGATTAAAAACTGTTTATATCAATCTGGTTTATAAAAAATTTGACAGTAAAATAAAAACTTGGTAGTGCCATGTCTCAAAAGTAGTGAGAAATTTTGCAAGTCAAATACAAGGACTTTGTGGCAATGAAGTTGTTGAATTCTAGTTTTCTAAAATTTAAAAAGAGTAACTTTACACAAGGAATCACCATACTTTCTTGGTCAGAAGGTCATTTAGCTTTTTGAGCAAGTCTAGGAAGCAGCATCCCCTAGCCCCATACCTCCCCACAGGGCCTTCTGAAACCCATTTGGTCAGAATATCTGAATCAAAACTTACTTCCTGTTTGGCATTTACTTTCAACTCATCCCTTCTTCGCTTCAGGTTGTGAATTCTCTTTTGTGAATGTAAGAATTTAAGAATTTTTCGTTGACGAACACCGCATTTTTCACAATTTTTTGTTGTGTTTCTTCTGCTTGGCATCGCTTCCTGGGCACTTTTGTGGTCACTTGGTTCATGTGATTGTGACATAACGTTTCTCTCAACAACTTGGTTGTCCTATCTCTTCTCTCGAATCATGTTGCGAAGAATCTATGTTCAAAGATACCAAAGATCAGCCTGATTTTTATTAGGTTTTGGTGCAAGGGTACGAAAAATAATCAAAGTGACCAGAAAGAAAAACTTGAAAATAATTTAGACTGGTAAGCCTATCAAGGAATATTTATCTGTCCTTTGTCACGAGCTTGGAGAGGCAAACTGTCTTGTTCTTTCCTAACATTCGCATCAATCGATGGAACAGCATCTGGTTTTAAATGAACTTTCATTTCAAGTGACAATGCTATATCTTGTCTCATTGTGTAACTGGCATCGTCAAAATGAATCTCAGATAGGCTGGTGGCGGTGAATGAAGTGTACCCATTGCAAATGTCGCACACAATCTTTAACATTATGTGGAAAATGAGGAATAGATATTCCTTTCATATGCTGACTATTTCTACAACTCATCGCGTTCCGGCCACCAGCATAACAATGTTTTCTTCCAGCAGGTACAGTGGAAGCTCTCGCACTCATGTCCGTCGCCATTACTAATTCAGCAAATTGAATGATTACTACCATCTCTATGACTACTACTTACTACATCATAATCGAAGGATCAAATAATGAACCATTTCACCTTTGATTCCTATTAAACCTAACCTTTGGAAAGCACTATTTTTGCAAAGGAAGAAGATATTTTCATTCTGTTTCTGGAATATTATACCTAGATACAAATTTTCTGTTTTTAGTGACAATGAAAAATCCAAACTCATATTGCATAAACACTTTTACGGATCCCAGCATCAAAGAAAGGATGGGACTGTTACCAAAATGATGTAAACATGTTTTTTATGCCTAGACACGATATTTCAAACATGTTTGTCTATAAAAATAGCATTCAGTAAGTTTCAACACTTCATAAACGCACTTTTTCCTTTTGCACAAAAACTAGACTTTATTTATCGAAATGAGGCTGAATGCCCCCAAAATTGACTGTATAACATTCATTTTCGAAATCAGCGTCCGAAGATTGACGAAATCCACCCTATGTCATAAATATCCAGGAGATTTCCGTTGTCTGCAACCGGCTTCATGACCCAGGGTAAAAGTGGGTAGGCTGCATCTGCTGTTATATTTAATGGCACTTTAACATCTTTTATATTTTTTGGCATTTCCCCAACAAATAGAGAGTTGTTTTGCCCTTTCTCAAAAACAGAGGAATTACTAAAGACACAAGCATCATGAACTTTACCTGGCTAGCCAACATAAAAATCAATAAATTTATAGCTGCTGTCCATTACCCCTTGTAAAATAATTTTGTACCAGCCCTTACGGTTGTAATAATCTGCATGGTAGTCAGTTGGTGCCTTGATTGGGGAATGTGAGCCATCAACAGCTCCTGGACATTGTGGAAAATCCCACTTCTTCTGAAATCGATCCACAACCTTTTTCAATTCTCGGTGAGTTGGAAGTTTGAAGTACCTTGGCAGCATAAATGTTTTCATAGCACTGCAAAATTCATCGAGAATAATCTTCTTTCTTCAGAAAATGGAGCATCTCGCTGCAAATAAGATCAAACGTCTTTTCTTTCATTCTTAAGTTTTGCAGCCATTCACTGTCAGAAAACGTCTCTTCTACAATACTGTCCCTTCAAATTATGTTTTTTGGCCTTCTCCAAACAGATCTAGAAATAGTTTGAGGTTTGCAAGATTCAAGCAAAATTATATCTTGAATCATCTGTGCCTCAGTTTTGACAAGCTGTGCTTGTCCTTTTTTGACAAGGTTTCAAACAAAGAAGACACATGCGATTCATCCACCACTGAGAAACGTACCACATTTAACGCGATCCATATTCTGAGGAGAGAATCCATGCACCGAGGATAAGGAAAAATCATTATTAACAAGAAAGATCGCGATTAAACACAATACTGGCGAAAAAATCAGCTTGAATCATTTCAGCCAATCAGGGCATTCATGGTCAGAGAATTTGCAAGTTGACAGGCGCTAATTCTGTTTGATTCCTTTGATACATCGCTAATTTATTGCACGGGTGGGTTTTAGTACAGTTTACCGGTTCTTCTGTGCATGATGCCGAGGGGCAAATTCACTCTTCGCTATAAATCCTTTCTTTTGTGAAAATATCGTACGCAATTTTCAAGAGTGAATTGCCCCTTGCCAGTGACTTGCCAGAATATGACAGGTTTCACGCTAAAAATTTAACACAAGTCGTTTAAAAATGTAAAAAGATTATTATGTTTGACATACTGGCATAAGAAGGGCTGATTCTTATGCCAGTTTGTCGAACCGGAAAATTAACCTACTCTTTCAGATCGTATTCCTACTGCAATAGTCGATGGCAGGTGCGCTTGACTTTTCTCCCTTTATCCTACCAGAACCCATTGAAGGCCTAAGTTGGTGACTACTTTACAGTTAGACACATGTTTTTAAATTCAACTGAAATTTTTGCCTTCCATGATAGGCTAACTTGAAGGTGTTTACCTAAATAACAAATGCAAATACTTCTGAGAAATGATTACCCATCAAAGTAGTAGAGTAAGGCACAATCAACCCTAGAATATATTTTGAAAACTTACCAAGTAAAAGTACCATCTTTTCTGTATTTTCTTTAATATGCGAGAACCAACTAATTTGGCCCCAAATTCCATGCTCTTTCCACGTGTTCCTAAACACTTCCGAGTGGCTTTGAAAATGAGTTATAGAAAAGCGGTTCGAAGAGCTGTGGACACTCCCTTGAATACGATTTCAAGAATATTTACTCGTTTAAGAAGAAAAACCTCTTATCTTATTACTGTAAATAGCTCCAGTATATAGTATTCCAATGTAATGTGATGCAATTTGCTTAGAATCACACACTTGCCAAGTTTTCCCACACATTATTTGCGGATGTTCAGACATTCTTTCCAACTGCGAATTCTATATGGTTACTGACAGGCTAAGATCAGTGCTCTTATCGTTTTTGTTGAAGCACTGAGGTATTTTGAGCAGTAATTTTGTTTTTGGTTAGCAACATTGATGTCGCGTACTGGAAAGCTGCCATATTATATACTGTGATAGAAAAGCCTATGTGAATTTAAATACTTGAACCCAGTACCATCACACGGTCTTCACAACGCAACTTATAATCATAAAGTGGTGGGAGGCTACACATTCATCTAGCACATGAATAGAACAAAATCGGCAATCATTAATGGTTCACGATTCTTACGTTTGTTTTAATCAATAAATATTCGGTAGAAAATTCTAAAGAAAGACTTTAAATCTCAAAAGAAGGAGTTTAAATCTATAACACACTTTTGAGGATATAAATTTCTAGTTCAGGTTTTTAATGGAAAAACTAACATAAAACTGTATCTGACCTAAGGAATTAAAAGCAAATCGATTTCGTGGTCAAATATTGAAATATCAAATTGTTTCATTTATAAAAGCATATTTTTTTAAAATGGTGTTGGGCGAATACCAGCGGTATAGTAGCGTAGCATTAAAAAAGAGATGCTTTTTAACAGTATTCCAGCAATTGAGGAATGTTTCATATTAAGAATATTTCAAAACAATTAAGGCTGTGAAAAGGGGGCGATATTTCTCGAATTCGAAAAGGATGATGGGTATTTCATAAAAGAAGAAACATTTTTCTTAATCTATGCTTGCTGCTTACCAGTTAATGGTTATGGGTGGGGGGTTACTTTATCGTAAAATTAAAATTTATTTTGAGTCTTTCTTGCTTCAAGGAACGTAAATGGCATGTTAATCACAAATAGTAATAGTTAAATTCCAACTTCTTATTGCTTCTTTTTCTTGAGAGCAACCTGCAAAGCAAGATACAAATTCAGTCGTTGTTATCTTCTGCAGCGAAATTTGCATGCATTATGCACCAACAATAAGTCTCTAACAACATGCATTTTTCCCAGAGCATCCTCTATATTAAATATTAGCATTCTTTAAATATGACAACAAGCAGAGTCAGGAGAACATCACAGACCCACAGCCACTGGCCGGAGGAAAGTTGTAGAGAAAAAAAGAAATTGAGGAAGGTGGTCAAAAAATTGGAAACTTGAGGGAGTTGAAGAAATCGAATGGCCTTTTGTTTTTCAAAATACAGTCTAACAAAAATAGAAACAATCAAATAATATTTATAACCCTCCTGTTTTTTCAATAAGAATGTGTTTGGAGACCGGTTTTGCACTGTAAAATTGAAAAAAATTATTGCAAATGGATAAAGTCATGTAACTTTAAACAAGCAACAATTTTTTAAAACATTTTTGAAAAGCAGAGTTGCAAGAAGAGGAGATCAAGACTAGTTGAAATCCCCCAATCTCCTGACCACACCTTTTTTAAATACCTATTAAAAATTAGGAAGGTTTTAAAGTAAGATTTTCTTGGCCAGAGGAAGGTTTCCACTCTAATTGACAAAATCCATAAAGACGACTCTGTTGCAAAGAATTAGTTACAATAATTCAGGAAACGATACTAACCAATCTTAGCTCAGAGAAGCATTCAATAAAGTAACGGAAAAATACCTGTTTCAATGTTGTTGACTTCGCATATAACTTTTTCAACAGTTTGTTTCTTTGCTCTCACGTCCTTTGTCTCTTCCTTGGTATTTTTCTGTGGGGGTTGGAACTTCTTGAGCCTGTCAAGGTACCAGTTCAGCTGACCTCCATGTATAAGTTCTTGGTCTGTAAATGACTCCCACATGCGCCGTTTCCTCTCTTCCTCTTCTACAAAGCCGTTCCACCATTCTCTTTCTTGTAAGGTGAACCTTTCTGAGCAGCTTCGTACCCCACTAGAAATTACCTCCTTGCTGCTTTGCTGCAAGGAAAGTCCTCGAGAAAGTAAAGGTTTCCCGGAGGGTAATCCTTTAAGAAGATAAAAGGGGTTCCCCTCATCATCTCCCTTCCAATCTCCCTGTGAGGACCAGTGACAATACCACATGCCGGCCTTTCCATTGGTGCAAAGCTCAAATTTGAAGGCATGTGGTCTACTGTGCAGCTGTATTGGGCTCAGCCAATCCTTCACCACGTACATATATTTAAAGACCTCTACTCGGTGTGGAAGGTCGTAGGCGCCTTGAATATGCGACGTCAAGTTGGCCAAAGTCACCACATTGTTCTTCTGTAGCTTGGAAGCAATATGGCTGAAGAGCTAAACAAGTTCAAGATAAATATTTGATAAATATAAACTGGATTGTCATTTTAATGAGTTCTTTATAAAGTTAAGCGTTGTCGTTGTCACTTTAGTTTAATCAAATAATAATCTCCAGTCATTCAAATCAATAATTTTTGCAAAAGTTTTAACAAAATTTTTTGTTTTTTTTTTCAATTGGCCCCCACCACCCTTTTACAATGTTGTTTAATATCAATACTATATGAATGTTGGTATAATACCAAGCATTGGAAGCAAATACTTCATATAACAGAATAATGATTGTATGGGGGAAAAGAAGGAAAAAATTAGCTGCAAAATTGATAACTTTAGATCAAAATTTGAACTTCAACTATTTTTGACATGGTTTGTAGAGCTATCGAACTAAACAGATATCATACCTCGTCAATGTCCTTGTGGGTATGATCAACCATCAGGAACGACAAACGAATCTAAAAGATACCATCAGAGGTTTAATTCCAATGATTTTATTTAAAACAAAACTCTATAAATATGATGTGTATTTCAAACTGTCTGATTAATTTTAAAACAGATTAATCTGGAAAGACTACCTTTATCCAAGCCATTAGACATATTTCAAAGTTATAAAGATCGGCTTATAGGATAGCATTGGTTATATATTTTACCATGCATCCCGGATTTCCAAACAGCTCAGAATAAAATGTGAGAAGTGCTGTTTGGGAGTTCGATTGAGCATAACATTTCTGGTCTTGAAAAATCACATACAACACACACACAAGAGCGAGGCAAAAATATCATTTAAGTTTTCAGTAAACACTAATGGCATAACGAATGGAACATTTTATAAAACCAGATTTTAAGAAAAATCATTTTTTGTATAACAACTGACACACACCTTCATTGATCTTGCAGATAAATTGGCAAATAAAGATACCGAAAGTAAAAACTAACTTGGTAACTTTTTGCGTTCATTTCAAGCTTTAAATTAGTGTGCTGTCAAATGAAAATATGGTAAGATTTGAAAAGTGGCACCTAAAACAGTGGTTCGGAAAAACGAGGATATGCTGTACTCACTTTTCGAAATATCGCCTTTTCGACAAGCAATGCGCACAAGCAAAGAACGTAAATGTTTTTGTTCTCCCGCCAAAAGTGATCCATTTGGAGATAGAGAACGCTTGGTAAAGACCCATCCTACAAAATAATATAATTTGAATGAATGGTTCTTTCTTGGCTCTTTACTTCCTGACATGTATGTATCATCATGTAGCATCTTGTTGTACACATATTGTCTCATTCTATTGTAAAGTAAATGTTGCCCAGGTCTCTAGCATTGAAACAGGTATTAGGCTATAATAGACTTGTACAGCAGTTGCTCCAGTTCCTTTCCCGGCTTGCCAATACTCCTTATTAGCATACGTACATACCTAGTCTTCAATTTATAACTTTTTTAATGCAAAACAAAATGAGTCAATTTGGAAATTGCAATCTCGTATTATCTAGCTAGAGTACTTTTAAGCATAATTGGATAATACCTTTGATAATGACACCAGTGTTCGAAGAAGAACGTTTTGTGTCAGGTCAGAGTCGTGCGACCACTCTAAACAATCCACATATTGATATGACATTTGGTGACCGTGCGAATAAACGCCTGTTATGTGTGTTGTATAGAAATGAGCCTTTTGTCCCTGTCAATGCACAAAACGGATTCTATCCTATTAATCCATGTACCTAGGAATATATCAATGTGCCAGCTGTAATTTACACCTTATGAATGCTTTATACGTGAAACTTATTATGTATTGCGGGTCATACAAAATAATTCTCAAAGGGAAAAAACACATACAATTTTAAAAAAGATATACTGACTTCCTCCATAAAGATTTTCCTTGTTAAATTTTTTAAACAAATTTGCCTTATTTTCATTTATATTAGTACAAACTTTTTTACCAATATGTGTTACAAGCGTAGAGAATACAAAATGTTTATACCTTTGTCTGTGTCGTGTAATGGGGTATGTTGGTTTTAGACTGGTCCATGCCGTCTATGATCATGCTCATGTAAGTATCAGGCTGTGATCACGTTTTGTCCCTGTGCCGATAATAAACTCTTTTTTCCGCTCTGTCAACAAAAAAGAATGCAAAAAATTGTAAAATGTATTATCTACTGTAAAATAGCTGTAAAACGCAAAACTCTATGTAAAAGATGAAAATCGTTAGTGTGTTTGTGTAATCAGGGGCTATAGCCAAAGGTGCCAGGGGTTAAGCACTCCTTGTTAAAATCCTGAGAGTTTATTGGCGACTCAGCCCCACTCTCTACAAGACAATATATGTCCTGTTGGGCGAACTCATTACTTGACAAAGTTAACTTACCCTTAATTATGCTATTGCTTTTCCATTAATGAGCGTTATATAAGCTTTTAGACCCCATGTACACAACAGAAAATCAACATGAACGCAAGTCAAATATAAAGGGTGTGACTATAGATAAAGCATTTAGCTGGCTACATCACCCCCCCCCCTTACTAACTTTACTAACGGCACCCCTGGCTACAACCAAATGAAAAAAAGGAATAATTTGCTCCTCGGGCTCAAACTATTGAGGTATCTATGGTATCGTATCTAAACTATGGTATCGAGAAAAAGCAGTTTAAAAGACTTACCTTTGTAAGGTATTGTGTGAAGCTCCAATTCGGTTTTCACACTAACTGTTTTACACTCTTTGCTCAGTTCCCTTATGAGTGTACAAATGCCACATTTTGAGAATTAATTAACCTAAAAATGCAGACCAAAAATAAAAAAGACAAATAACATGTTAAAAGAAATAAAATTCTGATCTTCTAAGCTGATCCGTTTAATTATCTTATTAATGCTAAGTAAAATGTTTTTATAGTCATTGCAGCAAACAGATGGGACTAAAGGCATAGGTACTAATTTTTTTTGTTACGGTTTGGCACAACAAATCATTCATGAGACTAAAATCTATACTTTCTATACCTTTGCCACTACAAAGCCATGTTTGCTTGTAGGTTGGCATGGACTGGTTGCATGTATTGTTCAAATATTGAAATACAACAATAAATGGAAACTTAAAGAGAAAGTTGCCTATAGGGTTTTGTTTGCTGCCTACTGGCGCAATGACAACATTCTTGAAATGATGCTCCCATACAGTTGCGAAACAAGACTTTTTTACTTGTTCGTCTTCAGCCATTCCTCCAGTACACATTTGAGCAGCATAGCTTTCAGAGATGTCTCTTTTGGTGAAGCAAGATTGTAAAAAGATTTTCTCTTCATCTGGGGCTTTATCACCGCAGCTCTCCACAAATTTATAAAGCCAAGTTTTTGCTCTTGCCACCTTTTCTGACTCCAGCTTGCTTCCTTAATTCGCACTTTCTCCACAGAGACGTCCATGGAGAAGAAAATCTTTGCGTAAAGAGTAGAACCTAAACGAAAAGAGGGTTTGATATTGCATTGAAATTAACAATAGGTATGAACGTTAAAACAAATAAGAGCAGAAAAAAAGGATTTATAGCGATTTTCGGACAATACCATATGATTTTCACCACTATAGAGCAGGATTAGCGAAGAGTGAATTTGCCCCTTGGCATTGGGCACAGAAAAACCGGTAAACCGTACTAAAACCCACCTGTGCAATAAATTAGTTTTCTATGCATGCAGTGTGTCAAAGGAATCAAACAGAACTAGGGCCTGTAATGAGGATTAGCGCCTGTCAACATGCAAATTTTCTGACCATAAATTTCATGGCAAATACAGGGCCCTGATTAGCTGATACGGTTCAAGCTTATTTTTTCGCCAGTATTGTGTTTAATCGCACGCGATTTTGTTAATACTGATTTTTCCTTCTCCTAGGTGCATGGATTTTCTCCTCAGAATATGGATTGCGTTATTTCTACATTACAACTTACAAATTATCTACAACTATAATGTTCGTTTTCCTCACATTGTGTTGCACTCTATACCAGTATTTCATATGATACTTGCTAAATACATAGCCAAAAATCATACTCATATCAGTATATAACAGAATCCGCAAAGCATGCACCTGTCAGTGCACATATATGCATGTACATATAAAGCAAACGTAATGTACACATAGAAATATATATCTGTATCTAAATATCTATTACATTGGTACATCGTACAACCTATGAAACATCGCACCACCCACCTTTAGGGTATGGGCACAACTACACAGGTTTGGTTGTCCAAAAAAATAATTGAGAACAAAAAGTTTTGTATACACATCTTTCAAATGGTGAAACCTCTATACAAATATTCATATGTGTGTATATATTTCTGTATATATAGTAGTATATATAGAGTAATATCACGCAACATATCTCACAACACTATTATAACTATGCTTGCACAGATAACAAAAAAGAACTTCTCGACATGGTGCTTGAAACCACCAGAGATGATTAACCCATCGAATGTGGCCAACGCACACCCGAGAACATCAAGGCACGGCCTCTCTGGTTACAAGACAACCGTCCTCCGACCCTCTCAAAAAAGGGCTGAAAAAACAAACTCCCCCAGCCAGCATAATGGTGAGACACACCAAGAGCAGAACTGCAAATTGACTGCTCTCATATCTAACAGCCTGGCGAGTAGCTTCTACCAGCAGCATAAATTAGAGAAAAATAACAACCACATGCAGAAAAAGGTTGATATCCAACTTTTCTCTACCAGGTCAACGTCTGTTACAGAAATGACTTCTCATCAGATTTGCAAAAGCAAGTGGCAGAGGCCTGTTGCACATTCACCAAGACCATGTGCAACATACTGGCATCTCATCATGAATCAATAAGGTCATCGCAAGAAAATTTTGAAGAGTTGTTGGAGCTAATTTAGGCGGACATTTAAAAATACGGCACAAATATGCTTGATTCTGTACCTGCAAATATTCAACTAGCAGCCACTGTAAGGTATTTGGCAACAGGCGAGAGCTATAGTGAATTGCAGTATCAACTCAAAATCCAATCAAGCACATTGGGAAGGTTCATTTTGTTGGTTTGCCAAGCAATTCACAAGAGGTTGAGAGATAATAATCAATATTTTTCTAAATATTTCTTATTATTATTCATCTAATTATTCATACATCATGTCCATTCAAAAGGACTGCGTTCCTGCCACAAAAAAAAGTTCTATTTTATATAAATTTATGTGCCACTGTAATTCTGGCTACGTAGGACGCACCACCCAAAGATTGGAGGATAGGTTAAAACAACATGTTCCATCCAACATTAGAAACAAAACCCATCCCCAAAGAGAACAGCCACCTTGGTCTTGCAAATCTAAAATTACAACTAAAACTTACGATTCTGCTATATGGCAGCATTTGCTGGAAAACCCAGATTGTGCAAAAAACTATAATGGCGACATGTTTCGGATTATTGGTAAGGCCTGATCGTCATTCCACCTAGCAGTTTTAGAATCTATCTACATAAGCACGAAAAACCGCTACTGTGTAGACAAAAGGAGTTCGTTTTCACCTTAGGACTCCACTGGTAACATTCTAATAGGCAAGGGGCAATGATTGGTCAACCTTTACAGTAATGTGCTCGTGTTTCTGATTGGCCTATTTCGAGCCATAACTGGGTATATATATTTCTTAGCCTAGAGTTTTCGATCTATGTTCTGACGTTTTAAACTCTGAAGAGTGTCAGACGAAAAGCTTTAGTTTACCAAATGTTTGCTTTTTTCAAAGCCATTTACAAGTTTTGTATCACCAAAAGATTGTTTTCATACATCATACTTGAGGGGCTTTTCGACTGCATTGCTTGGCTGGGATCTGGAGACTGGGGTCTGGGATGTTGGAGACTGGGGTGACTGACACACTGGATAAACATAGCTCATTTGGTTTACAGGAAAAGATTGATTATTAAATATTGGCAATCTATTCTGAGCTGAAGATAACATTTGCTCCCAAGACAACGCCTAACATTGTGCTTCAAAACAAATTTCTTGTATTTTTAATTTAGCGTATTTCTTTTTTCTGCTGATCATTAATCTTTTTTAGGGAGCATGCAACATTTTTTCCAAATATATCACCCCTTTCTTCTGGTGTCGCCACTTTTGATTGAAGGGCAGAAAACGGTTGGTCTATCAGCAAATCTTCTTTTGCTACCTCTACCATTCTTTTTTGCCTTTTTGCAAGAGGTCTTTTGGTGGATGGCTTCCTCAAAGTGTTGTCAGAATCTTCGAACGAATCCACATTGAGATTTTCTCTTTCATTTTCATAAGGGCAGCTATCTTCATCAGTATCAGCCGCAGCGCAATCATTGTCCTAAGAAACATATAACAAAATTTACCTTTCAGACAACATCAGCAGAAGAGGAATGGTTAAAAGTGGCTCAGTTGTTTAAACTTTCCAAATTGTCTAGGAGCCTTGAATGGCAAGGATATTGTTGTCAGGCAACCACAAAATTATGGGTCGTAATTCTTTAATTACAAAGGAACTTTCACCCTATCCCCTGCGCAATCTATCCAAGGCTTTTAACTATCAACTCAGTCGAGGCTTTTGGGATTCTTGCGAATAGATTTAAAGTTTTTTATCGCCAATGCTTTTATCACCAGAAAATGTTGAAAAAGTAGTTTTAGCAAGTTGCACACTCCATAATTTTCTATGTGAGAATTCACCTTTGCCATACACACCCCCAGAAATTTTTGATGGTGAAGATCAGGAGACTGGAAGAATTATTCCTGGCAGCTGGAGGTCAAATGGCATGATAAAGCTTTTCATTCAGTTAATTTCAGTGGAAGTAATAACTATAATCAACAGAGCAAGGATATATGAGATTGCTTTTGTGAATACTTTATCACGGATGGTAAAGTCCCATGGCAAGATAAATTCAGCTAACTGAATTTATTTATTTAATTTAATTAAGTTCCTACCAACGAAGATATTGTTTTTTTGGCTTGATTATGTCTCTTATAAAAAGCATTGACTTGAAGTATGGCCACTTGGATTCGTAAATCTTGTCGCTTCCTTCCCCCCAGCGTTGATCTTTACTTTTGTTTAATTCTTTCGAAAAGTAAGTTCGCAGAGTGTTGATTTTTTATTTTACCTCTGTCTCTATAAAGAAATAACCTAATTTAAATCCAGATTCTGTTTTAAACTGATAAAAACCGCTTAAAACCAAGAGCAAGACGACTTTTTTTATGGATTTAAGTAAATTTTGGAAATTATTGGAGGGAATAAAGCCCCCTCAACCTCCCTGTGGATTTTTTACAAACATACTCACCTGAAGCTTCAAATTTTTCTGCTAACTTTTTCAAACTATTTGCCTTCTCGAACCTGTTCTTGTAAATATCTGAAGTAACATCCCATAATGACTTTTCTTCATTCCACGCTTCTATGATTTCATCTGTATTGACAACTTTCTTCGCCATCTTTAAATCGCACTTATACATGCTGCTCTAAAAACTTGGCATCTTGCGCAAGAGGATTATAGGGGCGCTAGCTTTAAACAATGGAGTCTACAACAATGAATAGAAATCCCATCAGTTAAACGTGTTGGACGTTAGATGTGTTCAACTTCTTCAGTCAAAAACTGAAAGTCATTAATGCATCAGTTTTTATCAGTTTTTGCTAAATACAGGATCAGTTTTTGACTGAAAACTGTCAGTTAAAAACTGATAAAAACTGATTATGTATTTCAGGCTTAACGCACTCCTTATCAATCTCTTTCAAAAACAGTTCAATCAAATAAGCTCGCAATTTTTGGTGGCGCCACACAGAGCCAGCTAACTGCTTGTATGTTCCACAGCACAGCATAGAACCAACTGAACCAACAAATTCTTATTCTTTGCACATGATTTCCAAGAAACCTCCACAAGAACAGTTGCTCTAGATTTATCTGATGCACTAGTTCCATCTTAAGGTTTAGCTACAGAAGGAGTTGCATAAGAGTTATTTATATAGATACCAGAAGATTTTATTGCTGTGCTAGTAGTGGCAAATGATTGCTCTGACGAAGAACCGTGACAGAGTGCCTTGAACTGACTCTCAGAAACAGCTGATTTTGTGAGGCGTGGTTCTGAAGAGACAGCATTTTCCTTCACTGAAGAGTGCTCTTTTATAAGATTTTTCCTTAACTGCAAATCCATGTTTCAAAGCTTCGGATTTGCACGTCTCAACAACTTCATTCTGCAATTCCGTTACTTTCATTTGAGAATATTGAATGCGTTTTAAAATACGAAGACAAGCCATACAGACATATGACTTTGGGGTGCGTGGAAGCACAACATTCTGCAAGAGTTCCAGTGCTTCCTTTTGTCAATCTCCGTAAAAAATAGAATGCAATACATTTCCACTTCCATCAGTTTGCACCCAGAATTGAACCAACACTGCTCAAAGGAAAACAACTGACAAAAACAAAAGCCGAACACTTTAGCTTTGCGCTGCTACTTATTAAATGGAAGGGAAGCTGGACAAGCTATTTGACTTTGTTGTGCAGACTCTACTATTTCACATAGGGAATTTTTAGTCTGCACGCAGGCTAAATTTCTGTCTCTCTCTCTTTTGTCTAGCATGAGGCCTCCGATGAATGATATTGGAGTCATTGATGTGGCAAAGAATGGAGTCTTCTGGGTGAGCTTTGTATCCTTGCTATACACAGTTTTTGGAGCAGCGAAGTGTACAACAGTGCCCTCCAACAACTGCAGCATATCACTCCATGGCAGAATGACAGGTGACCAAATAAAATCATTCAGAAAAATTACCTCCTCCTCAATGCCAAGCCACGCATAAGAACAAGCATTGTAGACAACTTTAAGTGGGTCTAAAATGAATGTTTGTCACAGTTAGCTGGACCTGCAATAAAAATTATTACGTCCCAGCCTCGACCCTTGTCAAGCATTGTCTAAATGGCCTCAGCATAAACAGTTTTTTCAGAATCTCCAAGGCACATTTAAGCCACTCTTCCTTGCAAATGCCAACAGCAGATAACTGCTGCTGCAAGATCTTGATCCATGCTATTTTGGCATGTTGAAGCTTCTCTGTTGCCATCTCCATTTTCCACACAGTGTCAACCTATTCTTGCAACTTTTTCTTGTTTTTATTTAGAACTAATTCATATAGAGACTCATCATACTTTCCAGGGGAGGTCTTGGCTAGCGCAAGAAGATCTAAACCTGAAGTTCTTAAGATCTTTTTGGCCACATCGAAATTGCATAGATGTTTTAGCTGTTTCCATGGTTAATGATCCTTCTTTGCAGATTAAGCCTTTGAGACCTTTGCTGTTTTTTTGAGCAGCCACCTCTGGGTGGTTCTCACTCTTGATGAAAACCTCATCCTTCTTTGCTACATAGTTTAAGGCAGTATGTATGTCTGGAAAGATTCACAATAATGTGATAGTGGTCTTGGATGTACTCTTTTACTTTTAACCATCGTTGACATTTATCCAGTAAAATGCACACATCAAAATGTTATGCTCCATTTTTGTGCCTTTCCATACAGCATGCCCATTGTAGTAGTGCAACTGTTGTAGCTGCCACTCTAAAAGACTCAGTTAGATTAGTAGGTAAGATATCTTGAGCCCCTTGCCACTAACTTCAGTTGCACTTGACATATCGATTGTTTCAATTTTACAACTGCATTTACAAATTTTACACATGAAGATTGTGTTTGAAAAATTGATGAATTGATTAAAAATGAAGTGGAAGTAGAAGTTGATATTGTTACTGAAAGGCAAACCCTCAATCCAAGATTTGTTGACCATTCTAAAGAAGACAGAGTTACAGGATGCACTTCCTCAGGCAATGACAGTTTTGGAGCTTGCTGCAGTAACACCATTAACAAGTGTTCATTGCGAGAGAGTCTTTAGCCACATGGAGTTTGAAAGGGTGAATACATTTTTTCAAGCCACAGATATTGATCCTCATGGCATGATCAAGGACCTAATTCTTTTCTTTGACAGTCTCAAGAGGTGTGTGTTCAATGTAAATGCAACTTGCGAAAGTAGATTTTGTTGCTAAATTTCTATTTGAAACTGATGCACTGGTAGACAACAACAAAGAAGACAATTCCATGTTATTAAAGGTTATGGAGGCCAAGGGGAGGTGCGACAAAATGCTTCTAGCAGCTACGAGCCAAGTGAGCAAACACCTTCCAGCATCAAGGGCTGTTTTTCAGGCCTGAAGCTATTTGCATCCATCAAGAGTGCTTAGTCAAATTGCTAGAGTGCCTCTTGCAAAGCTTCCAATGCAGCACTTGATGGTTGACAAGCGTTCCGAAATTGACAACCAATGCCAAAACATTTTCCTTGTCAATTGGAGAGAGGAACCTGTCTTCAAGGATGGAATACCTCAAGAAGCTGTAGCATTCTGGTCTGGTGTTTACCAGTATCAAAAACTGAGTATCTAAGATAAGGCAGCAGCTCGATGTTCAGTAAATTAAAACCAGCTATCTGTCATCAAACTCAGGTGAGGAAAGTAAACACAGCAATAAGAACAACAAAAATAAAAAAAATGATAATAATATCTAAATGAATACCAGTATCTAAGAAATGAACAATTCCATGTTACGGACATTACACTTTGGAGTAAAAATGGTCTTTTTTTGTCAATCATAAATACCAGAAATGCAGAAAAGAAGACATTGAACAAGATTCATAACGAAATAAGTAACATTACCTCATTGTATAAACTAGATTTCTCATAATCATCAAAAGTATAAGAGTATCTCAAAAGTTCTGTCTTTTTACGGACATTACAGGGGTAAGGACACACTTATCAGAACCATTAGGAAAATGTTAATATATCTGATTGAGAATCATTATTTAATACAAACACCTGCAAAATAAGCATGGGAAAGCTGAAAGATATGGTGATGTCTTCAATAAGTAATTATATATCTCACTTTTCAATTTAATTGTAAAATGCTGTGTTAAGGACATTACCAGAGATTTGTTACGGACATTACTATTTTTTCTAACAGCTAAAACCTGTCATATTTTATTTCTATCAAGTTTTTTCAATTGCAAATAGATACAGTCTTAATTTAACAACATCTTGTCAACCATATTTTTTAGATTGTTGGTGCTTTATGTAGGTTTTTTATGCCTTTAAGATTCTAATGTATTAAACTATTTTCTAAATATGTTTAAACCACAAAATGAATTAAACTTTCAAATCTTTTACTATGAATGACAGAAATAACAAACTGCTAAAGATAGTTTACAAATAATACGAATCAAACCGACATACTACTAAAGATAGAATTTTGTTCATAACCTTAATGATTGAACTTAATGTCTCCAATATTCTAGAAGTTCATCTACTTTGAAGGTGCCTCTGTTATTCACAGGAACAAGAAAGACAATAACCTTGATAATGTCTCCTAAATTAGAATCAATCTAATCATAACTTTGAGGCCATCTCCAACCCCCAGCACATCTCTCCATTGATCCTTGCTCCATTTTCCTTTGGGTGCACAAATGTAACAATCCCTGGAAAATGTTCACCCTCATATGCAAATATGACATGCATCTGGAGCTAATTGTTGGCAACGGTCTTTATACCAGTCATCTGCCATCTCCATGTCAACTAAACTTCTAGAACATTCCAGGTCCTCCTGTTCAGGCTGTGAAAAGTATTGTTTACACAAAATCTTGTCATCATGCGGTACTGCCACATAATGTTGCTTCTTTATTTCTTTCATGGCAATTGATTTAGCAAAAAATTCTGTAAGGCTTAACTTGTCTGCTTCTGCAGCAATTTAAGCAGTAGTCATCTTTATAATCTCCACTTTATTGCTTAGCTCCCTTACCACAATAACTTTTCTGGCTAAAGTTGCCATCCAAACATCACATTAGATAATAAAAACAAAAATTGATTTTTAAATTGAGATGATGGCCCATCGCTAAAAATATCAAAGTTGATGATCTATTAACAGCATTGATAGCAACTTGTTCATGATGAAGATAACTGATGTTTTGTCATGATCAAGGTCATTGCTGACAAACAAATTATTTCTGTTTCTGGTGCATCAAAACACAGACTAAAAACAATGTAAGTTGTTCTTCATTCCAATGTGCAAATTGCACTTCTGCTTGGTCTTGAAGGGAGTAGCTCTCTCTAAAATCGACTTGAATGACTGCACTTGAGGTTGGAATACTGAGAATGTGAACAATTTTTTTGCGGAACAGAATTTGAAAATGGCTTTGAAAAAAGCAAACATTTTACAACATACTTAAAGCTTTTTCGTCTGACACTCCTCAGAGCATAAAACGTCAGAATAGGTTCCGAAAAAAACACGTTTGAAAAATATATACCCAGTTGTGGATCGAAATAGGCCAATCAGAAAAACGCAAGCACAAGACCGGTATAGTTGACCAATCAGTGCCGCGAGCCTAAAGAAAAATTACCAATGGAGTCCAAGAGAGAAAACGAACTCCTTTTGTCTACACAATAGCCTACACCCAGCCCTCCAGTTTACGTTTGAAAAGGAAGAAAATGATTCCTTACCATTTTTAGATGTTTTAGTCGAAAAGTCTAACACTGGATTTCTTACCAGTGTATATCGCAAGCCTACTTTTACCGGTCAGTACATACGCTGGAATTCATTTTGCCCAAAACAACGCAAAGTCAACCTTGTCAAAACATTAGTACATAGGGCACTTATGATCTGCTCGAAATCTAAACTGCACGCTGAACTGGAAAAACTCATAACGATCTTCTTGGACAACGGCTATCCTGAAGACGTCATTTTATCTTATACTAAGGAGAAGATCGCAAGTTTTTCGGCTGTTCAAAAGTTTGGTCCGCAAAAGTGCCCAGTTTATTTGAAACTACCATGGATTGGTAACACTTCCTTGCGATTCGAGAGTCAGATTAGGCAAGCCATAACCAATTGTTTCTTTGCTGTCAATCCTCAAATTGTTTACAGCACTAGGAGAGCCCTTCCATCCATTCAAAAGGATTGCGTCCCTACCAAACAAAAAAGTTCCGTCATTTATGAATTTACGTGCCAGTGTGATTCTGGCTACGTAGGGCGCACAACCCAAAGATTGGGGGATAGGATAAAACAGCATGTTCCTTCCAACATACGAAACAAAACTGCCCCTCAAAGAGAACAGCCTCCTCGATCTTGTAGGTCTAGAACACTGTTAAAACAAGTGATTCTGCCATTGGTCCACATCTTTTAGACAACCCAGATTGTGCAAAACTCTATAATGACGACATGTTTCGGATAATTGGCAGAGCCCGGTCGTCCTTCCATCTAGCAGTTTTGGAGTCAATCTACATAAAAACGAAAAAGCAGCCATTGTGTAGACAAAAGGAGTTCGTTTTCTCTCTTGGACTCCATTAGTAATTTTTCTTTAGGCTCGCGGCACTGATTGGTCAACTATACCAGTCTTGTGCTTGCGTTTTTCTGATTGGCCTATTTCGATCCACAACTGGGTATATATTTTTCCATCGTGTTTTTTCGGAACCTATTCTGACGTTTTATGCTCTGAGGAGTGTCAGACGAAAAAGCTTTAAGTATGTTGTAAAATGTTTGCTTTTTTCAAAGCCATTTTCAAATACTGAGAATCTTAACACGCCAGATAATAACAGCGGATTCTCAGAGAGTGCTGTTCTAAAGAAGCCGAAGAAAAATAGAAAATCAGGATCATGAGGACAGCACACTTTACCTCATGAAGGTGCTTGCAGGGACAAATGAATTTATTTCTACTATGTCAAAGAAAGGGGAGCTCGATGAGGATGACTTATTTGGACAAATTGTTGGCAAAGACTTGAAAAAGTTGTCTGAATTTGAAAAGGGTCTTGCAAAGATCAAAATTCAGAAGGTTCTGCATGAAGTGCTATGGAGCTCTAAGCCAAACTATTAACACTGTTTTAAAGTAGATCAACACAAACTTAACATTATTACTTTGTTTGATAAAAAACTTTTCTACGTTTCTTTGAACTTTGCTGCATTTACGTAAGAGATTTATTGTGAGTAGGAAGCGCCCTAAGCCAAATCGAGGAAGAGCGACAAGAAAGCAATGCATTGATGGATTTGATAAATATTTTTAAAGAATTGACTGACAAGTTGTGAAGTGTTAAAATAATCTGTGTTGATATTGCTCTGAGATTAAACACATTCTTTGATATAAATTCACTTAAAATGACACTTAAAATCACATAACTTAACATGACTTAAGACAAGCTATCTGATAAATAAACCATTGAGGCATTAATCATATTTGTTGTCAACTTGTTGTGTATCCTTTATATTCTGTTAGGACTCCAGACTCCAGTAATATTTTACGTACTTTTTCATGAGCCCAAAAATTCGCAACAATTTTCAACATTCAGTCGAAGTATACATTTTACTTGTCCTTTATTAACTCCTTTATTAACACCATCACGTATGAAACAAGAAACGAATCAATTTCTTATGAAAATCAAACCTTTTTTCGATTAGTAGTTTAAAATGCAATATGAAGTTTGAAACCCAAATCCTTTTATAGTGGACTTGACATGGGGGTTAAGCCTTTTTTCTTAGGAAAAGGCAGACAATAGTCAAATAGAAAGTAACTGGACTAGAGGGGCATTTTCGCCCTTTATTTAGCACATTAGGAAACCCCTTTTTTAACCTGCGGGGAAAATCAGATTATTAAACCAAACGTTTTAGCCAGTCTATTATTTTATAATTCACTCCTAAATTTTAGCAATTTCCAGCCAAATATTCTTTAAAAAACTGTTCTTGTATTGGAGTTTTTTACTGCTCTGACATTCATTGAATAATATGCTGAGTAAATAACTAGTTTTTTTGCTTGTTGCAAAAGTCATGCTTTTATCCTTTGCACTAAAATTACCTGCGATATTTTTAGTAAAAACTATTGATGTGCTATTTTAGCGCAATGGGACATGTGTAGAATGGAGCAAAGCCTTCATAACAAAAACATTTATCCATCAAACAGTTAACCAACGGATATACGAATAAAACATGTAAAAACATTAAAATCATTTTTTTAATAAATTAAGGCTTTTTCATGCTACAAAGAATATTTATCTAAATGTTACGAGATTGCATGGCCATGGAAGTTCCCCTTGAGGAGTAACAAAGAAGTCAGCTATTAATGCTCGATTGCGTTCAGAAGTTTTAGCATAATTATTTGGTCCAATGTTACTTATGTTTTGTAACGCACAATTATCAGTAACCTCTGATCTCCACGTTTCTTTATGCAGGATTCCATGAGAGTCCTCATAATCGACATAGCCAGTTGGGCAAAAGACTTTTCCATACCCATCCTTCCTTGAGAATCTGTTGTTGAGGATTTTCCATACTGTTGAGAATCCTCATGCTTTTTGAGCCAATTGTGCAGAGCAATAGCTGCCAAAACACTGTTGACTGCTTTTTCTGGCTGTGCCTGAATCTGAGATCTAAAAAATCTCCAGCAGGCAGAAAGTATACCAAAGGCATTTTTGACTACCCTTCTAGCATGTGAAAGTCGGTAGTTGTAAATACACAGTTTCTCACTTGAATTTCTTCCTGGATACGCACGCTGTAAATTTTCCTTCAAAGTAAATGCTTCATCCCCAACAAAACTGTATTTTGCTTTACTGACTGTATTTGAAAGACAGTCCAGTACTGTATAGCTGACAGACATTCGGGAAATACAGTTATATCAAAGTTTGTTGATGAATTATAACTGTTGATGCAAGTGAACACCCCACAGCTATAATAATCATGTTGTTGCTGCAGGCCTACTTCACTTAGTTCTAAAAATTGTCATTGGTTCATTTCCTCTGTTTTATATGCAAATGTCAACGCTTTGCAGAGGTACACATTGATTGCAGATAAAGTCTGCTCTTTACTTCTCGCATTCCCCGCAGAATCGCAATGGGTTATAATTTTATATTTTGGAAACATGGCAATGATGCTCCAATGGCCGTTTTTTGCAATCTCATGATGAAATGGAATTAAAATGATATCTGCGGTAAAAATCATGTCATTTTGTTGAATTGAATTAGAGAGGGTATGTCCAGTTTCCTGCTTTTGTAAAATTGCTGAAATGAATTGCGTCAGTAGCAGCTGGACATGACATTTATCAACTATGCTAAATGCAAAATACATAAAAAATTCCTGAATAACATCACCATGGATGTTTCCATTACCTATGATTGATTTCAAGGATTCGAGAGGGAGATTGGCACTGGGAACAGGCATCAAGCCCAAAATAACATCTTAAAGGTGATCAGTTAGTTAAAACTGGTATTTGTTTGCTATCGACGAATTCAATTCCTCGTGATCTGCTAGTGCAGCAGCAAGATGATATGGAGCAGACTCACTACTGAATTTACCTGGCAATAAAATTTTCAAGTTGATTTTTGCATTTACGTGACAGTGGTATGAATAACGGTTTGATAATTGCTACCCCTTTCGATTAACAAGAATAGTGCAACTGGCAATCTTAAAAAGTAAGTTCTGGTCTCTAATTGCAGTTGGTTTGTGGAGCATGCGCAAGAAAAAGTGTTGAAAATACTTTGCTTTTTGCATAATCCCATAGCAATGACTGAGCTGAAATGTTTGGAATACAATCTTGCGATATAGGAATCATTAAGACAACTTGACCTTGGAAATTGAAGTCACTTTTCCCACATGCCCTACAAACACTGACTGTTAAAGTTTTACATATGAAAATTTTATCAATCCCACTATTGTTAATCCAGTGCGTTAAAATTTCCTCTACAAAATCGCTTCATCATCGTGTGACTTTGCTCTCTTTGGTCACAATTCCTGAATTTTCTTACAATCACTTTCATATCTGTCGTGAATTTGAGGGGAGTGGAAGCTTTGTTGCAATTTTGTAGTTCATTGCGGATTTTTAGAAGTGACTTACAGACGTCTGTCTAGCATGATTCTCTTGATGGGAGAAGTTTTGGGGGCATTGAACCGCAAATGATATAAAAAGTGGAATTAGTCCAACAATTGTTATTTTTGTTAATGGTACTCCTCTTGCTTAAAATTTGTAAATCCCCTATGCATGGCAAATCCTTTGTTAAAACTGGAATGATGTTGTCATGAAATATCCCTTTATCCTTGTTTCCCATTTGCAACCATATCAAAAATGGATTTTCTATGCTGTGTAGATAATTTATATTTTTGGATCTAAACAAGGCTATTAAGATGGGCAGGCCTTGATGAAAGTCTTGATGACTGTTTGGGCATACGTAGAGTGACACAGACTCTGATTACAACACATCTATATCCACACATTTATTATAGCACCATTTATCACATGTATCACACATGACCCAAGTAATTTCACCAAAGCTGCCTTCTACTTCGCTACTATCGCAAAAAGCACAGTTCTCTCTTCTACTTCTGGCAGACTCATCAAACTTTTCTTTGCAATCCCTAGGTAACAATTGCCTTAGGTAACAAAAACATGTTCAACTACCTTTTTGCGTAAATTAAGCATGCTATCTTTCTTTATATAATGGATCATCATAACCTGAGAGTAATGTAAATTTGATTACAATCCAAATTTGTAATAGATTACCGTAGGAGGATGCAAGATAAAAGACTCTCTTTATACTTTCGACTCAACTGTAATAGAACACATCAACAACTAACTTGTAGTTTAATTCAATCCAAAACTAAGTAAACGGTTACATGAGCGTATATGAGTCCATTATAATAAGGGGCATATCAGTACAGTAAATAAGTTTTTGCCTAACTCCTTTTTTTGTTTTTGCACTTTGAAAGCAAGGTAAGCTACCTTCTTTGCTTTTCTCGGGTTAAATTTCAATTTTTTTCAAGGGTGGTTTTTGAAATGTACCTTGTTTTTCTGGCGTTTTAAACTTTTCATCTTCTTTTTTCCCCATGTTTCATTCAAAAAAGAGACGTTTGTAGCATCCTTTTGAATTTTGCTATTGCCACCGCTTGTATCTTTGTAACAGGTTAAAAGTTTTTTAATTTTATTAAATGGTTTGCGCTTTCAATCTCTGTTTCCAGATATACTCCCTAAGGCCAATTATGAATTGTCTTTGCAATCCAGGGTTGTCTTGCCAACAGTTGCGAATAAATTCTAACAGAGACTGTCCCAAATATTTTCTGTTTCGCTTTTTTAGACAGAAAAATTGTTTGGCAACAGTGTTTGCTTTAGTTATTGGCAGTTCACATTCATACGTCGAATTAAATTTCTGAATGTCGCCTAGAAGCAGGTTGCTCCAAAGTGCAAAGTGTGAAATTTTCTTATGAAGCCAGTTGGAGAAATTGGGCATGAAATAACGATTCAGCCATGATTCACTTGTCACATCTTTATCTATATCAATATTAATTTTTTGGATTATTTTTTCCCAATATTCATGAAATTCCGACTTTGGCTCAGTTATCTGAACATCAAAATTGGAGATTTCATCATCTCCCCCTTAATAATAATAATCGAATGTTTTAACAGGATAACCTATCAGTACAAAATGTACTGTTATCATTAGGGTCCTGATACTTAATAAATTAATGGTAAATTTGGTTTCATTGTCCTCCCTATTTTTCAAAACCATCATTCGGAGTGATGGGATCCAATATGTTTATGCTATCTTCAATTTGTTGTAAGGCCAAACGTACTTCATTGTTTATAGGTTTGCTTTTCGAAGTACTGTCTCTAATTAAAGAACATGCATCATCTAAGGTTCTACAGTTTATAAAACATCCAAATAACCTCATCGCAAAATGAACACAACTTTCTAAAACCTCCCCACCAGAGTTCTCTTTCGATGCATGCATTCTGTTTAGGCACATTATATTGAATGAGCATATATGCAAAAATGTTTTGTTTAATTCAGATTGACAAGCACTGCCGTGTATAACTCTAAATGCCCTGTTTAAATAATCTGTCATAGATTCCCCAGAAAATTCCAAAAGACAAGCATTAATTATTCCGATACTATAGTCAAGGACAATTAGCCTTGGATTAACTGCCTTATCGTGTCCATATTTCATACTTTCCATTTCCCGGAGAGTGTTTATAAATCTTCTTATCAAGAATTGATCATGGTTTGTAGATATAAATTCCACAACAGGCACCGGGGGGAGATTTATTGAGATGGTGCTGAATAGTTGCTGTGTAGTATAGAATTTTTTTGAATCCTTGGATAGATCTAACTAATGAGCCTGTAGCATCAATGAACATGGCGCTAGCCATCGGTTCATCTACCAAAGTGATGCTTATTTCATCTGCTGTTACAGTTGGCCTTTGAATATATCCAAAATGATTTCTAAATGTCACACACTGCTTCATAGCCTGCTCTTCGTCAGAGGTTTTTATTTCGTTCTCAAGAGCAATTACTTTCCTGAAAATATTTTCTAAATCGTTCTCGTCCTTCTGTGCCTTAGTAGCTACCTGCTGGTAGGCAATGTGGTTTTACTCGCCTCAGTCATGTTCCCAGCAGCAAACAAATCAGGATCCATGTTACTTAAATCTAGGCGATGTTTTTCAGAAGTGTTCTTTCCTCCTGAAAGAGAGCTCGCAAATTATTTTTTTTTCTGACCAGTAATACTTTCTGCAGCCATCAACCCTTTTTTATGGAGGATGTACCCAGTAAGCTTTAAATGAATGTTATTTGAATCTATAGTTTGTATGGTGTAAAGGACGTTGAACTTACAGTTACTTATGCAACATGAAGCTCTGCCTTTGATTAAATCCGTGTTCCACTTTCGAGAAGAGGATTTCTGAATATGTTTATTTCCGAACTTAAATACACAAAACTTATTGACATTTTTAGAAAGTCCTCTGATTAATTCATTCCGTTCACATTAAATTCTTGAGGTATTGTTAGAGCTCTTGTTCTACTGGTCAGAAAGGAGGATGGATTGCCAATCAGGAGGTAGAGGGACTTCCATGTTGGACTTTGTAATCCTAGCCACAAAATCTTTTTAACCATATTTTGACCTTGAGAGAGCTTTGGTTAGTTCTTTTCTGTAGGGTTGATGGCCTGCCTCGGGATTGTCAGTGTCAGATAAACTTGTGTCGACCTCTATGTTATCTGATAAGTGCGATTCATCGCTCTCAGTGCTTTGTGATGATGCAAGAAAATCATTCCCTGGGGACAAGGTTTTGCTTTTCGTTTGTGTCCCCAATACTTGTTTACAATAAACAGATATAGCTTCACCTAAGATAATACCAACACTTTAGCCTGTTTATTAGAGTGAAACTTCTTACCCTTTTTGGATACCTTCTCAATAGCTAATATACAGCTTTTCCCATACCTTTTACCCCCTATCGATTCAGAATATTATCGGGTAGACATTGATTTGTTTTGGTTACTGTCATTTATGCCCTTGTCTTTGTACACATTGTCTTCCTGTTGCTGTCCTTTGTCAAACCCTGTCTAAATATTTCCAGACTTATATCCTGTCTTTGGGATACTTGTTATGATTAAGCAGGGGGAGCTTGGGGTATTCATATCCGTTGCATCAATTACAGTGGCATGATTGTCTACTATTTCTTTCATTTTTCGATACCCTTGGCCATACGACCTTCTTCATATGTGATTTGATACCCCCCATTTTCTTTCCCAAATGGAATGTTAACCTTTTTTCCATTGGATTACTACGGGTATATAAAGTGAATGCAGCTTGATCAACTGCAGACTTCTTTTTATAATACAAATCTCGCACCTGCTCAACAACAACTTTTTTTCGACCATTCACACCATTGTACAAATCAGAAATAATGCCAGGCCAATTGTAATTGCTAGGCGTGCTGTCAGAGGACCAGGTGCAATTTTTGCATATAACTACATATAAGTTTGCTAAACCTATGCTACTTCTAGACCATCTTCTCCTTGCACCTCCACAGCATCTTTGTCTAAGAACTGAGCTCCCTTTAGTCTCCAACTGTTGCTTATTGGTGAAGTCATGTTTTGACTGAAAGAAAGAATAGTGTTTTATTAGAATGTCTGAATAATGCTAACTCTTTTAATTGAAAATAGGATTCAGAAAGTGAAGAAAACAAAAGGATTCAATATGAACAAACTAATAAACCTGAAATTCTTTTAAAAAAGACTGGTTCTAACTTTTGGTTTTGGCTCGTTCTCATTCCCTTTCGTCTTCGGCTGTTGCTTATTGGCGAAGTCAGGTTTTGACTGAAAAAAGGAATATTGTTTCATTAGAATGTCTTAATAAAGCTAACTCTTTTAATTGAAAATGTGATTCAGAAAGTGAAGAAAACTAAACGATTCAATATGAATTTTATCCAATATTTCTACCTGACTTTGATCGAAGGATTTCTTTTTTTGACGACGATGGCATTAGAATGTAGGTATGTTGCCTGCAGAACCTCTCTGTTGTTTTCCTATGTATATGAAGTTATTAACAATTATAACATTTTTAAGATTGTTTTTCAGATTGCATGAAAAATTAAGTGAATGGAAAATTATTGGATTGATTTTATTTGATTGTTAATGTGAGACACTGTGGAAAGTTCTGGAAGCTTACTCTGCTTCTCTTAGAGGATTTCACGTATCAATATATGTAAGCTTACAAGAAAAGTTTATTGGATCGATTTTATTCAATCAAATTAAGGCTTTATACACTAACAAAAATGGCAGGGGCATACGCTTTTTTCAGTTGCTTCTCTTCTAGGAAGAAATCATGGTGATCATTAAATAAACTTGATTTATGGAAATTTCAGAGCTGTTTCCAGCAGCACTAAATAATTAATTCCATTTAGAGTTCATGAAACTACGCTAACCTTGCCAGTTGGTTTGACATGGTGCTTTCTCTCTACCGTTCCTCTTTCATGATTGAGGCTGTAATGTATGATAATTATAGTGTATAACTTAACATACACATCAGTTTAAAAAGGCGTTTGGCAGACCTTGTCTGAATAATCAAAATTTCACGAAATACTTTAAAGAGCTTGTGACAAATCTATTTCTTCACCTCACGAAGACTCTCTGTACAATTGTGGGTTTATTTTCATCACCACTACATTACCAATCACTTGCCCACGACTCATGGCAAATGACCAGTCAGGAACCCGTCTTGAGACCCTTGGTGACCTCATGTGTTGGCGAAATTCTTTGAATGTCAAATTAGATGATTTTAGTAAAAGGTCGAAAGTACTATGTAATTTTGTGCTTTATTTATCCACATATGTGTTTTGATATTAACAAGATAAACAAGCTTGAAAAAACATGTGAAAGTCAACAAGCGTGAAAGTGTGTTATAGATGAATCAAAAATTAGATCGCTTAATATAGGGTCCATTCTTACTGGATTAAATTTTAGCGAAGGGTCGTTTTTTTCCATTGACCTTGTCTGGTAATTTTTCTTCACCTTAACACGTCATAAGCGAAATTAAAATTGTGGAAGGTAATAAAAGACACGCTTTATATTCATGGAAGATAAATGATATCCTAGTTGTTTTGACTACTGTGCATTGGTAAGAGAAGGTGGGTCTTTGTTCACTACCCTACTACCCTATTGTCTTGTTTAATTTAACTCCCTTCCTTAGCAATTTACTATAGAGCCTTCCTCAATAGTAATGGGTTTGAAACGGGTGTGATCAAAAGACATGAGATAGTTGACTAGTCTTGATCTCTCCTTACAACTCTGTTCTTTAAAAATGTTTCAAAAATTGTAGCATGCTTTCAATTATAGATATTTTTTGAGAAAAATGTATAGTTTCATGCCTCTATCAATCAAAACAAAAGTTAATGTTATAATTTGAGTATATAAATTATAAAAAGTTAATGCCTAAATTGTACAGTATAACAGAGTCCTGGAAACAGGTTCAAATGAAACACTGTGAAAAATAGCAGGTTTATAGATATTAGTTGCATAAGATAGAATCATCATGTTGGAAGTTCACCATAGCAAATATGGCCAATGCGACAAGTGAAGCCCTGTATGCCGGGCGAAAAATTAGCCATAACTGATTTTACTTGTGTTTGTTGTTGTTTGTTCTCTTCGTCTTGCGGTGTTTCTTATTTACTGCATTTCACTACAAGGCCTAATTTCTTTGCAATGAGAGGTACAGCCTGAAATATTAGAGACTTTCCAAAGCCAGTTGGCAATATGGAGAAGGTGTCTCTTCTCTCTAAAAACAAGGCTTTCAAGGCTGTTCTGTGTTGAGTTCCACAACATACGGAAGATATTCTTTGAGTACAGTTTTAACAGCATCTTCAAACTCAATCGTTACGGTCACTAGCATTTATTTATGTTGTTTTCTGTTCAATGTTTTACACCAGAGCTGAGTTTATTGTTACGCTGTGACCTTTGAACGTACAGAAATCTGTACATTCACTCCTGATTGGTTAATATCAGCACACCAGAACGAGAATTGGGCACACTAGACCAGACTCTCTATTTTATTTTATATATAGTGAGTCTGGTACCCAGGGTAGTCCTCAGATAGCAAAGTCTTATACACGCTATTTTATTTTTCTGAATATTAAGGAAACAAAAGAATTTAAATTAAAAACGATAGAGTAGCACAATTAATTTTACAATTTGAAATTTGAAAAGAACTCTCCTCTTCACAAATTTGTGTGAAAAGAACAAACAAGGAACTAGGGGAGACAATGGGCACATGCCCCCTTCCTTTTTATTTAAAAGGCTATTTGAATTCCTATTGTGGCATCATCCTCTATGGGAGCTGCAGCAAAGAAAGCAAGGGAAGAGAAATTCGGAACATTCCAGGCAGAAAGCCGTGAGGTGCAAGATACAGGAGAAGGAAACTCTTGTAAGCCACATCTATTGAAATCTTCCAAGGCAAAAAGAATACCACCAACATGGTTGGAGTGGCCAAAAGCACCAAGGCCAATGCCAGCGGGACAAGAAGATGCAGCAGCACAAACATTACCAGACTCACTTGACAGCTTCACCGTTACTTTATAAAGGTTTTTCTTCATTGATGCTTTGATACGTGGTTGCCTTGGCTTTTTGGTTTCATTGGGCTCAACTGCATCCACAACTTCAACTGAAAAATAAACATAGGCAAGCATAATTAAAAAATACATTTAAGACATACTGATAAAATCTGAAAGTTGTCTATTTAAAGTCAAAAGAATGGAAAAATTTTCTTGCTAAGTATAATAATCCTAATTCATGTTTTTTTTTCAGAAAACATAGCTCATGTCTGAGTGCAAGTATGCTTAGGGATGGTGAAAGGCAGTAATGAAAATAATGCAAACCTGGATTTGTGGAGGGAGCCTCCTCTGTCACCTTTTCTTTTCGGGCAATGTGCCTCTGAAGGGCCTCCTCTCTATCTTGTCTATCCATCATTCTTTTCATTGGAGGTGATGCCAAGGCTTCAAGTCCAGTTGCTGCTTTGTTTTGTTTACTGTCAATTTCCTTTACCATGACCTGATAAATTTCATCAACATATCCTGGAAACACAATTTAAAATCATTCTGATGAAGGAGGCACAAACAACAAGATCTTGCTTGGATACCCTAGACTGGATAAATACTATGACTTCAATCTGGCATATGAAGCCATATAGCTGCCATGAATGAGAATCATCACAGAGTTAGCATGGCACATAGTAATTAAAATAATGGTATCCTATTGTTGTACAAGTTGATGCCAAATTGTGCCTCAAAAAAGGCAAATGACTGTATAACAATGGGATCTAATTGTTTCAAGAGCCAATAGACAGATCAGGAATATTAGGTTTTTATGGCTATTTACTAGCCCGGGCGATCAGTCTCTTGAAAAACTACCTTCAAATTCTTTGGCAAAGTTAGTGTCATGAGAATTTGTGTCACGCATGGAAAAGGAAACTTTCCAAAAGTCAGGGCACATGACTTGAAATGGATAAAGTGAAAATTGGCAGATTATATCTTTATTTACTGCATGACAAGTAATGTCTTTTAAATCGTAATCCACTCCAACTCCACTTTTAAAAAAAATAGCAGTCATCCTTGGAACAATACTGTGCCAGGAAGTAATAATGTCGAAACATGCCAAAACTTTGCTGAATGGTCACAGCCCTTACAGTAGAACCATCATCATTGTATGGAACCATCATCATTGTATTTCAGCCCGCTTTGGAAATTCTCATCAAAGTGCATAATTGCAAGTATGTGCCTAAAAAACAACGCGAAGCAGAAATTGTAGTGGACCTAATGAGAAGATGAAAATGAAAATCTAATATGAAAATCTAATATACATTTGGTTTAGTTTAAAAGTAGATTTTATTGCTTTTATTCAAACATGCATGCACATTTGATGAGTTTTTTGCTGTAATTATTAGATATAATTGAACTTTTTTCCGTCTTCTATGAGAAACCAACCAGATTGTATTTACAAAACGAGTTTCTTAGTAGCCGGGTTGTAGTGTAGTCAAATTTTTTTAGATAACATATCACCGTCGCAATAAGACTCTTAAATCCCAGTAGAGTCAGATTATGTTAATGAGTTTGTTGATGAAAAGTTGGAAATATGATGTAATTCAAATTTGTTATTTGTTTGTATTTAACAAAAGTAGTGAACAAGTGTTTAAACACATCTAAGAGTTCTTTAGTTGCATATAAAGCATGCACCTTACCTCCGGTAAAAAAACATCCATTTGCAAGCAAACTAGATTACGTTCTCAGATGTCTAGGAAAAGTCTCCTCCTCCTCACCCTTTCACAGTATTGAAGAACAACATCAGTCTAATTCAGAGGAAAACGATGCAAGGCTGAGAATAAGAATGTAGCACACTGAGCACACTGGCACAGCCCGAGCTCAGCACGGGTCTGGTCAAGATTTCTTAAACTTGGCCTTTTCATTTCCCCAACAAATATCAGAGAAAACTGCTTTTAAATAACAACAAGCCATTAAAACAACGTAAATCTTAAGATAATTTGATGAAACGAAGAACTTATATCACAAGCTTACCTCGTAAAATAGGCAATAGGCAGAAACTTCTAACTGGGAAGCTTTTTTTCTAAGGGGACCAAAAAATTGGTCAGATTAGTTGAAGTTCGAATCATTGAGATTCCAATTTTTAAGGGTCTTTTAGGTGGTCTTCAAAGTACCTGAGACTTCTGTTCAAATAAGTTAAAGTTGGTATTACTCAGCTGGGATTAGACATTGATTGTATCTACAATGATACACACGTAGTTGATACACACGTAGTTGATACGCTAAACATTGTTTTGAAGAATAAATCTGACTCAATTTAACATACTGGTTCAAATCCTTTGCCTCATATGCACAGTCACAGAACCACAGATCAGCATCTCCCACAACTTCTGCATTGAAACAACTCGTGTGGAACCTTCTTAAGCAATGGCGGCACAGCAGTTGTTCTTGAGTTGGAATCACACCAACTGCAAGCGCACACTGGTCGTTTGCTGCACAGCAACTGTGTCTGTGTCTTTTCAAAATGGTGCTGCAGCAAAGTTGCATGGAACTCCTCGTCTTTCACAAGTGGAACCAAATGATGGCATGTGTTTCCCAGCCGAGATAGAATCCATAATAACCCTTCAAGCAGCATGGCCATTTGTGAAAGAATAAGTGTCATCAGCATTTGTGCCAGTGACATGAATATCTAATGACAGGGCTTCACTAGCAAGTAGGAAATGCACTTGAGCCTGTAAAAGATCAAAATGTTTCAAATTTTCGATTTCATCTGTGATCACCAAAGGATGGAATCATAAAATCAACAAACAAACAAATGGAAACAAATAGATAATTCTGAGACTATACTAGAGAAGGAAACACTTTGGTTGGTTCTGGCATATTTGGTATATTTGGGAGCCATAAGTGCAGACTACATAGCTTGGTATTCCTGAATCAAGTGTCAATTTATGCACTCAAGGCTGTGCATATCTTATTCAATAGTGTTAAGTTCTTACAGTATCTTACATTTCTCTACTAGAACCAATACATTGGTTGGAGGGCACAAACTAACAACAAGCGTTTCAATTGAAAATGATCACACTCTATTTGCCTTGAAAAGGATCATTGTTTGTCGAAAAACAATTTCATTTCATAATGGCACTTATTTTCAAAAGAAGTAAAGTAATCAAAGCTCACTGCATTCATGGTTTGGCTGGGATGATTCAAAAACCTCTCTTCTGAAGGCTTCTTCTATCTGGTCCGATGGCATTTCAAATAATCAAGCCTGTTAACTCTGCTGTTGCAGCTGAGGAGACACAACATATAAAACGTTGTTCCAGAAGTATTTATGTTGAAGTAATTACAATCATAGCCATGATATCAACATCGTCATCATTAGCATATTGTGTTTTTTATCAAGTTCGGTCGAGCCTTCAATTCTTTTTCCATTCTCTTTCTCTTTAATTTGGTACTTACAGTATTATTTCTTATCATCTCAATACACTATCACAATCTCTAGTTTCACTGTCACCTAACAATACAAATTCATAATCTTGCTTTAGAGATGCACATTTCTACTTCATTTAATGGACAATTAAATAACTTCTAATTACTAACAAACCGCTAAATTCAACCATGCACCTTGCTTTGAGGAATGCAGTGGCCACAGTATTGGATATACCTGATTTTAAGTGAAAAAAAAACGAGGAAATAAATGACTTATTTGGTGAAATATCTTTGAAAGAATTTCTGCTTCGTTTTTTATTGCATATTTCAATGACTGGAGTTCTCAAACTGGCCATGCATTTTCTGTTTTATATAATTGTTTTGAAAGGCAGCGGTAAATATCTTGCCCATTTCGCGAGACTTTCAATGATACAAGGCCCTGAAAACCACCATCGCCAGGAACTAAGCAGCGTACCCTAAAACAGAAAAGTTGTATTATTAATGCCATCTACAGTATCTCTAGAGTGAAATGCAGATGCCAAAAAATACTTATTTATATCTTGCAGTTTTTTTATAATTATTATAACCAAAATTACTAATCAAATTGAATGGCATCATAGCAATAACATTAAATTAATTAAGGAAACATACCAAAACTGGATGTCATCATTATTAAATGGTTGCCTTGGTCGACTCTCGGAAAAAGGAAGCATTTCCTCCAGAAACGAGAGAAATCTTACAGCAGCTAATCTCTAATAAACGAGGCAAATCTCTAACTTTAGAACTCCCATCAGCTCTTCACAAAATTCTTGAGTCCATGAAAAATCCTGAAAGGCACATTTTAACAGAATGATACAATAATTAGCAATAATGAGGAGTATTGATGCCTTTTTTCTCGTTTTCACTTAATTTCGTTCTACATTAATTTCGACAGCATTCAAACTAGTCTCTGTCATCATCAGAGGTCAGCTTTCTAAGCAAAAAACTTTGGCTAATATTGAACTTTTAAGAAATGGTCGTATCACAGATATCACCTTATCATACAGACATCAGATCTTAAAAAAAATATTTCCCAAAGACAGGGCATTTTTGGTAATAGACATACATAATGCAAAATCGTGTAAATGAGAAGCAGACCTGCTTTTAAAATTCAGAACAGACATGTCAATGTAGAAAGTATAATGTTCTGCCATTCGGTGTATGCTGTGGTGGAAGGGAAGGAAGGAGGCAAGCAACGAATAAGCTCATATTGGTTAACTGAAACAAAAGAAAATTCTAGCTTCTCAGTCATTGGTTCTCTTCTTGGTGAATTTGCTGGGAAGTTGAACTGCTTTGAACTTTCACATTTCACTAGCAAATAAGCCTATGGCCATAAAGAACGAAAGACATTCCGATTGCTGATGAATTCGCTGAAAATTTCGCTCAAGTGGAAACAAGCCTTAAGTCTTCAGAATTTTTAAAAGCAAGTGTTGTAGTGCTTTACTTCTCAGTAAAATTGTATGGAAATGAAGCTGGGTATATAGCAAAGGAATATAGCAAAAAGATAATTGAAAGACCTGGAAAGAATAGGACATCAAAATTACTAGTAGAGGATCTGATAAAAAATGAGATTTGCTGTCTGGAAGGTATGATAGAAGAGGCCAAGGAAGACAAAGAACAACCTGGGGAGATGCTTTCAAGCGATTTCCATTGGGGAAGGGCTAAAAGAGCATCTCAAAGAAGACGGTACCTGTTGATGTTTCCTGTCTTCCCTCCATTTCCCCATATTCCTCCATTTCCTCTACTTCATCTACCGCATCCATTTCCTCAACTCCATTTCCTCTACTTCATCTACCGCATCCATTTCCTCAACTTCATGCCCCCCATCCTTGCTTTGACTGTCTCTCAAATTATTCTCTTCCTCTATCCTCCTCAGCTCTTTGATACATGTTGCCAACACTAGGTCCCTTTTGGAAACCTTCATTCGATCAGAGCCACAGTTTGGCGATCAAAATTTTACAGACTCTCGCCAAAACCAAGTCGGTTTATTTTCAGGAAGCCAACATGTTTTAGATGTTAAAATAATTTGCAAAATCATTAGATCAGCCGAACTTGATGTTTTCCAAGGATAAAGTTAAATTACAAATGCATAAAAAACATTACCTTCAGCCCTTTCCTAAGATAAAGCACCAAGAAAAGCACAGGTTTTTGGCACAATCTGATGGCAGAACCGTTTTTTAAAATGGTGGAAGCATGCCGTTTTATTTTTTCGGTCAATCTTAGGGTCCTACATAGTCACTTACAGTGGTGTGGCTTCACCTTCCAGACTAAGGGCTGGAGGGTCATCAATAGAAAGTACTAATTTACTGACGAAGACATTGATGGAAAAGAATTGAGGTGCTATTTCACCTACTGAAAGATGATTTTACCGACAAAACAAGGATTTTGTAGACAAACTGTGGCCCTGACAAGTGTTCCATTATCTATAAATATTGGTTATGTGCATCTTTATAGATGATGGAACTCTTGAAGGGTGATAGGAACTTGACGAAAATTAATGATGAACAACCTTTAGGTATACCACTCATTTTTTTCAAGCACTCCACCCATAATATTCACCGCCTATTTATTTATCTTTTTCCCAAAAATATCATCGAAAATAGACACTTGGATTTTTTTCGCTATGAAATGCCAAAAAATACTTAGGCCAATATCCTCTGGAAATGAGGGCTATTGATTTCACTCCAGTACGAAGTATCAGCACGCTTCTCCCACAAAGGAAAGTTTGTTTAATTCTAATTCTAATAAAATTCCAATGTCGAAAGAACACATTAAATTGCTTCTGCTATTGAATTTAAGATTTTGCATGTATATAAGCGAATCAGTGATGCAAGATTATAAATAATTTTGAAGATCGTGGTGAGTCTTATCAATAATTTTGAATTCACAAATTTCGAATTAACCAAAACACTTAATTGAAGCAAAGAACTCTAGTGTGGCCGTTTTATACTTTTTTGACCAGGGACGTGGAAAAATTTCTTTAGAAGTTAAGCAAACATTGTATTTTCAATCCACAGAAAAATTTCAGTTTTTATATGAAAAAATCTTTTTGCAAAAATGCTTCAACACGACTAAAAAAATGCTTCAATAAAAAAGTGCTTAAAAACGTACATTTACAGCGAACTAGAAGCGAATTCAAACATAAATTTTCAGCGAATTCAAAATTTTTTATAATATCTATAATTTTTTATAATTTTTAAATTTTTATAATCTGTTAAAATATAAATAGATATTGGAACTACATGCTATGTGCAAGAAAGCTAGTTTGTCAATCAAAATGTTGATTGAAATTAACGGAACTAATTGTCATTGTGAAACAAGTCAAGTAAGGTAAGTCAAGTTTACAGAAAAGGTGAGTCAACCTTTTTAAAAAAGCTCAAGGGCTCAAGGGCCTAGCATAGCAATGTTTCTATTTTCTGGCTTGATTCTGATGTCTTAAACTCTCTATAGATGTATGTTGTAAAATATAATATTGTATGATCAGATTGTATGATAAGCAATTCAATTTTGTACTGTCGCAATTGTTCAATAATTAGTAAAGCAATCATGATAAACCAAGATTATTTATTTTATTGAGACCCTAGTCAATAAAAGCAAAATCAAAGTACTAGTATGATTACCTTTCCTCCTCGCAATATGTCCAATCGGCATACTTTTCTGATGCACATCATGTCTTAGAACATCATCAGCAAGCAATTATGCTTGACACCAACATCAAGAGAAATACCTATAATTTTGCCCATTTTTGAAAAATTTTAAGTGTGCTTTTGACAAAGGCTTTAAGATGTTTCGTAAGATATAGAAAAATGCTTGGCTAGAGACTTGAAACAGAAAATAATAAATTTAGAAGTAAAGCTGCAGAAGAATACCAGTATACTAGAATTTATTTTTCAACACCAGAAAATTAAATCACATGAAATTCACCCACCAATCCACAGAAATATGCAATTAGATAAAGATTGATATTCCAGTAGTATTTCTACAGACTTGAATGATATATGAACAGAGGTTACAGTTTAAAAAATAGCCTGATAATGTTATAATGGTAATGTTAATGTACGTAGTTACTTTGAAAAACAAAGTATACTGTGTATGCATATAATAATACACAGCAATTTATACCTTCAGTAGACTCAGTCTCCATATTAACAGGAATTTCTGAAGTTTCATTCCTCTCTTAATGCTCATAAAACTTTTTCAACCCTAAAGTTAAGGAAACCAGTTAAGAAAAAAAATTTTTGACTCTAATTTAAACTTAAAATGAAAATTTAATTCACATCTGTTGAATTCTCTACTGCTAAAATATCTCGTCTTCAATCTTATCTTTGACAGCAACATCTACAAACTTGTCCCTGATATAAGGATCCTTAACAAAATCCTCAAACCATTCAGCTCCTAAAACATTAAAGAATGGCTATAAAAACTTTTAAAGTGTTCATGGCAAATGTGAAGCTATGTTGTTATCAAGACCTATACAGTTATGCTTAAATTAACATTGAGCCATTAAGTGTGAAATTATATCTTATAAGTATTCTCACCTATGTAATTAACTGTAAGATCTGATGACATACTTAATGCAACCACTGGCATGTTTGTTCTCTTCAGCCATTTGATAAGCTATTGTATAGGAAATAACAACATATTAGGTCATTTGGTACAGCTTTTAGAAGACGCTAAGAAACCAGTGAGGTAGAGGAATGTTTAGCAAAAAAATGCATTAATCAGTAAATTCAACTCTAAATAAAAACAGCAGATTTCATACCAATAAAACAAAAACATTCAATGCTCCTTACATTGCTTCTTAACTGCTCTTCTTGCCTCTTATCAAAAACTCTTTGCTTGCTCTGCTTTGGAATGTATTCTTTTCTGCCACATCCACGTTTCTTCTTCTGGGGTTGCTGTGTGATATCCTGTAAGGATTATGTACTGTTTTAAATCTCTTTTCAATCTGTTATAAATCTGGCAATTGTCAAATATTCTGGAATAAACCACTTTACAGTAACGAGAAACAGCAATGTAGAGTGAGTTTCCCTAATAGCCCCAAGCTGTTTTATTCCAAATTCAATTTATTTAAAGCAGATATCATTGTGGAACAGGCAAGAGCAAGGTTTGAAATAAGGGAAATAAACCGAGACGGGGTGGGTGGGGGGTCACAAGGTTTAGATATGGTGTCTATCCAATTTTCTGCTTGTTACATACACATTATTTCGCATTTGGCAAAATAGGAAACAGAATCGAATACGAAATTTTCAAGGTAAGCAGATTTTGCCTTGTAGCAAACATAACAAAAAGGAAACCTTTGCTCCTGCTCTGGTTCAGAATATTGAATGGTACAACAATCAGCAAGTAGATCTAATCCATTGTCATTGACATGTCAATGACATTGCCTAAATCATTGACAGAACTGTTACTAATAGTTACAGCATGTTCAGCTAGCACTGTCGCATTATGCATTTCTTGCCCTTCTATTTTCCCCTAAATCCTGCAATTATAATATAAGGCCATTCATGTTGGTGCAATTCTTAAAAAATTGGGCCCCTGGCAAGCCCTCACAGCGGGCTAGTCTTCTGTTAATAGAAGTTTGCATACTATCAATATTATACATTGCATTTGTCATGTAGAGGCAAGTTTGAAAGTTGCTTAAAAACATTTTGCAAGCCCAGGTTTATTCATGTCTACAGGGCAAGTGAACAACGTTTTATCTGGTTCTTCTATGATGCTCCACATTTGATTAAAACTGCCAGAAATTTTCTTGCCAACTCGGAAGCAGGTTAGAAATAGCAAATTAATGTGGAATGATGGTGCCTTTCATTATGGGACCACATATCAAAACTGTATTATGAAGATGCCAATTGAGGGCTCAGGCTGCTACCAGGTTTGACTAATGATCATATCAATCTTACATCATACTGAGTAATGCGAGTGGGGTTAGCTGCACAGGTTCTTAGCTCGACTGTCAGTTCTGTTCTCCAAAGTTATGGTGGGCCTGAGTGTCAGCTAACATCAAAGTTCTGTTTGATGATGGTCACTTCTTTGACTGTTTAAATGTCCGTGATACTACTGAACATACATTGAAAACGAAAGATATCCTGAAGCCATACTCCTCAGTAGAGGATGAAAGATTTTTGTGGCTTCAAGAAGAGTTTCTTGGTTACCTTGCAAATTGGAAGAGCTCTGTTGAAAATCGAGTTGGAAACTTTGATGCTGTTGCAAAGGCAAAGATATTTCTTTCATGGCAAACATATGAAGGTCTCTAGATCACATGTCTCACATTAATTGAATGCACAAAATATCTTCTCAATAAAGTTCAAAGGTTACATGACAAAATGCAAAGGTGAAAAAAGGCTCTTCATCATTTTCAGACTGAAGTATCATAACAAACCCAAAAATGAGGCTCTCATCAAAATTGTTAAAAAATGAATTTTTGAGGGAAATAAATTTTGATACTTTCAGAGCTGTAAGAAGCATTGTGTTTGAGTGTTTTAATAAGTTTTAATAAGTAATGTTTCAGAGTTCACTCAGAAATAATCTCAATGTCCCATGTCTGTGCTTGAGCTAGACTGTTTAATTCCTTTGCGTAAAGATTGTTGCTTTCTTCTTTGTTTAGCTGCCTTGTGTTTTCCTTTTATTGATTTTGCATGAGAATGTGCCCTAACCATCGCATACAGTAGCACTAGACATTCAAGCAAGTTTTTGCTCACTTCCTTGTCAACAACAACATCAGTAGATCTGCATATATCTTTGAAGTTTGATTGGACAATGTTATCCTGCATTACTTTTTTAACCATTAATGTACTGTCTATGCATGTCTTTGATTTTGATGTCATTGTGCAAAAAGATTGCTCACAAACCATGAAAATCTTCTGTGCCTTTTAGTTTACTCGTCATAGTGCACCACGGTCCCTAATGTTGACAAGTTTCTGGGTATCATCCTCCATATATTTTGTAGCCATCAAAATGCCAAGATTGTTGGCTGGCGATAGACCTCCAAGAATGGGACTGTCGCAATCTACAGTATATTGTACGACAATAATATCCAGCAAGATATGACAGATCATGCAATACTTTTTCGGACAAAGAAAAGCATCTCTTCTTTCCCTTGCTGATCAGCATCCTTTGGCTGCTTTAGACATAAGCTAGCCATCTCTGAACACAGCAAGTTTGAGTGGAGGACTGGTAGCCCACTGAAAATTTGCTGCTTTGGTAGCATCAGCTTGAAAAAGTTACTAAGGAATTCTTCATCATCCCCTTTGAAATTTTTAACAATTGGAATAATTTTGTCTCAAATCAATAGGAATTGTTCTACTGTTATTGAGAACTTGGCAAATACATCACGTTCCAAGAGGCTGAAACATTCATCCCGACTAAGCCTAAGAGCTGCTTTCTCAATTATGCTTTACAGTTGGAAATTGTGTATTGTAGGTGAATCTTTGACCTTATCATTCACATCAAATTTTTGTTGCTCATGTTTCAAATCAAAATGCTTTGAAAGTCCGCGTTTAGACATGCAAATTTTTAAGCACTGCTCACATTTGAACCCATCTTTTATGGTTTTAGCCTGAAAAAAAGATGCTTATTTATTGAAACAATAATGAGTGATCAGCATGAAACACTAGGTTCCCAAAAAACTTGTGGTAGTAGCCATTTAAAAACAAAATTAACTTCTCTACGACAAAATTACAGTGCTTGTTATGATGGCAATACATTTATTTAAAAGCCAAAAGAAGTCATTTCTCTTACCAAATTTTTCTTCTTGCTCATCATCAGCGTCATAATCTTCATCACTTGCAGAAGAGTCTGACAATGTCAAGTCAGATTCTTTTTCGCATTCACAGCAGGCATCTGTTTTAACAAATCAATCTGATTTAAACTTTTCAAATTAAATCCAATGAAGCAAGTTTGGGTGATATAGAGATAAAAAGCTTGATGCAATGAACATAAATATATTCAACCTTGTAAAAATTAATAATTCTCTATCAAGATTAAGCTATAAATGAGGTCTAAGAAAGGGAAAGTATCATTAATTTGGAAATCAACAGAAACTAGCTTTGAGGCATCAGTCCTTTAGGTATTCTAGATAGAATTCAATAGAAGTAATCACGAATCTTACCAGATTTGCTTGATTTGGTGTAAAAGGAAGTTCCGTCTCGTAACAGTACCAAACTTTCCACTTCACTGTCACTGTCCATGCCAGCTACACATCCATTCATAACTTTTGTCGCTATACTCCTATTCTTCAAATTTGGGTAGGGTTTGAAAAATTTTGTTCTGCTTGTCAGCAACACTGGGCGTTAATAGATACTGTTCTCTCAGGTATGAATGCTAGTCACAATTAGAAAATCGACATCCGGTCAAGAAACTCTAAAATTGGTATGATTTTCTAGCTGGGCAGGGAAGATGGAAAATCTAAATGTCAAACTCATTCGGTGTACCTTTGCCCTTGACCTTTTTCAAACCTGACACTTTTGAAGCAAACCAGGCAGTTTTCAATATCAAAATGTAAGAATATTGCTTAAAATCCTCAGTGCTGACTTTGATGTAATTTTTTTAAAAGGTTTCCCTTTAACTGGATGCTAAATGTTTTGTAGTCAATGTAGTCTGTAGAAGAGTTTGTTGTATATTTAGAGTGGCTGAGAAAATGCTCTGATGGATGGTCGAAGCTTTTGAAGAGATTCTAATTCGATGAAATCATAGTTTCTCTTGGATACTGAAAGTACAGGATGTAACAGTGACGATAAACGATGTATCAACAAAATTTTCTTCACATTGATGAGTGAATTCAACCGAGACTGATTGATTTTAGTCACAGGGATGCTGGAGCTTGCCAGCTTGTAAACAAGACTTTTGATTTTCCACTCAGAATACTTTGGTTTGAAACGAGTGTATTATGCTATATCATCACCATCGATTAGTATAATCACATAAAAGACATACAATTATCATAATGCTTTTAATGTATTAACAAAATATTGATAATGTTCGTTACTTTGTTATCATGTTAAATAAAATATGTAATACATACGTATGAAGAAACATTTTAGATTTTTTCAGAAATAAACGTTATTTTGCAAAAAATATGAAATGCAAATAACAGTGCTATAAGAATATAACAATAGAATCTTGAGAGTTCTTAAGGTTTTTTCCACATCTAAAGCTCAATTCACACTGTACGCAGCACGATGCAGCGCTTCGTGAAGCTGACCAATTATGGTTGGCATAATTTGAGAATCTGCGTGCACATCGCGTTTTTACAGCTATGCATCATGATCACTGATCTATCAAAAAGACTGGATCGAGCTTCTATTGTGACTGGAGTGTAGCCATCCACCGAGAGAGCCCCAAAAGAAGCAGCCTAGTTTGATGAAAAGAAAGAAGCATAAGGTTAAGAAAGAAGCAATGTTTCATTTCGATTATGGAAGAGTGGTGAGCATTGTTGTTTATATGCTTTCAGAGCAAGCTATTTAAAATGTTTTTGTGCACAGAATCTTCAAATATTGAAATCACTGTTCATGTGCCTGGGCCTCATTTTGGCTCGCAGCTCCTATTTTGGGCACATGGCTTTGATAGCTCTGTCTTTAGATTTTCCATGTGTCCATAAGCTAAATTAGTAATATTTATGTTGTTTATCATAACTTTCGTGTATTCTCAACTATTCATTGACACGACTTGTGATTCCCAGGTAATTAGCTTGGTTATTTGGAACTGTATTAGTTTAATTCACAGAATGGAAGGGGGCAATCTGTTTCGATTGTGTGTTAACTTTGTTATGGTAACTTGGCGTTTTTGGTAGTTCTTAAAAAAATCTGTTTTGCTGGTAGCTTTAAAAAAAGCTGTTTGACATTGTAGGCTCGTAGCAATTTACTACTGGTTGAACAGGAAAAGCTTGGACAACTTTTTCCTGACTTTTGTAGAGGACAACTTTTCTGAATACTGCTTTCCTAGATGATAAAGCCTGACTTTGCAGTAGTTCATTCCCACTTCCCACTATCTTGATCAGTGCAAAAATGTGATTATCCTCGATTGCTGTTTCTGTCATGTGGTTGTCTAGCTCCCTAAATATGTTTGTTTACTCTGAGGTAACTCGCCATCTGTTGTTTTGAACATTCGTTGAAAGCATTTTCTACTTCTTTACATATGTTGAAAACGCTGGTTGTGGGCTTGAATGTCCCCCTCTGTCCTTAAATGTTAGGAAACTGCTTAAAGATTGATTTTGGACAGAGCTTCGCTAGAACAGCTTTGCATTTAATACAGGATGTTTCCTTGTCTGTCATTTTCCCAATAAACCCAGCGAAATATGAAAGGGCTGCAATCTTAAATTCTGACAGATGATATGTATTTGGAGCATCAGCATAATCATGATCACTTTTCATTTGTGCTCTCTCTATCATGTCACACTTACAGGCTAATGCAGCTTTGGAAATAATCGTATTTTGTCCTTGTATATTGCAGGTATCACCAATAACTTGCAGAATAGCTGTTGGATCCTGCTTCTGACAATTACCATTGCCCCCTTCTATGCTACTTCGGAGTAAGAGGCGTTTGTATGATGCAACAAATTGCTGTACTGTGGGGTTGTTGTTGAACCTACCAGATACTCTTACTGCGCAGAAGAAAAGCTCTAGGTGATCTTGGCTAAACTTATATGTGATGAAGTATTTTAATTGGGGATCTTGGACATCGACCAGCTCTGCAAAAATTTACTGAATGCTTTTGATGGCTACAAGAAATCCAAGAAAACCAGTTTTTCTTCTTGTGGAGTGCATCAGTTTGCCACTTGCATCTTTAAGGGCTATGATGTAATGATGAGCTTCTGACAAAAATGGCCCCCAAATACATTGGCTATTAACCCTAAGAGCAGATTTGAACCTCTTGGCAAAAGGGTTGCTTGAATTCAAGACATCAAAGAGATGGTCAATAATCCTGATAAACTTTACTGTTGTTCCAGTTTCAAAACAGAATTACAATACTCTAATGCGTCAGCAACACTACTGCCAAAGGTCTGAGCAGCTAGGTTCACCTTCATTTGTTGCTGGTACCATCTAATATGGGCTGTTTTCAGTTTGTTGCCCAGTCTTAGCCCTTGCTATTCTTGAAGGTTTTCTACCCCCTTTATGTATTGCAAGTTAATTTTCCTCCCCTCTTGATCGAGCATCATGCACCTTCAGGAAGACTGTTTCGCACCAACTTTAGCATGTGACATACATCTAAAAACACATGAATCTGTCTCCTTGTATCAGAGGATGAGGAAATGATGTTGACAAGGCTTTAGGGCTTTGGAAAATAGAACGAAGGGTGAGGGCCATGGGGATGAAGGAAACTCACTTCCAATGAATTCTTTTCTGGAGCTACCTGGATAACATAAGCAGCCCACCACTTTTTGTCATATACCACTGTTACATAGCCATGGATAAGTCCAATATCCAGGGTCTTCTGACCTGACTTAAAAATACATACTTTCTGCCATTCTTCGCTAAGGCTGTATGTAGCAACTTGCATCAAAGACTCTGAAACAGGTATAAAGCTGTGTAGCTTATGAGTTCCTGCGATTGCTCTGGCCCATCTATACCTCTCCTGCAAATGTTCATCCTCTACCTTCCAATCAACATTTGTTAATAATTTTGAATTAATTCCACTAAGATGCTCATCAACAAATTTGAACAGTTGCAAGTTGTCAAAAGGGTGTTGAAGGCTTGCACGAGTTGCTTCACGCTTAATTGTTCCTCCATTTCCATCAGATGGACCCTTGCCATGGCTAGTGGCAAAAAAATGCCATTCTGCTGGAACTCCAAAATCCTCCTCATGCAGGCAAATGTTGGCAAAATTTTTAAGGTTTTTAAAATGGCCTGTACAGCCATCAGAGAAGTAAACAATCTTTGCTACTGGATAAAAATTATCTTTTAAGTGCTTTATTAAGTGCCTCTAAAACAAATGGACTGCAGTTGTGTCATGTGTGTTGCAATCAGATATTGACACAAAATTACTTTGTTGAATCCATCTTCCTTTTGATGATAATACACAAATGGATGTAATGTAGCCATTGACTTACTCCAATGAAAGGAATGAGCCTGATCTTGAATGACAAAGAAAATAATTTTCTGATGACTTGCCCCTCTTGAAGAGTCTCTTCTGTTTTTCAAATATGCAGATTGTTGTTTAGCTAAAAAGTCATGCTGTTTAAGATGATCCAGTTTTTCTACAAAAATATCAATAAAGTCCTCTGTAGGTGTGATAAGTGTTTCCAGGCTTGACCTCTGTTGAAATCCACTGCTTAAACTGTATCTCATCAATGCTCGTGTCACTGTAATACTTACTGAGTATTTCTTTAAGAGACGCTCTCACACTTGTTGAATGGCATTGTGGTAAGGGTGGATTGCATATGAACCATGCATCATCAATTTTACATTGTTATTAGCAATGCACACACATACAGAATAACTTCCACTTGCTCCAGCAAGTACACATTCTTTCGGACACAACATTGGAAATTTGGAGAAACCTACTTTCATTGTTGGGTGCTGTTCTTTGAATTTTTGAAATATTTCTTTAAGGTTTCCTAAAACTAATCTTTTTTGAAGATGATACTTTAAACCGTTTTGGACAACGCTAACATAATCCTTTTTTCCTGGCATTACTCTACTGATTGTATCATCTCTTACAAAATTCTTCAACAAGTGCTACTGTTGTTTCTGGCCATCGTTTTCCAGTCTTTGGGTTAGGAGTTGCCATTACACCTTCTTCATATGATAAGTGCTTTGCTTCCATTGCCATTCTTTGCGAAGAACCAAATGTTTCCATCATTTTTCTCTGGCTCTATGTTTGGGCGAAAATTGTCAGCTGCAACATGTTCAAAGTACATAAGACTACAGTTAAGGGTGGCCACAAGATCTCACTGGACTTGGCATCTAAATTGTCAATGCAGAATCTTGAATGTGTTCCTGGTTGGCAGCTTTAAAGGAATTGTTATGGCATGGCACAGTGTAATGAACAACCTTCTGCTTTTGATATTGAACCATCTTACATTCAAATTTCTGATAGTACTGTGGATGCTGATATTTCTGAAATTGAATCCTCAGTTTCACGGTCAGAGAAAATTCCATGCTAAACAATAGGGAAAAAGTTCAAATTCTAACCCTCACACCTGAATCCTGGGCAGTTGCATATCCCTCTCCTTTTTTGGGGTATCTGAATATTTTGTAAGACAGTCAAGAGGAAAAAGAGCTTCATGTGGTAAACTAGCTATGCAAAAAAAGAAAACAGGGAGTAGGACTTTGCAAAAAAGTGTAATTGACCTTCTCACTTCCTTTTTCCAAGATGATTCTTTTTCAAGACTGGTGCCTGGTATGAAAGATTCAGTCAGTGTGGGTAAAAATAATCATGAACAAAAAAGATCACTTCTCAGCAATATGAAAGAGCTCTATGTACTTTTAAACAACATCATCCCGATGTTACCATTGAGTTTTCAAAGGTTTGCTCTCTTTGACCTAAATGGTGTGTCACAGCTGGTGCCAGTGGTACACATTCTGTCTGTGTATGTACTCTTCACCAGAATGCTATCTTGATGGTACAAGCAGCCACGCTTGACTTGGATTATAAAGAAATGATAGATATGATTTTGTGTAGCAAGGCAAACAGGACATGTATGATTCATAGATGTAACAAATGCTCAGGAAAGAAAGCCCTTAGATCTCATGTTGAACAGCATTAACAGATAAAGATGATATATGTTTTCAACAATGGCAAACAACAGACAGAACCAAGATGTTCACACCAACGATGCCTGTAGGCGAATTTGATGAGCAGTTTGTTGAAACTATAGTTGCCCTAACACCACATTCATATATAGCTAAGTGCCAGGCAATTAACCTCGAAGCAAGGAAAAAGGAGATCACTGAAGGAACTGCAATAGTTCTAGGCGACTTTGCAGAGAACTATACTTTTGCTGTACAAGATGAAGTGCAATCATATCACTGGAGTAGACCATATTGCACATTACACCCAGTAGTTTTATACTACAAGCAAAATGCAGAGTTATTGAGTCGTTCCTTTTGATTTTTGTCTCATGACCTAGAACATGACACAAACTTTGCTTTTGAGGTGCAGAGAAGGCTTACAAGTATCATTAAAGATTAAACTTCTATCTATAACTAAAGGGTGGTATTTCTCTGATGGTTGTGCTGCACAATATAAGAATTACAAAAACATGATGAATTTGTGCAGTCATAAGGATGACTTTGGTTTGGATGCAACTTGGTCTTTTTTTGCAACCAGCCATGGGAAATCGCCATTTGATGGTATTCGGGGCACAGTAAAGAGACTCACATCACGTGCAAGTTTACAGAAACCATCTTCTGACGAAATACTCAATGTGGCTAAACTGCTTGAATTTTGTGAAAGTAATATTCAAAGCATTCAAACATTGTTCATTTCAAAGGGAAGAGTGACAGAAAATAATTTTCTTTTGAAAAGAAGGACAGGTTTTCTCTTGGTCGCACCATTCCTGGAACTAGAAGTTACCACTCCTTTGAGCCAGTATCTACAAGTACAATTGCCTTCAAATACACTGCTGAAGAGGATACTTTTTTAGGTACCTTTAACATATCTGGTGAAAAAGGCAAATTCCTTTCTATCACCTCCGTGAAGGCAAGTGACTTTGTTGCCTGTAGATACGATAAGAAGTGATGGATAGGAATGGTTCAGGAAGTTTCTATGCAAGAGAATGACTTCAAAATTAGTTTCTTACACCCTCCAGGACCATGTATAAGTTTTCACTGGCCCAAAGAGAAGATGTTTGCTAGTTTCAGAGCTAGATGTTCTATGCCCAATTGAAGCTACAGTATCAAAGACTGGAAGAACTTATGACATTATGAATGAAAATGTACAAAATATAAATGAATTGCTCTTCAAAATAATATACAGGAAAACTGTTGACTAACTTGGAGACATCTCAAAATAGCCACTCAAACATTTCAGATCATCGTGTTTGGGAAAATCATATTAGCCATTTTACAGTGGAATAAAAGATAAACTATTAAAACTATGCTATTTCTAATGCCATTTCTGGATTCTTCATATCAATTTGCATATGCCACAAATTTTCAAAATCACAGTGTACATTCAAATTGTTGAACTGCCACGCCCATATTTCATGATTGTTTTAATTTGTCATAACTTTGCAACTGGTTAAGATTTGATCCAAAATTTTAGGAAATTTTGTTTTTCACTGATACCAACAGTTGATATCAAGGTCAGTTTATTCTGAGATAGTCGGTTGCAAATATGTAAAAAAATCTGATGATTTCATATGGAATGACTCTTAAACAAAATTTGAGGCTCTTATAAATTTTCTTATAAATTTCTTATAGACAAAATTTCTTATAACTTTTTTTTTAAAAAAAAGATTGTATAGACTTTTTTAAATGTTCTGTGGTTCTAAATCGATTGAAAAGTTTTTTAGGTAAATATCATCGTTTTTATGCCTAGTTTATTAAGTGGATAGATCCCAAAAAGCTGATTCTTATTTCAAATTGGTGGAGAGGTTCTAGGCTCTTTCTGATCCTCAAAAAACCCTTTCAACAATTTCAAAGATATAATGTATATCAACTACGGTGAATAAATTAAAGTAACCTTTGATTCTGGATGAAATGCCCTTTTTATGCCCCGCCAAATGGGACAAAAGTCTATTATACAAAATATATGATGTCATTGTAAATCTATTATAAATCTGTTGTACAATTCATATCGACGTTATTTCCTCTAACTTAATGCGTGTCCACTTGACATTTATAAATTGTTTTCCGAAATTTCAGATATATAAGGTCTGAATTTGTTTGCAAATATATAAGGTCTGAATTTGTTTGCAAATATATAAGGTCTGAATTTGTTTGCAATTATAAAGTCTGAATTTGCTTGCAAATATTTAAGGTCTAAGCGCGAACAATGTGCGCAGTGACATTTCCCGCCAATTATGAGCACCAGAGGCAAATGACTGGCCTAAGCAATACCAACGAATATTAATTATGTCGTTCGAAGTTGACTTTCAACAGTTTCTGGTTGTTCTTCCTGGACAACTATCTCAGGCTCGACGACAAGCTTTCAGTAGTAATTTGAATATGCTCGAATTTTGGAATAGACGTTTGCAAGACTTTTTACATGTTTTAAGCGTTTTCATTAGGAGGTGTGAATGTGCAACAGAAACACCTGAAAGTTTGTGTGTGTATCTAAGAGAGCTTTTTGTAGAAATTTGTAATCTACACAATTTAGTTGAGAGTAACATCTTTACTGATGAAAGCTACATACCAGAAATGACTGCACACTCTGTTAGGTGCCCTGAAGAGTACAATGAAGGTGCCTGTGGCAGACCTAGAAAATCATTAGAGAAGGAAGAAATTGCGAAGCTGTTTGAGATACACAATTCATGGCATACAGTAGCTCAACTATTGGAAACTTGTGACTTCCTTCACACGGAATTTACTTCTACCTTTGCCATTCTGGGAGCTTGCGCGACGACTTCCCAGAGAAGCTGGGCGAGTGCATGGGGTTGCGGGCACAGAACTAAGCCGTCTGATGCTAGTACTAAAAGCATTGCCAATATATCTTTGGCGGTTGTATAAAGAGTTTCCTCATCTAAAAATCGAGGAAAATTCTTCTTGCGCGTTATTAAATTGCTGCCGGTCATTCAATATGGGTCTCGTCGGAGCTGTTGGGCTGGAAGCTCCAGCACGAGCCACTGCTACTTCAGCAGTGGAAGGCAAAGCCCTAAATACATTATTTAAAGTTTCTTGAAAAGAAGGATGGGAAATAGTATTCCCAACCAACTTGTCAATGTTCCTCGCAGCCATTTTGTGCAATGTAAAATGTGTAAACTGTAAAGCGAGACGGATAACATTCATAGCATGGAAGTGGTCGCTGTAGTGGTGTAGCGTCAATTTTTCCAAAAAATTTTCAGAGGGGGGTGCAAGCAACTACTGCAGCAACCATTCAAAACATTCCTATTTGTATAAATTTAAAGTGGAACTGACATGAAAAATGAAAAAACTTCATAAAATCCATTTATTTCATTTTAGTATAGAGCCGGCAGTGCTGAATCGAATGGTGTAACTTTTTCCTGCATATCTTTTCGTTAACATAATTTTTTCAAGCTCCAAAGTACTTGTTTTTGTCAGATTTTGTTCGAATAAAAAAACGCGGCCAAAGAGGAATTTCAGGAATTTGTGACGTATTCTGGTGTGTTCGTGCACCGGCAAGGTCAGTTTATTGCGTACTTTTGAAGGATGGCAGACATCGGGCATAGCAAAACTATACTGGCTGTTTAGGTAACAGTCACATTCCCGAAAATCAGTCGCAAAAGTTTCCGAAAGCTGAAAAAAATAGCATCGATATTGGGTAAAATTCATGAGAAGACACAGGACCGGTTTCAATCCATTGTCTTCGTCCGACCTATGACCCAAAACACACGTTATGTACAAGAATTATAACAAGCATTTGAACAATCCTACCAAGTTTCGGAAAAAGCCAGCAAGACCCAAAATTCATTTTTAGTACATTAGTTCTAGCTACTCTACGAAGTTTCAATCGATTTTGAATCGTTTTACGGAAGTAAATATGGGGAAACAAAACAGACATACGAGATAGCTGTTATAAGGCTCGAACGGGGGGCGTTTCAGATACTCTCATCAAACCAGAAAAAAACAAGGGGGAACTAAATGTATTTTATGCACATTAATTTTAGTAACTCTCAAAGTTTCAATCGGTTCGGAACATTTTTACAAGTGTACTTAGGGGTTTTCTATGTGCTGGTGTCTTCAGCCAGGGGTTTCCCTGGAGCTTGTTGATGTACAGGGAATTCGATTATTGGAGTTTTACGATTCAAATTAGTATACACTCAAAAGAAATTTGTTCTTTATGTTGTTTTGAGTCAATTTAGTTGTCTTGCTTTGGCTCTAGTGTTGAAGATCAGTTCACATCAGGTTGTGATGTTTCATGTCGAATGTCAATTTACGGGAACACTTAGGCAGCGTCAAAAAATATCTGCTTACCTTGGGATGTAAAGTGCGTCTTGTTAAGAAAAGAATAAATAAATCAACAGAAATCGATCCAGTTTTCTCACTTGAAAAAACTTTTTATCATCTTTATCCGAATTGAAATCCGAATAATTAGCCAAGTGTCGGCTTCGCCACCACATGTTCACCCATCTTCAGAGGAAGGTGGTAATGGATCTTTCTCATTGGGTTGCAACATCATTTCAACGTTCCCGTCTTCAAAATTTGTTCTCTCACTTCCGATACAACTTCCTCATCGTTAGATGAAACGTTTGAATCTGGAAATTCCTTTCCCCGCTTAGGTTGCTGGACATTTTATCGGCTCTGTTGGGGTTTCCTGACCGTAAACTATATAATAACACACCAGAATGCGTCACTCTCCCCAGACTCTTTTCGAAAAACCTCCTACGACTCAAGCCCCCCAAAAACAAACTTATGGCCCTTATTTTGAAAAAAATATTTGCAGATAAAGAATCAGTGATGTTTAATGCCTAAGAAAAAACCTTTTGCAAAATTTTAAGTGAGCGTAAGCTCAAAACGTCCTCTTATCCGTAATAACAAAATCATTACCTTTCTAGGCTAATGGAAAAGTTCATTATGATTGATAAAAGTTATGGTTGGTGAAAACTCCTGTACAAAGCTTAGAATCAAAAGCCCAGGTAACATTTCCATCTGCGTGTATAAACGAAAGGAAACTTGGCTTAGCAGTGATAACAGCATTTCCAGAAGTCAAGCGTCAGCACACAAAGGGTGGTCCTTACAGTTACAATGGTTTAAAGGGGAATGTAAATATTCCGGCTGATAGCACCCAAGCAGATGTTCAAAGTAACAAGAACGCAGTCAAAGTTGGTTGTCAAGGAACCGATACCATGGCATATGAATTTTCTAGATATGTTCCTTCTGAGATTCCAAAAGACAGATGCCTTGAACGGGATATGCTTGAGAATGTAATTGAAGGCGATACAGGTATAGAGAAAGGGAAATATTCTTCTTTCAAAATTATTCAATATCGCAAGCTTGCAGTTGCAGTTAAAGAGTTCAAAGAGATTCCTGAATTTTCACCAAAAAGATCGAGCAGTAGGAGAAGCTAGAACACTAATAAACCCAGTCCTCATAAAGCATTTCTATGCTAATGCCATTCCTTTAAACTCAAGGGCTATTGCATTGGTCTTGCAGCTCTGTACAAGAAACAATGGGTGATTAGAGGATGTTACAGAAGAATGTCTTCTAGAAATTTTGGTCAAGCTAGCAAGTGCACTGCATCATGTTCACAAAAATCGATTTTAGCACAACGATCTAGTGGTCGATAATGTAGTGATAATGAAAACAAGCAGGGGAGAAAATGCCAGAATGGATCCCTGTAATCTTAGATTTTGGAGAGGCGACAGGAATTGGAAATGACTTTAAAAGACACTACAGATCATTTGATTCACACATAGATTCCGAAGTTTTGAACGGGAATGCAATTCACGCCGTCCAAAGTGATATTTATTCGTTTCGAATCATACTAAGAGGCTTAATCTGCATATTCCATATTAATGAAATTAAAGACAATCTAAATGAAATTGTCACTAGATGCACTTCTGTGGGAGACTTTTTCTGGAGGAGGTGAAGAAGATGTTCAGCCATACACTTCATCGTTCATAAATGTGCATTCTTTGCTCCCCACACAGCCATTTCAAGAGACGATCAATAATGAATGCAACTGATTTGTTACTAGTACAAACAACAAACGCACAGCCTCAATAAATCTATGCCTCATTAGCCTCGCTTTATCTTCTGATCTAATTCACTGGGTTACCGTAAATCTCTCCAAAAAACCCCCACCCTAGAACTACCATATGTCAATAAGCCCCCCCCCCCCTCGAATAAGCCCCATTGCTACCGTAAATCCTCAGGGTTGGCCCCCTCGATTTGTTGATTGTTGCCATCTGAGGTTGCCTTTGGTGTTTTTGAATTACCACAAAATTTCATATTTTTGATAATAATTAATTGAATCGTAATAAAGAAATTTCTATTAAATTATACGAGGTCTTTTAAGGGGGAGCTTCTGGCAGATCAACCATATTTTCTACTACTTTAAAACTGTGTTTTAGAGAGTAAAAAAGGCCTGAAGAGACAGAAACTACCTCTTTTTCTAAAAAAATACCAATTATTTGACCTTCAGTAGACAGCCCTAGTAGAAACCATGCTTTTGGAGGGGTTCTTTCACAATGCATCTGCATGCATCCGCTAGCATATTACTCAACCGCACTACAGCAATCCCTGAAAAATTGGTATGTTACTTCTAAAAAAGCATTCGCTCTAATCATGGCTGTTAGACATTGGCGTGAGTATCTTGACGGAACACAGTTTGTTTTCAATTCTTTCCATAACCTGCTAACCCACAGTGGCAAGAACAATGTTAAAGCAGATGCACTATCAGATAACATAGCAGCCTGTCATATCTAACCTTCACCAGAATTTGATGGCGATATCGTTCATCAATAAAGATCATTTTATCCATCAATTCAAGGAAGAACAAACACATGATCCATGTATTCGTTCTGCAAGAGGTGCCTAACGGGTACCAAAATCGTTGTTGTTAGCTTCAAGAAGGTGCAACGCCAGCTTTGGGTTACTGACAGATTATTAACAAAATCAGGCAGATCAGTTTTACCACCAAATTTTCAGAAAACTGTTGTCAGTGAATATCATAAACTTGGTCACTTTGCAACAGATAAATTCTACCATCATTTGAAGGAACACTTTTACTGGCCTACGCTAATAGCTGTGACTGTTCGTTTCTTTTAAGTTGATAAAAGAATCATTATAATGGAAATCATCCCAAATAATCATAAACATATAGACATCGAGAAGGCATCCAACCATCCCAAATAGAAAGATCTTCCCTGGGAATTCGCTCCTATCATTTGGAATCCTAGTTGCTGGAACATCTGCAACCAAGGTGTTTAATGTTTTCAAGCACATGGTATCATTGGCAAAATGGTATCATTTCCAACATTTTATACCCATCAAAGGATACAGGATCAGAAAATGACAGGTTTTGATCATAAAAGAAAAACATATTTCTTGTACATAATAATTGCTAGAAAAAATACAATAAAAATTTATCCAATTTGCCGTTTTTGCTTTGTGAACCTCTTGTCTGCCAAAATAAAATGAGAAGAAAGATCAAATTAAGAAGTTGCAGTGTCTTTTACGAGGGAATTGCTATTCCTTAAGAAAATGTTTTCGAGTTGTGTATAAGTAAGGTTGATGAAGTTGTAAAAAAGAAGAGGAAGTTGCAGCAACATGATGTAGAACCTGTATTGTTATATTGGTTAAATCAAGATGCTTTGACAGATAGCCATAATGAAATTATCAGAGCTAATTTGCAACAGTACAGAAATTTAAAAAAGAATAGAACTAGAGTAGAGTTAGAAGCAGAAATAAGAAAGGCGTCAAATGAAGTTAGGTGTATTGGAAATGATGCTAACAAAAAGCGAAAAAGTACTGATCTGTCTGAATATTCTACTCCACGTAAACCATTTGGAACACTATCTTTCAAAGCAAAAAAAAAACAAACGAATCAACTTATTGAAAGAATTCATGAATTCATGGATAGTGAAAGTTTCTGTCACTGAATTGATGGGTTATATTATCTACAGAGATAACATTTAGTCAAATAAAAGTCTGTCCATGGTTGGTAAAAAGATATTTAAAAATGAATTTGACGTGAACATGATTACACTGTTGAAGATGCAGTTGTGATGATGCACACGCTAGTTTTAACAAAAGAACAATTATTAAAAATTTGATCAATATTGCAAACAAAAGGAATCATATTTCCCACTACAAATGGAATTTGTTTGGCTCGTGAAAAATTGCAGCCAAGGCAAGCAAAACTGGAAGTTACTTTAGAACTGTAAAAGGTGATTTTAAATCATTGGTGAAGATAACAATAGAATCGGTTATTAAGATGGTTAGTCAAAAAAGAACGTACAAACAACAGGAAGGTGACTGTAATTTAGTCTAATTTAATGTAATTTGTCTTAATTATACCTTTCTAATGAGCCATCAATGATTAAACTGTGGTGATTATTAGTTGAAATACATTGGAAAATTTATTGTTGGACCAAATTGCCCAAATAAGGAAATTTGGGGCCAGGACTCCAAAATTACAAAATATACAGTGCATAGTACTGTCATGTAATTTGTCTTAATTATACCTTTCTAAAGAGCCGTCAATAATTTATCTGTGGTTCCATCAACATCACAGCCGCAAGGTTAGTTACTTTCTATAAACATTTATTTGGAATCTGATTAATTGCAGAAGAATCTTGGGTACCATTCAAAATTTTATAAAGTTTAAATTCATATTTTCCTTAAGAGAATCTGTTAGTAATCATTTCAGAGACAAATGTTAAATGTTATGTACCACAAGAGAAGATGATTCTATGTTGCAAAATCTGCAAGAATTCAATGAAAGGGAACAACGATTTTAACTGTCCAAGGAACACAAATGAACTTAATTTTGATAAATTGCATACCCCCTATTCCCTATTTCTATTTTTTGTAATTTATCATGTTCCATTTCTAGGTTTCTTTAATGAAATGCACCATTTTGTACCCTCCCTACACTCTTTTACACATTCCTAAACCCCAGTCATGAAGATTTACTGTGTATGAGTTGAAGTAGTAACAGCCCAAACAGCAAATGTATAATAAAAGAACTCCACAAATTACCTCAAATATAAAAAACAATAATTTATAAGAGGAATATATCTATGCTAATAATATTTTGTTTTTTAAAACTTGAGTTTTATTCAGTTCATTTTACTAATCATCGTCACTATTTGGAATTTTGTCTAATAGCATTGTATGCACATGCTTGAAGTGGTATTATTTTGTTACCAATTTGGCCATGGTAAACTGCCAATAGTAAATTGAATGTAAAAACCTGAAAACAATAATATCAATCTTTTATGATCTGTGTAAAATATTTTATGCTTTTTTACTTGAACCAAAAAATTATGACATTTGGACAATGAGTTGTCTCTATTTGATTTTATCTTTACCAATTTTCTGACCTGCTCTAACAGAGCCCATGGTTGAAGAAAAAACTGGTCAGAAACCTAGGTGATGTGTAACACAAACCATTACACCACCAGATTCTTCCACAAAACCAGGTTCACTTATTACTTCTGAACATCTTTCAATTTCAAGACAACATTGATACTCCTTAGTATTGACCAGGTTTTCAACTTTGCATTTGCCACAGTGTCGCCTTTTCAAAATGAAAATATGAAGTAAACAGAAGAGGAAGTAAACAATATTGAAATATTGAAACAAAATTTTACTTGTACAAAAAACTACCACAATAAAAACAATCCATTTCTGTGCATTTTCTTTGGCACAAGGTTTATCCTTGAAGAATTCTCGCGTAATTTGTTTATTAACTTCAATTAAAACTAGCTTCCAATAAAAATATTTTTTGCGACCTGTCGGTGTAGAACCAACATGTATTCAAAAGGGTATATTCAAACAAGTTGGATTTTGTAACAACAGTACTTTGATAATCAAAGTTGGTTCTCAGTTAATTTACATTGAATAACATTGAAGTAAAACATGCAGAACTAAAGCATTTATCTAGTGCCCCAGACTAGGCCTTCAGTCCAACTAGGCCTTCAGTCCAACTAGGCCTTCAGTCCAACTAGGCCTTCAGTCCAACTAGGCCTTCAGTCCAACTAGGCCTTCAGTCCAACTAGGCATTCAGTCCAACTAGGCATTCAGTCCAACTAGGCATTCAGTCCAACTAGGCCTTCACTCCAACTAGGCCTTCAGTCCAACTAGGCCTTCAGTCCAACTAGGCCTTCAGTCCAACTAGGCCTTCAGTCCAACTAGGCCTGCTATCACAAATCTATCAAGTACTATTTTTTCATTGTGCTAGGGGTTTGTTGCAAGGAAATTGGCAAAACCTGGGCTCACGTTGGGTTGAGGCCATCTCACTAACAAATATGACACATAAAAAATTGAGTTCTCTGTTTGGATGCACTTTGTCAACAGAATCCAATTAAAAAAGTAACTTACCAATTGCACAAGGGTTTTTTTTCTCTTCTTATGCCACCTCTATAAAAATTATCCAACCAGTCTTGATCAGCTATCAGCTTGTCCTGGTTTGGTTGAAAATCAACAGTACAGAAGCCGGCATAACTGTTTTCAAAGTTATCTTCAGTTGATCCTTCAGAGCCAATTATAAGCATTCGGGATGTGGCACGTAATGATTCATTTTAATCCGAATAAATTTCTGCACCACTTTCTCCCATAATATAAACATTTCGAAAATAACATAATTTTGTTGTTTTCATACACAGTTTTCAGATTGTTGTAAACAAATAACCCTTCTTGTAATGAATCATTCTATGTGATGCTCTTTACTGGTGCCAGTTTAGGGGCCTCTGCATTTCCTACCCAAAGTGGTTCCCCAAAAACACTAAAAGTGTGGGCTTCGTAGTGCAAAAACAATGTTTTTCAGCAATGCTATTTATTTCCATGATGATATATCTGCAGATATGCAAAAATTCTTTACAACTCAAATCTGACCTTCAAAGCAATTCGTATGGCATCATTGAAGGTCTTTAGATAGACTGTCACAACTGGTTTCAATAATTGTGGTTTGAGATTCAAAATACAATGTTTACAAGGTGTAATTTCAATAACTTCATGATTACATCTTGAAGAAAACAGCGAAAAATTCCTTGGCAAAGAAAATCCTTCCACACTTTCCATCTTTCCTTGCTTCCTCCCTGCCAAGGAGCTACACACAGACCTCATATCTGCTGGCCAAAATGGGTCAATCAGTGATTTTTTGATAACATGGAGCTTTTTTCTACCTTTTGAAATGATAACATTGAATTTTTTTTCTTTTGTCTACTTTTTGAAATAGTCTCCAGCAGGACCCCTGAAATACCAAAAACCATATCATCCTGTCTTTTCGAACAGTTGCAACAATCCAGATTTTCTTCTTGGTTAAGTGCTGAAGAAAGGGCAAAGAACTTAAAAAGTTGTCAAAATAGATTTTAGGAATCATGTTATGTGGTAACGTATCACATAATAGACGCACAACATTTCCAGCCATGAGCAATTCTGGCATTTCTTCTGTCGTTACACTTTCCACTATAAACTTCAAAATCAGAGAACAATCCACTGACACCACACCTAGCCTAGACTTTCATTCCCCATTTGTAAGGCTTCTTAAGACAATATTGCTTGACACTTGTGCAAGCTTTTGTTGGTAGTATTTGGTCATCAATAGATAGCCTTGCCTCTTGTGGAATGCTCCAATATTCTTGAAGAACTGAGTCAACACCAGGTAGAATTTTGAATAGCTTATTAAGACCTTCTTGTCGAGTAGGAATATAGTTTGAGTTATAATTGCAGTGTTCCTTGTTTCCTTGTCCTTTTTTCATAAATTTATGAAACAAGTGTTTCATTTCTTTGCCCAATACATTCTTATTTGAGGAAGCTTTATTATTAACATCATGTCTCAAATACCAATGTATTGCTCCATCTTGCTCTTACTTGTTTGGACAGAGACCCCAGTTTGTTGAACATTATAAAGATTAGTCTGTTCTGCAATATGCTGAATCAGATCTTCACTGAAAAACTGATTGAAATAATCAACCGGATTGAATGCTTCTTTTGAAGGTGTTGGTAGTTCTTGACCTTTGAAAGTAACATCAAATTTTGGTGAGGTCCTTTTTCTCCAGCGAGTCTTTATTTCTGGGATGATCCTCTCCTTCAATTCTGGTTTGAAATAAACTCTGCTGTGAATTCATACCACTGACAGATCCTTGAAGTTGTGTTTTGGCTAGGGCTTGTTACATGCCTCGGTTTCATTTTATTATATTTTGAGAACGAGTTTCCTCATGTTTTTTAAATTCATAGGCCTAAATGAGTTTTCATTTTTAATTGATTTCCGAAAAGTGATTATGGTAAATGGATCTTGTTGATTACAAAGACTACGATTTGATTGAAACAACAGTCAAATTAGTGAAATGTAGCGAGATTTCATTGAAAACCCTGCAATACTGTAAGTTATTACATGAGTCACAAAGTGGTTTTAATCACCACGGAGAGGAGTTCCAGAAAATATTGGAGAAGATTGATGCTATCATCGAGAATGTTACCAAAAATTCACTTTTGTCAAGACTTCACTGAAGAGAAAGCTTAGAAACTCTGATGACAGGGATATGTTCTTGCTTGTTGACAGGCAATTTATATGTAAAATCAAAAGTCTTTATTCAATGGTAACAGTAAAGGGAACAGTAAAGAATTTAGCCATTACCATCTTATGTTCTATATATAAAGGATTTCGAATTTGCGGTGTAATTACATTATGCATTCTTAATTTTTTTAAGGTATTGATTGGAGTAAGAGATCTCCCAGGATCAGAAACTCTGACACTGTTAATTCAGAAGAATTTTTCCCTACCACTGCTTACTTAAAGCAACCAATAAATGTCTCAGGAAAAGTGAGTAAATCAACTGATGTTCCCTTTTTTCTAATTGTCAAGGTTCTCGATTTGTTGTGGAGGACTTATTTCCAATTTTTTTTCTTTGTAGGCTAAGCAAGAGAAGTTGTCATCTTCCACGGTAAAGGAGACTAACGCTAGGCTGCAAAAAGTGAGTAAAAAACTGATGTTCCCTTTCTTCTAATTGTTAAGGTTCTCAATTCGATATGAAGGACTTATTCCACTTTCTTTTATTCATGTCGACAGTACTTTTGCGACTCCCTTTCGACTGAATTTAGGTATTCAAAGAATTTTGAAGAAGGTAGTGGAGACTGTATTTGTCTATGACCTATTTCTATAAATTTCTGCTTTTTTCAATTTTTCCAATGTGACAGTAAAGGCTACAACCCAAGAAAGGCAGAGGAAGAGATGTCAATGATTTTCAAGTGAGAGACGTCCTTCCGAATAAAATACCTAAAATAGTGGTATTAAACGATATTTTTCGAGCTTTCAAAGAATTGCCTTCTAGAATTCCTTGCGTGGTTGTTTTAAATTAAGCAGAAAGAATTTTGAAAGCCAAAAATTCTGAAAGTGTACAATGGGGTGTCCTTATAGGTGATTCTTGCTATGATCTAAGAGATATCCAACGGTGCAAAGAGTCTTTCAGATTGAAGTAACAAATGAGAGGTTAATGAAAAGTGCCATTGGTTGGATAGGGTTCCCCATCATATCAATCAGCCTGTTGCATACTAGTACTATAGAGTTTGATATTATTCAGGAACTCATTGACTTGATCCAAAACAAGTCTTCTGACCAAGAACAGTCCAAGATTCCTATTCAAGTTGGAAAAGCTAAAATTGTCAAAAGGAGTAGAATGTTAAACGGCAAAATATTAGATGGTTTCATTAACATCATTAATAGACAGTTTTAAGACGTTTATGCTTTAAGTATTAATGTAGATACTGACATGAAGGTCACTCTCAGGGTTATGTGATATCTAGCTACCAGAAGAAGTTCAGAATAAAATATCTTGCTAATATAACATGTTTTATCACAAAATCAGGATTTACACAAAAAAATTACCAATTAATCAAATACTTCATGTCTAACATCACGAAATACATGAACATTTTGTGACAGCAACTGATGGCAGTAGATAAGCAGTTATTCCTTTATAATTTGATAAAGTGATAACTGATAGTTACTCAATGCAATGAACTACCAACATTAAGCTATCTTTTTTTATTTTTGAATAATTACCAATCTTATTGAAGGGGGTTCGGTTTAGACAATTTAGCAAAAATTTGATCACTGCCTGTGGTAAGTCACCAAATCACAGCTGAAATCCATTAGTTAGTTGCAATCTTCACAGTCTTGTTTATAACTGGTGAAAATTTGGCATAGATATCTTTAAAAATGAGATTTTGAGAGGTGTCACAAGATCGTTCAAACACAGCATTTGTCGTTCCTAGAAAAACAGCTTTAAACATTGGTGAAAAGAAACACAAGCTTAAAATTTTTAAAATCATCCTTAGAAGGCCCCTGCCTCATACAAAATTCCCTCCTTATCTATAATACTGTCCTCAATACTTTTTTTCTTTTTCCTCCTGGATTGTCTTATCTTTTTGGCCACAATACTTGCATTAATGTTACTCTCTCTTTTCCGCTTACGGTCCCTTGCCGACAGTCCTAAAAGCATGTTGCTTCCAGGGTTTATTCCAACATGGGACAAAACACGTGCAAGGCCACTGCTACCATCATTGAATGCCACTACAGCAGCAGCTACAGCAGCATCCAGATGATCTCTCCCAGAGTGGGAAATTTTTGGACACCTTGACCAAATCAAATGATTTATGGCTTCACAGCTGTTTTGCGTGTAGCCGCCAAGGCACCCATTCATTATATCATCATTTGTCAGCTTCTTGTAGATAGGTCTTATTTCATCTACAATGGCAGTAGGCAGTGGATTTTTGTGCTTGAAAAGTTTTTTCTGCAGCAGTGCCTTGTTATATTTGCACCAAGTACCCGGCCCTGTGGGGCAGTTTTGATGCTGCGGGTTCTCGTCTGTTGATGCAGAATGATAAAGGCCTGCCCATACCTCATTCTTCATGGCATCAACATTGTTCTTATGGCGACGAATAGCAAGCCCATAATATACCTGCAGCTTATCAATTCTTGCAGCTGTAAGTCTGCCAACTCCTCCAATTGATTTGCCATCTGCTAGCTTTGTTTTTCCTTTCTGTACCTTCAGCTTCCTGAGGGCAGTTCCCATCCGCTTTTGAACATGCCCAACACATTCAATTTTTGCAATAATTTTATCACCATAAGGCTTACTGGCCTTTATGGAGGAATATGACTTTGAATCTCCATCCCCTATATAGCCAGTATATTGGAGATTCCTTGTCACCACTGAGCGGGCAAATATACGGCTCACTCCCTCAGGTTCCATTGCAGGTGCTGAGCAGACAAAATTTATTTGGCATATATGATTCGCTTTCCAATTGTCCTTTTCAGGACCATCTGGTTTTTTTTACCATCTTGCACAGCCAAAACAAATCTTGTTTAGGGCCTCATAATCAAGGCATTTTCCACTAACAGCAGAAATTGCAGTTACTGCTCCTTGCAAGGAAGAATACCCTCTTTTGCGCCATGTTCCATCAAACATGGCCTTGCATTCTATTACTTGATCTTCTGGAGTATCCAAAGCATCATGTTCTTCCGTAGCTGTTTTTTCATGCTCAATGATGCTTCCAGTTCTAGTGCATTTTTTATTTTGGCTACACTATCACTGAAAGCATCATGGGACATTGCTTTCGGCATATTCAAAACGGAGCAAAGCTTCTCTAAGAAAGACTTCCCTGCACCAATTTCAAGAAGCCCAAGTATCATCCTGTAATTGATCTCATAGACTCTTGAACCTTCACAACGTGGAGATGTGAGCATTTCGCAGCCAGTGGCACATGTTCTGCATTCAAATGTAAAGAAGGATGCTAGTCCCATCTTTTTTGACTCCACTTCTTTCAATACTAGCTTGCCAGCCTTACATCTTGAGCAAACAACATATTCCAGTAATTTTTCAAGAAAACTGGTATGGATTAGACGGAAGCCATCCAGCTCTGGCTGAACATTGATGTCTGGTGTTTTACCAATCTTCTTTTGACTGGCACCAGATGTTGATGCTGAGGGATACTATCCTGAAACAAAATTATATGCCGTTTTAGGCTTTCATTTATTATAAGGTAACATATATTTCATAGGATCATATCTGAAAAGCTAGAGGCACATATCAAAATTTATGTACAACTAGAAAACTGAACTATCTACGCCCATTTTTTAAAGACCCCTTTATATGACCCTAGGCACATATTTTCAAACTGGGCTCACATTTATGTGTGCTAAGTCTATTCCTAGAAAAAACGAAGTATCTTCCTTCTTCGCAAATACTAATTGTTTCACTTTGCTATTTCAAAGATCCATCTTAGGCCATCTTGATATATTTTGTTGCTGTTTGTTACCTGTTGACTGGGAGAATTTAACAAGAAGCTTTTAATAGCCAGGGGCGGTCAAATATATGAAATCAGGTTTTTTGTTAAAAAATAGTGTGTTTCAATCTGTAAAAGGGGTTTAGCCTAGAATCAAGAACCGAAGGGATATGTTTGTCTTACCTCTTCATGTTGATGAGCAGGCAATAACGGATTTTCTTTTTCACCGGTTGCGTCTACAGTAGCATCTTTCTTCGAACTGACAAACCGATTGCTGTAAAGTTTTCTCTTTTTTGTTCTTTTACTTCAATTTTTCCGATTTTTGTTGAAAATACTTTCATCGCTAGTTTGTTTTCCCGACATTTTGTAACGAACATATGCTTTGAACAGGCTGTTTTGTGCTGTTGCACAGGACCGTTACCATGGCAAGGATCCAAATGCTGCCCGCTCATTGGTTAAAAAAAGCTACCCCGTAACTTAAACAACGAAAGACAGTAAAAGATAGCTCAGTAATCAATTTCTATTGGTTACTAAGATTTTACTTGCATCCAATTGGTCAAAACCATGCAAATTACAATCGTGATTTTAGATACAAAGCATATAGATTCCTTCAAAACAAAAAAAACAGGGGGAATCAGCCTTCAAAGCGAAACAAGATGCATTTTCAAGCTTGCAGCTAGGCCATGTGTGCGAGGAGATATGGTCAAAGGAAATATGGTCATTTCTCAGCACTAAGGGTAAAAAGAAGCCCCCTAAAACCCCTAAAGTTGATTTGAAAGCGTTCCAAAGTCCCACCAGTCGAAAGTGCATAAAATTTTGAGTGCATCCATGAAATAAAAACAAATTATGAAAAATATCGAATTTTCGATTTTTTAGCCCAGAGAGTGACACTAGCTCGTGGGTTCCGTAGAAACTGGCCTAATTCCTTCCCGAAACGGTCAATATTATATGTTAACTTTGTCAACATAAATGAGACAACAGATTGTGTGAACATTAATGGTGTGTTCTACAGCAGCAACCATTTTGCTGCTTGCTTTTATGAAAAAGATACTAATACTGCGGTATATGCTGTCCCAAAGGGATACCCAATTTCCCCAAATTTAGATCAACTTTTCAAGGATTTTCTCTTACATGCAACAAACCAGGAAATTTCTAACCAATGCCAATTTTCCACAGCTCATCCAAACCAATCAAAATATTTCATAAACTATACATGAATTGAGCGTTGCTGGAAATTGTACCCTTTACAAACTGATGATAATATTTGTGGTGTTAGCGAAATACTGACAATGTGTCTGCAGCAGTAGATGATCAGTCCATTCTACAATTAAGAGACGTGCAAAATTTCAAAGAATTAGGATATTTGAGAGATATTTATAGCTATAATGACTTCTTTTGAATAGTGTTAATACAGTGGATGATGAATGGATTAATTAAGGTACCAGACATTAGAGTTAGCTTGTCCCCACTTTCTTATGAGTCTCATAGCATACACGATGCTTTGAATGCAATTTCAAAAGCACCATCAACTCACGACCCTTCCATCGAGTCTATCAAAGATTCTACTCTCGTTCCTGCTAGGTTTTCACAAAAGTCTTGCGAAAAACTGAGTGTAAACCATGTTTTTGGTTCTGATGTATCAAATGCATGTATCTACCACTATCACTGCCCTGATTGTGGAGCAGTTGTTCAGCAAAAAAAATTTGCAAAACATGTTGAAACCCACTTGAGCAGTGGTAATGGTGATATATTGAAAACCAAATCTAAAAATATAAGGAAAAAAGTTGAAAAAATGCTCTCTGTTAACGTTGATAATTTGAAAAGTGTTAATGTAGTACCTGTAAATCTTAGGCCAAATGAGCCTAGGCAAACCAGTTGCGAACTTTGCGGGAAAAGTATCACTGTTAAAAACATAAAAAGGCACATGGGAAGGAAACATGGTAAGAAGAGCTGCTATACTACAGTTTATTGTGGCCGATCGATTGGACTGTATATGGTTTGTTGATCACAACACGGTGTTGGAGTGAAGGTCAGTCATCAACTCTGACCTTCGCCACCGTGTTGTGACCTTCTATTCATGTGCAAACAGTCGTCAACTCTACGAAGGATTGCAACAAAAACGTGTGTGAACTTCAGTCTTGTAGAGACAAGATGGAAATTGCTTCCAGGTCAGGAGTGGGGAGTGTCAACACTTTTCTCTTATTAATAACGCTTTCTATCCTCCAGATGTACAGCTAGATATTAGCAAGCTTAATGAGCTTAGTGCATCTGGGATGTTCAAAGTTTTAAAAATGAAATTATACGAAGGTGTATAGCTCACAAGGATTTGACAGAAAACGATTGTCCTGCATCAGTAGTTGAGTGGGAAGATAAAAATCATATACATTTGTCCATATTTGACAAAAAGTACCCTAATTTCCCTGTTAGATCTCCTTGTTACATTCAATAAGCTAATAAATAAACTCGATTGCAGATGTAGATGAAAAAAAAGCAATGGCGTTATCGTATTTGTACCAATCTAGTAAGATAGCTCAACCCTCCAATTTTGATGATAGTTATTTTCAAGACGTCAGGGAAGATGTCAGAGAAGAACAATTTGAGGGCATTTCAGAAAGTCTTATTCATGATGAAAATTACCAATTAGATACCATAATCTATCCGCCAAAGTCAGAGGAGATTGTCTCGAAATTAATAAATTATATGCTTGCTTATAAGACTGTTCCACATCCTGCCCCAGAGTGGCTAAAAACTTGACAATTAAACAAAATACCCATGTCCCTACAGTGAGCTGAGACTAACTGTTATGACTGCCATAATAGGCTGTCTGGGCTGTATAGGATAACACAAAGAGCAAAGATTTGAACTGCAAAAATGCAGGGATATATTAAAGGAGTGGACACGTATTCTAAGTTATGCAATGAATGTAACATTTTCTATAGGTACCAAGAATACTCCGATGGGGTACATAATTTCAATGAAATTTTCTTGCTGGGCATTTATGTTTGCATCTTTTTACAACATTTTGTAAAAAATCATGTAGCAATTGGCTCATTCTGTGATGTGATGCAAGAAATTTTTTTGATCATTTGAACCGAAAAGCAGGTGATTTGAACCAAAAAGTAGCTTCTAAAGGCTGATTTCCACTAGGCGAATTCTTTTGCGCGAATCGAATTTTTTCCAGTGTGAGCATGCGTGGTATCATGTCCTCAAATTTCGCAGCGAAAAAATTTGATTTGCAGAAAGTATACTACAGTCCTACTCTTTCGCTACGAAAATTTATTCGATTCGCGCGAAAGAATTCGCCTAGTGGAAATCGGCCTTAAGTATAAGTATAAAGCTTCAAATGAAAATCTACCAGATGAAAGTGAAGATGATTATGTGAACTTTGTGGACTTTTGGGAAAACGTAGGTAAAGACATATTGAGTAAAGGGTTTATTGTCAGAAGCTTTAAAGGGCTGTTGATAGAACCGAAATTATCAATTTGGGCCTCCTACATTAGAGCCGCTATTCGATCTGGTCATTTCATCGTTAAAAATGAACATAGAAAAATTCGTAGAGACAATGGTGAACCTGAGTCTGATTGTCGAAAACTGTCTGAAGAACAATTACCTGAGCATCTTTGTGAAAGTAAGCTTCCAGATATAAGAAAATTAGCATGTGAGGCAAATGTAAGCCAGATATAATTAACAGAATTAAAACTGATCTTGGGAAAGATAAGGGAGGCTTTAATAAAATCTTCAAACAATAATTTGAGTTTTCATGAGGCTGGCTATTAATTGCTTGCAAACATGGCATAATTTACACAATAGAGTTACCCCTTAGAGCTGACAGTCTGAGAGACTATATTGACATTTTAAGGAGTCTGAAATTCAAACCCAATATTTTTATTTGCAACATTGCGCATTTAATTGCATCACATGGAAACCATTTCGAGAGCAATTTCTTCAGCCCAAACGAGTGAAGGGT